TTAAATTGGGAGCCATAGAGAGCAAAAGTACCCAAAATTCCACTATTCTGAAGCTTTTAAATAAAAACCGTACTGATGTTTTCCTATCTAAAAATAAACCATATGTTATCTTTCTTTCTTTACATAATAATTACTTGGAGTATTTTCCTATGCATTAAGGGGCCTTTCAAAACCAAAATTTCAAAGGCTGAATAATGTTCATCTCATGAAAAAGAGTATATTTATTATCAAAACAGTATTCTAGAATTATAAACATAGCTATGGGGAACAGTTTAGGACATAAATATTTGTGCATAGTACTAGTCTGAGTATTTTAAATGAAAGTATTTCAGATATGCAGAAAAGTTTAGGTATTAGTGAAACAAATACCCAAAGGTCAACTATACAGATATTTACGGCTCTCCAGTAACTTTCCATGTAGGCTAGGAACTCCTTCTACAAATAAAGTGATCAGAGAGAAATAGATGTTTACCATTTGAGGAGATGTTTCTATCTTGGTATCTCCTAGTTTATGTTAAATGGGTGCTAGATTTACTAATTTCTGCTAATGCAGTTCAAGCTGTCTGAGAACTATTGTATTTACACCGTGCTTTTTCTTTGATTTCTTTGGGGACACTCATTTAAAGCAACTTTCCTTGAATGTAGCTTTAAGAGCTGTCACAGCTGCAGATACAGCTGCAATTTTTTTTAGTTTTAACTAGAAACTCATCATTTACCCTTCCTCGAACACAGCTGGATATGCTCTTTTTTCCTGGTTGGTGGCAGTGTTATACAGCTATCCATTTGACTATATGTTGATGCATACAAACTGGTGAAATCATTATGAATTATTGGATGTAATTTTTATCATCTTATGCTATTTTGGGGGTTATATATTGCTTGCACTGCCACTAATTTCAATAAGAGAAAAGTGTGTAAATCATAATGACAGTGCTAACTACAATTCTTGTCAAAATTGTTGGCTTATTCTTAGGATCCATTGCTTTTATGCTCTACAAATTAGAGGATCTAATTTGTCTGCATTCCAACACTGATGTTTTTAGTGTGCTACCTACTTGAACATTCATGTAAAACATTGCAGAAAGAAGTGAAGGCCAGGCACAATGGCCCACACCTGTAATCCCAGCACTTTGGAAGGCCAAAGCAGGCAAATCACCTGAGGTCAGGAGTGCGAGACCAGCCTGGCCAACATGGTGAAACCCCGTCTCTACTAAAAATACAAAAATTAGCCGGACACAGTGGCACACACCTGTAGTCTCAGCTACTCGGGATGCTGTGACTGGAGAATCACTTGAACTTGGGATACAGAGGTTGCAGTGAGCCAAGATCACGGCACTGTACTCCATCCTGGGTGACAGAGTGAGACTCTGTCTCAAAATAAAATAAAATTAAATTAAAGAGTAAACACCCACCCCTGATGAATATCATCTCATCCTTTTGTGGGAAAAAAAAAAATCTCGTCTCCTTTCTAACTCATTGTGTTGCCAATCAATTCCAAAGAGCTCAAAAAAACAATTAACAAAGTTAGTATAGTTTCCCCTTTTTGTTCAATAGAGGAAAGATTTGCTAACTCTGACACACATGAGAAGAGCTTATGAAATAATACCACACATCTACAACCATCTGATCTTTGACAAACCTGACAAAAACAAGAAATGGGGAAAGGATTCCCTATTTAACAAATGGTGCTGGGAAAACTGGCTAGCCATAAGTAGAAAGCTAAAACTGGAATCCCTTCCTTACACTTTATACAAAAATTAATTCAAGATGGATTAGAGACTTAAATGTTAGACCTAAAACCATAAAAACCTGAGAAAACCTAGGCAATACCATTCAGGACATAGGCATGGGCAAGGACTTCATGTCTAAAACACCAAAAGCAATGGCAACAAAGTCAAAATTGACAAATGGGATCGAATTAAACTAAAGAGCTTCTGCACAGCAAAAGAAACTACCATCACAGTGAACAGGCAACCTACAGAATGGGAAAAATTTTTTGCAATCTACTCATCTGATAAAGGGCTAATATCCAGAACCTACAAAGAGCTCAAACAAATTTACAAGAAAAATCCCCATCAAAAAGTGGGCAAAGGATATGAATAGACACTTCTCAAAAGAAGACATTCATACAGCCAACAGTCACATGAAAAAATTCTCATCATCACTGGCCATCAGAGAAATGCAAATCAAAACCACAATGAGGTACTATCTCACACCAGTTAGAATGGCCGATCGTTAAAAAGTCAGGAAACAACAGGTGCTCGAGAGGATGTGGAGAAATAGGAACACTTTTACACTGTTGGTGGGACTGTAAACTAGTTCAATCATTGTGGAAGACAGTGTGGCGATTCCTCAAGGGGATCTAGAACTAGAAATACCGTTTGACCCAGCCATCCCATTACTGAGTATATACCCAAAGGATTATAAATCATGTTGCTATGAAGACACATGCACACGTATGTTTATTGCAGCACTATTCACAATAGCAAAGACTTGGAACCAACCCAGATGTCCATCAGTGACAGATTGAATTAAGAAAATGTGGTACATATACACCATGGAATACTATGCAGCCATAGAAAAGGATGAGTTCGTGTCCTTTGTAGGGACATGGATGCAGCTGGAAACCATCATTCTCAGCAAACTATCACAAGAACAGAAAACCAAACACCGCATGTTCTCACTCATAGGTTGAAATTGAACAATGAGAACACTTGGACACAGAAAGGGGAACATCACACACTAGGGCCGGTTGTGGGGTGGGGGAGGGAGGAGGGATAGCATTAGGAGATATACCTAATGTAAATGAGGAGTTAATGGGTGCAGCACACCAACATGGCACATGTATACATGTGTATCAAACCTGCACGTTGTGCACATGTATCCTAGAACATAAAGCATAATAAAAAAATATTTTATTGGTTTTTGCTCTATTGCTCATTGCTGTTACATCTAAATATAAGATTATATATATAATTTATGCATTATAAATATATCTCATGCATAAATACATGCTTCATACATTAAACATGTATTTTTCTCCCATGCTTAGCTCCAGTTTATTCCAGAAAAAAAAAGCCAAAATTTTCTTCAGAGATCACAAGCAACTATCAGTAGATGGAAAACTTTAAAATTTTGTCCTCCAATTCTTTTTTTTTCTTGAGCTATGTATGAGGAAATCTATAGCTCAGACTGTGTCTGGTGTTAGTACGTATCAAGCTCTTTAGCCAGAAGGAAGAGCAAGGCCAATGAACCACATCCCTGGTACTTAATTTCTTCTCACTTTCCCTGTATGAGAGAGTGCATGCCCTGCTCAGCAAGGAAACTGCAGGGCAGGGATCTCTAGAATCCCCGGAGGACCAGGGGCTGCAGAGCAGTTACTTTGTCTTACAGAGTTAAGTCTGAGATGAGAGAAGGGATTTATCTAGGGCCCACAGCTAGTAAATTATAATGTCAAGATCAAATCCTGGTTTTCTCGCCCTTACAGGTAATATTTAATGTCATTGTTCCCTTTATTACACTACTTTTTTCACCCTAGGGTGACAGCTCTCTCAAAGTTCAGTCCTGGAACAGTATGTGTGATCATTCCATACTAACAGGATCATAATAGTAATGGTACTAAAACTTTCTATTTTTTTTTCTTCCCAGGATTCATACCTGTGTGTAGCCTTGGAGTGGCTCAAGTGGGCAGGATGAACTTTGGAAAGGATGTCAGCACCTTGAAATACTTCACCATCTGTGGCTTACAAGAGGGCTATGAACCATTTGCCGTTAATACAAACAGGGATATTACTATGTGGCTGAGCAAGAGGCTTCCTCAGTTTCTCCAAGTTCCATCAAACCATGAACATATAGAGGTTTGCTTTTTCTTTCAAAATCAGGCCATTTCTAAAAAGCAGGAAAAGAATATCTTTATACATAGCAACTTCTGCTTAGACAATTATTGTGACTTACTTAAAATGATGACCTTGATGTGTTATACGGAAGTGGAATCTCAGCAAAGATGGCACTTTATACCAGCTGTCAGTGGATGGGAAACTTAAATTTTTGCTTTCAATTCTTTTTTTTCCCTTGAGCTATGTGTGAAGAAGTCTGTAGCTCAGACTGTGTGTGGGGTTTGTACGCATCAAGCTCTTTAGTTAGAAGAAAGATCAAGGCAAAGGGAGCCACATCCATTCTAATAAGCTACGTTACAAGTAGCTTATTAGAATGAGGAAAAATACTTTCCTTTTTATGTGTGGGCAATGTCAGGCCGAATCTGAATATATAGAATTATAAGATAAATTTCCGAAACCGTCTTTAGAGACAGAAGCAGAATTCTATGACTATATCCATAGCACAGTAATCTGTTTAATTATCTCTTACAAAATGATGCCATGCGTGGACTGATTTGGGATTCTGAAAACGTGATGTGCCTTAGGCATCTTTAGAATCAGGAAATCGACAACGGTGATTGGAATATGAACTATTGCTTCTTCATTTGCTAGGTGACCAGAATAGACGGCACCATAGACAGTTCCCCATGTTTAAAGGTCACTCAGAAGTCTTTTGGTTCTCAGAACAGCCACACTGATATCATGTTCTATCGCCTGAGCATGCCGATCGAGTGCGCGGAGGTCTTCTCCAAGACTGTGGCTGGAGGGCTCCCTGGGGCTGGCCTTTTTGGGCCCAAGAATGATTTGGAAGATTATGATGCTGATTCTGACTTTGAGGTTCTGATGAAGACAGCTCATGGCCATCTAGTGCCCGATCGTGTTGACAAGGACAAAGAAGCTACCAAGCCAGAGTTTAATAACCACAAAGATTATGCCCAGGAAAAGCCCTCTCGTCTGAAACAAAGGTTACTATTTTATACACTGTGATTTTAAGTTTGTAGTTAAGTGAGGAGGGTTACAGTCCAGAGTAAAGGGTCTCCTAGTGTAAGGTTTTTCCTCCCCCTCCTCCTCCTCCCCCTCCCCCTCCTCTTTGTGCAAAGGATTCTATAAGGAAAAATTAAGCAACCTGTTAGTCATCTAATTTGTTAGCGTAGATGCTGTCTATCTCAATAGTTATTTTTTAAGATGTCTATGTTTACATTCTTGCCTGAAACTTGCAGAGTATTTTCTCCAAATAGTATTTTTTTATGATAAAGGCGGCAAGTTATTTTAACATCCTTTCTTATACTAAATCAGATTTTCTCAGTCTCAGCACTATCGACAGTTTAGGCCAGACAATTCTTTGTTGAGGAAACACCTTGGGCACTGAAGGATGCTGAGCAGCATCCTGACCTCCACGCACTAGATGCCAGTAGCACTCCATCCCCCACACTGTGAGAACCAAAAACATGTATCTCCAGATATTCCCAGATGTCCCCCAGGGAGCAAAATCGCCCAGGTTTAAGGCAACTCAATTGATTCTATGCTCATATTTGAAGTAGACAGAACATTTTAATGTTGCTTATTGTTAGTCCTCTAAAATATTTCAGATTTTTGCTTAGAAGAACAAAGCCAGATTACAGCACGAGCCATTCTGCAAGACTCACCGAAGATGTCCTTGCTGATGATCGGGATGATTATGATTTCTTGATGCAAACGTCCACGGTATGAGGTTGCAGCTTTTGTCATTTATTTCTATTTGTCACTCATTGTCACTCATTATGCTTTACATCTCAAATAACACATACTGATTCATCATACTTAGTAATATTATTTTTTAAATGTCTGTTTCTATTTTGGGATATATTTTGGGGACTGAAAGTTTGAAAAAAGTTTGTGTATTATGATAGATATTATGCAACAAAAGAGCTATTTTAGGAAAAATATTTTTAATGGCATGCATAATCTTAATTTTGCTATTCTGTTTCTTGACAAAATTTTAAGTTGCCCTTGAATTTTTCAACTACTTTCTTCATCTTACTGAATTGTCTAAAGGAAGATCAATTATCATAATTTGTGAGAGGTCAAGCTTTTGCACTCTTCCATTTTAAATTCTCAAGGCTACTTCTCCTAAAATGCTACATTGAAAAAATATTTAGTTGTGTTCATTGTAGAGTGCTCCCATATTTTAGTTTGATGTTCACATGTTCTGAACTATTTCAAAATGAGTTTAGGCTGGGCACAGTGGCTCAAGCCTGTAATCCCAGTACTTTGGGAGGCTGAGGTGGATGGATCACCTGAGGTCAGGCGTTTGAGACCAGCCTGGCCAGCATGGTGAAACCCTGTCTCTATTAAAAATATAAAAATTAGGGGAGTGTGGTGGTGGGCACCTGTAATCCCAGCTACTAGGGAGGCTGAGGCCAGGAGAATTGCTTGATCCCAGGAGATGGAGGTTGCAGTGAGCCGACACGGTGTCACTGCACTGCAGCCTGGGCGACAGAGTGAGACTCCATCTCAAAAAAAAACCAGTGAGTTTAAAGTGTCAAAATGTTATGTGTCAGAGAAAGGAAAGGCCAAGAATGTGCAAAAAGGTGGGTGACAAGTATAAAAACCCAAACATTGGCCAGGTGCACTGACTCATGCCTGTAATCCCAGCACTTTGGGAGGCCAAGGCAGGTGGATCACCTGAGGTGAGGAGTTCGAGAACAGCCTGGCTAACATGGTGAAACCCTGACTTTACTTAAAATATAAAGATTAACTGGGTGTGGTTGTGCACACCTGTAGTCCCGGCTACTTGGGAGACTGAGGCAGGAGAATCTCTTGAACCCGGGAGGCAGAGGCTTCCGTGAGCTGAGATCACACCACTCACCCCAGCCTGGGTGACGGAGTGAGAGTCTATCTCAAAAAAAAAAAAAAAAGTGAGCATAGATTTGTATACATGTATAAGCTTGAAGAATTTGAAGCTTCCCTATGCTTGATGGATTCATGATTTTATTACATACATATACTGTATATATGTACACGTATATATGTATGTGTATATATTACATACATGTAGCACACACACACACATGCTCACCAGCATAAAAAGACTTAAATCATTTAGCATGTTTGCTCAGATCATGTCTTTTCTCTCTTTCCTGTTATTTCTGATTTAATTCAGGATCTTTGATAGAAGACATCTCTTAGTTTGTAGTGTTAGTCCTTTGTGCCTACAATATTTTCATTCACCCAAACGGTTTTAAACCAAGAAGTGAATTCTTAAGTCATTCACAGAATTAGAGATAGTTAGGATTGCAAATCCAAGTTTGTTTTTTTTTTTTTTGAGGTGGAGTCTCGCTCTGTCGCCCAGGCTGGAGTGCAGTGGCGCGATCTCGGCTCACTGCAAGCTCCGCCTCCCGGGTTCCCGCCATTCTCCTGCCTCAGCCTCCCGAGTAGCTGGGACTACAGGCGCCGCCACCACGCCCGGCTAATTTTTTTGTATTTTTAGTAGAGACGGGGTTTCACTGTGTTAGCCAGGATGGTCTCGATCTCCTGACCTCGTGATCCGCCTGTCTCGGCCTCCCAAAGTGCTGGGATTACAGGCTTGAGCCACCGTGCCCGGCCCCAAGTTTTGTTTTGTTTAGTTTTATTTTGCCAATATTTGGTTTTGCTATCTTCACAGTACTATTACTCAGTGAGAATCTTCCCTGGACAAGAACCTGCTAATGTCTGGGTGGGCTGGATTACGTCGGATTTCCATCAGTATGACACAGGCTTTGACTTGGACAGAGTTCGCACAGTAACAGTTACTCTAGGAGATGAAAAAGGAAAAGTGCATGAAAGGTTGGTGTTCCTCAATTTTTTACAAGAATGACATGTGAAAAACATATTGGTGAACCTAGCTGTTCCTTTTCCTTGTATTTTGTGACCAAGATATTTCTATTTGTAGGAACAATATAATCAAGCCATTAATGTCAATGTCATTTTTGTTACTCATACAAACCAGTAAGGAATCTAAATGTATTAAACGTGCAAGCATTGTACAGTAAGACCAGTGCAGTCTTTTGGGGTAATGATCATATATTCCTTCAGGTAACATGACTGACAGCTTGGGTTACCAATACTTAGCCTTTGTTTTAGAGATGAGAGATGGGTGAATGTGAGGCTTTTAACCAATGACTTGATCTATATTTTGGGAACTGGCTACGTGGTGGGGAGAAAACTGTGAAGACAATGTGGGCTGGTAGTTTAGACCAGGTGGACGCATTTGAACTCAGACTGAGGAGAAGTGGGTTCTTTCCTCAGCTTTGCCATTGACTCGCTGTGTGGCTTTGGGTAAGTCAGTTACACTTTCTGTGCCATCTTTTTTTCATTTGTAAAACAAACCAAACTCAAACCAAACCTTCAAAAAAGTGAAGAAGGCTATCTTCCTTGCAGAATAAGACAAGAGAAGATCTGACCATTGGCTTCTACTTTTTGTGCCCATGCATCCTCTCTGATCTGCTGTGACAGGTCTCAGAAAGAGTCCTTTATAACGTTGCTTTTCTTCTATACTTGCACCATCATTTTTTGGGAAACTCACTTTCCTGCCCTCGGGTTGTAACATATGAAGCATAATGGACTTAGCATTTGCAATGGGGGCCCAGCCAAAATCTCTAATGAAGAGCTCTTTACATAAGTATGGGACAAAAAAACCACGTGTCTCCAGGAATATTCTTTGGGGGCCACACTTAATTTGCAGGGATGGCAGCAGTATAACTAAAGAACTCAATATAGGGATGGAATAACTGAAAGATGATTTTGTTGGAGGAAATGGAAGATAGGGAAGGGTCACTGGATTTTACGTACATAGTGTGAAGAAATGCAGCCTACATTTGATTACTCAAAAACTGATTTATCCCAGCCTTTTTGTTCTTTTCCTTCTGCTTGCCTGCCTTTAGCCTTTTTTGCTAGTTTTGTTAATATGTTTACTGTATAGTGGCAGAGAAAGAGAATGCTGATAAGGCTCAAATACTCAACTTTGTTACCATCTCTAGTAAAAGTTTTAGGGAAGGTGAAAATCAGGTGGCATTTGTGGTTAACATCACTAGGTTTTTTGTTTGTTTGTTTGTTTGTTTGCATATTCTAGTTAAGTCTGTCTCTCAGATCACTGGGAATTGTCCAGAAAGGGGCAAAATTTTAGCCAAATTTTAAATATATCAAATCACTGAAGGCCTATGTGGAATTTGCCTGAGGACTTTGACAGTGTTTGGAAACAAATGCTTCTCATTTCAGAACAAGTTGTAAAAAAAAAACAAAAAAAAAAAACCTAAAAAAAAAAAAATCCATGAGATGAAAATTACAAATTTGGATGATTTTTAAATAGTTAAACTTTTTTGAACCCAGAAAAAAGGTCTAGTTTGGTTTGAGTTTTTGGAGAGAAGGTGCAGGTCAGTTCTTACTTGGTTCCAACTTGTTGACCTGTCTTCATTAGGTGTGAAATGTAGAGACGTATAAGACCTGATTCAGAACGTCCACTGCAGTCAATGGAGTTTTGCTCAGAATCACAGAATCGGGCCCATTGTGCACCTCTCCCATTACAGCATGAGCTTGTTGCTTGCGCAGCATAATTTAGTTAGTTTGCAAGATATACCTGCTTTCTCTTTTATCTGTGGTTGTACAAAGATAAAAATGTTCTTTTGAAATTCAGCATCAAACGCAGCAACTGCTATATGGTATGTGCGGGTGAGAGCATGAGCCCCGGGCAAGGACGCAACAATAATGGACTGGAGATCGGCTGTGTGGTGGATGCTGCCAGCGGGCTGCTCACGTTCATTGCCAATGGCAAGGAACTGAGCACATACTATCAGGTACGTGGTCAGTGATGATATCAGGCTTCTAGGGAGGAAGACTCTTTTCCCCATTAAAGGAAACACAGTTTGTAAGATCAAAAAGTAAAATAGACACATGTACATGTGCCCCTGGTTTGAAAGCCAGCCAAGCAGACCTGCCCTCAGCAAGCCCTCCCCATAGCTGTCCCAGCCACTGCACTCCTGTGACCTGAGAACCACCTTGGTGGCCTTACCCCAACAAAGCTGCCCAATCACCACCACAAATGCCTGTAGCTAGGCCACTGAGGCACTTGCTGATGCTGCTGACATAAATTACATCTGAAAAATCTGCACAGATACTACATTACTGCATCCACCCAGAACCAAAACCAGTGTATTCTACCCAACCGATACCCTAGAACCCATCTACAGGAAAAACTATTTTCCTACAAAAGCTACTTCATAAAATTGGAAGAGGCTACTGTTTTACCAGATGAGCAGATATCAAAGGAACATGAAAAACATGTGGATGGAAGAAAACACGACTCCTTCAAAGGAACACAATAATTCTCTAGTAACAGATGCCCATCGCCAAAATAAATTTACAAAATGCCTGAAAAGAAATTCAAAATAATGATTGTAAGGGAACTCAGTGAGATACAATAAAATGCAGATACTTCAAAAAGATCAGGAAACCAATTCATGATCTGAATGAGAAATTTAACAAAGAAATACATATAGTAGAAAAGAGCTAAACAGAAATCTTGTAACTCAAGAATTCAATAAATGGAATAAAATACACAACTGAGGGTTTCAACAACAGACTAGATCAAGCATAAAAAAGATTTTGTGAACTCGAAGACAGGTCTTTTGAAATAACCCATCCAGAGGGAGAAAAAGAAATAAGAAAGAAGGAAGAAAGCCTGCAGAACTTATGGGATGCCACTGAGCAACGGAGAAAGGCACAGAAAACATTTAACAAAATAATGACTAATAACTTTCCACGTCTTTGGAAAGATATGAACATCCAGATCCAGAAAGCTCAAAGGATCCCAAGAGAATCAACCCAGAAAGGTCCTTTCCAAGGCACATTATAAGCAAACTGTCAAATATCAAAGAAAAAGAGAGAATTCTAAGAGCAGTGAGAGAATAGCACCAAGTCGTATATACTTGGATTTCCATTTGACTATCAGCAAGTTTCTCAGCAGAAACCTTGAAGGCTAGGGAAATGAGATGGTATATTCAATGTGCTGAAAGAACAACTGCCCGCCAAGAATACTATGTCTAGCAAAGCTATCTTTCAGAAATGAAGAAAAATAGAGTACTCCACAGATAAGCAAAAGCGGAATGAATTCACCACCTCTGGACCTGCCTTAGAAGAAATGCCTAAGGCAGTGCTATAGCTGGAAGCAAAAGGATGGTAATTACTAACATGAAAACATGTAAAAATATAAAACCCATTCATAGAAGTAAATTTTAAATCACACTCAGAATACTGCAGTATTGAAACGGTGCTATGCCAAATCTTTCAAACCTCTAGTACCCTAGTATGAAGGTTAAAAGTCAAAATTGTCAAAAGTAACTGCAGCTACAAGTGGTTTTTAAGGAACACACAATATAGAGAGATGTAAATTAAGTCAACAGAAATATAAGTTGTGAGGGGAGGGTAAAAGTCCAGAGTATTTTTTTTTTTTTTGAGACAGAGTCTTGCTCCGTCACCAGGCTGGAGTGCAATGCGTGATCTCAGCTCACTGCAACCTCTGCCTCCTGGGTTCAAGCAATTCTCATGCCTCAGCCCCCCAAATAGCTGGGATTACAGGTATGCACCACCACACCCAGGTAATTTTTGTATTTTTAGTAGAGATGGGGTTTCATGATGTTGGCCAGAATGGTCTCGATCTCCCGACCTCATGATCTGCCCACCTTGGCCTCCCAAAGTGCTGAGATTACAGGCATGAACCACTGCGCCCAGCCAGTCCAGAGTGTTTTTATGTGACCAAAGTTACCAGCTTAAATAGTCTATTATAATTACAATATTGTTTATCTTGGTTTCATAGTAACCACAAAGAAAAAATTGCAGCAGTCACAGTAATGAGAAAGGGAAAGATATCAAAGCATAGCACCACAAAAAGCTACCAAACCACAAAGGTAAGCAAGAGAGAAAGAAAGAAACGAAGGATTTGGAAAACATGAACAAAATGTCAGGAATGATTCCTTACCTATCAATAATAACCTTAAATGTAAATGGATTAAATTGCCTGATTAGAATATATAGAGTGGCTGGATGGATAAAAAGCAAGACTCAGCTCTATGCTGCCCATGAGAGATTCACTTCACCTGTAAGGACAGACATAGCCTTAAAGTGAAGGGATGGAAAAAGATATGCAATGCAAATGGAAACTGAGAGTGAACAGAAGTAGCCACACTTATATTAGATAAAATAGACAATTCAAAAAAAGTAAAAAAGAGACAAAGAAGGTCATTATTTAATAAAAACAAAGGATCAATTAAGAGGATATAACAATTATGAATTTATAAGCATTCAACACTAGAGCATCAAAATATATGAAGTATGTTTTATCTAAAGGGAGAGAGAGGCTTCAACACAACAATAGTAGGGGAGTTCAACACCCCAATTTCAGCAACAGCAGATGATCCAGACAGAAATTCAGCAAGGAAGCAGCAGATTTAAACTGCACTCTAGACCAAAGGGACATAATAGACATTTACAGAACATTCTAGGCAACAGCTGTATAGCTGAAGAATACACATTATTCTCAACTGTTCATGGGACTTTCTCCAGAATAGATCATATGTTAGGCCACAAAACGAATCTTTAAAAATTTAAGATGATATTGTATATGTTTTCTGATCACACTAGTGTAAAACTAGAAATAAATAATGAGACGAACTGAGGAAACTTTACAAATACATAGACACTAAACAACATGCCCCTGAATAACCAGTGGGCAAATGAAGAAATTAAAAAAGAAATTTAAAATTTTCTTTAGACAAACAAAAATGGGAACACAATATACCAAAAGTTATGGGATACACCAGAAGCAGTTCTAAGAGGGAAGTTTACAGTATTAAATGCCTACATTTAAAAAGTAAAAAATAAACCACCTAATATTGCACCTCCAAAAACCACGAATACAAGAACAAACTAAACCTCAAATTAATAGAAGTAAATAAATAATAAAAATTGGAACAATAATGAAACAGAGACTAAACAATACAAAAGATCAATGATACGAAGAGTTGGTTTTTTGAAAAGACAAAATCAATAAACCTTTAGACGAAGAAAGAAAGAGATGACTCAAATAAATAAAATCAGCATTGAAAAGAAGACGTTACAACCTGTACCACAGAAATATGAAGGGTAATGAGAAAATATTATGAAAAATCATATGCTAACAAATTGGATAACCCAGAAGAAATGGATAAATTCCTAGATGTATACAACCTACCAAGACTAACTTACGAAGAAATAGAAAATCTGAGCAGATTAATAGTGAGTGAAGAAATTGTATCAATAATGAAAAGTATCCATCAAAGAAAAGCCTAGGACTAAATGGGGGAAAAGTTGAAAGCTTTTTTTCTAGGGTCTGGAACAAGACAAAGATGCCCACTTTCACCACTTTTGTTCAACATATTACTAGAAGTCCTAGCTGGAGAATTCAGCAAGAAAGAGAAATAAAAGGCATCCAGATTGGAAAAAAAGTCATCAAATTGTCTCAGTGTGTAGATGACATGATCTTATATGTAAAAATAGCTTTAAAAGTTTACTAAAAAACTGTTAAAACTAATACATTCAGTAAATTTGCAGGATACAAAATCAGCATACAAAAATCAGTATTTCTTTACACTAGTAGTGAATGCTCTGAGAAAAAAAATCAAGATACAATCTCATTTACAATAGCTTTAAAAATCAGTTATCGGCTGGGTGCAGTGACTCACGGCTGTAATCCCAGCACTTTGGGAGGCCGAGGTGGGTGGATCATCTGAGATCAGGAGTTCTAGACCAGCCTGGCCAAAATGGTGAAACCCCGTCTCTACTAAAAATACAAAAAATTAGCTGGGCATGATGGCAGGCACCTGTAATCCCAGCTACTGGGGAGGCTGAGGCATAAGAATCACTTGAACCTGGGAGTCAGAGGCTGCGGTGAGATGAGCTCCAGCCTGGGTGACAGAGCGAGACTCCATCTCAAAAAACAAAAACAAAAACAAAAAAATCAGTTATCTAGGAACACGTTTAACAAAGGAGATGTAAGAACTCTACACTGAAATCTGTAAAACATTTGTGAAATACATTTAAGAGTACAGAAATAAATGGAAAGATATCTCATGCTGTTGGATTGGATGGATTGGAAGAATTAATATTATTAAAATGTCCATAGTACAAAAAGTAATTTACAGATTCAGTAAAGTTACTATCAGAATACCAATGACATTATTATTCTATTATAGAAATAGAAAAAATAATTCTAAATTTCTTATGAAATCACAAAAGACCCCAAGTAGTCAAAGCAATCTTGAGCAAAAAGAATAAAGCTGGAAACATCATACTACCTGAGTTTAAAATATACAAAGCCATAGTAACCAAAACACTACATGACTTGAAACTATACTACAAAGCTATAGTAACCAAAACAGACATATAGACCAATAAAACAGAACCGAGAGCCCAGAAACAAACCCATCTATCCATCTAATTTTCAACAAAGGTGCCAAGAATATACATTGGGGAAAGGACAGTTTCTTTAATAAATGGTACTTGGAAATTTGAACATCCACATGCAGAATGAAACTGGACCCCTGTTTTTCACCATATACAAAAATCAACTCAAAGTGGATTAAAGACTTAATGTAAGACCAGAAACTATGAAACTACTGGAAGAAAACATGGAGGAAACACTTCATGACATTGGACTGGGTAAGAATTTTTTGGACAAGACCTCAAAAGCACAGGCAACAAAAGCAAAAATAGACAAGTGGGATTATATCAAACTAAAAATCCTCTGCACAGCCAAGGAAACAATTAACAGAGTGAAAAGACAACCTACAGAATGGTACAAAATATTTGCAAAGTATGCATCTGATAAGGGATCAATATCCAGAATATATAAGGAACACAAACAACAATAGTAAAAACAAACAATCTGATTTAAAAGGGGGCAAAAGACCTTAGTAAACATTTCTCAAAAGAAGACATACAAATGGCCAACAGGCATATGAAAACATGTTCAACATCACTAATCATCAGCAAAGTGCAAATCAAAACCACAAGATTACCTTATTCCAGTTAAAATGGCTATTATCAAAAAGACAAAAGATAATAAGCGTTGGCAAGAATGCTGAGGAAGAGAGAAACCCATATACTGTTTGTGGGAATGTAAATGAATATAGCCATTATGCAAAACAGTATGGAGGTTCCTCAAAAAATTAAAAACAGAACTACCATATGATCCAGAATTCCCCATACTGGGTATATATCCCAAGGAAATGAAATCGGTGTGTGGAGGGGATATCTGTACTCCTATAATTATCACAGCACTATTCACAATAGCCGAGATAGGGAATCAGCCTAAGTGCCCATCAGTGGATGAGTAAGTGAAGAAAATGTGCCATATATACACAATGGAATGCTATTTGATCATAAAAAATAATGAGAACCTGTCATTCACTCCAATATGGGTGAACCTGGAGGATATTGTGTTAAGTGAAATAAGCCAGACATAGAAAAATACTGCATTGCCCACTCATATGTAGAATCAAAAAAAGTTAATCCCACGGAAGTAGCGAATAGAATAGTGATTATCAGATACTGGGGAAGGGTAGGGGAAAGTGGGGGAGAGGGAGTGGATATCCAACGGATATAGAGTTAACATTAGAAAGGAAGAATAAGTGCTGGTGTCCTATTGGACAATAGGGTGACTATGGTCAACCCTCAGGTATTGTATATCTCAAAATAGCTAGAAGAGAGGATTTTGTATGTTCTCACCACAAAGAAATGAAAAGTGTTCAAGGTGATAGTCATGCTAATTACCCTGATTTGATCATGGCACAATATATGCACGTATCAAAACATCATATTGCATTCCATTAAATATGTACAATGTGTCAATTAAAAAACAGTAAATTAGAAATTAAAAGAAAATGGAAAACACTGAATTAATTATGTATGTTTACTTCCGCTAAGTAATGACAGTACCATAAACCCTTCAGAGTAAACACAGTATGTTCCCTCAGCAGTGTTCACATAGTAACGAAATACTCTAATTATTGAAGGAGCACATCAATCAATATGCAAGAAAGGAAAATCTCTGGGTTCCTTCTGTAAAGTATTCCTTTGTTGTTATAAAGAAATTATTTTTCCCTTGTCTTCTTTCTTTACTAACATTATTAAACTCATTTGTGTATTTCAGGTGGAGCCGAGTACAAAATTATTTCCTGCGGTTTTTGCACAAGCTACAAGTCCCAATGTTTTCCAGTTTGAGTTGGGAAGAATAAAGGTAGTAAAACTCGTTCCTAGTATTATATTTGTTTTATTTTCTATTAGGACATAGCATTTATTCTGAAATGAATTCAGTATATTAGTACTGATATGAATGAAATAAATCATTCTCTCAAGAAAAGATAGCCATGCTTGAAAATCTGAGGTCACAAGGGTAACATAATAATTAAAAAGTGTTTCTCTTTAGTTATCATATGTATATTATCCAATAAAAGGCCTATTCAATAAAAGGTCTATAGAAAACGAAAAATTGCCAAATTACACACATTGCAGTAATCATTGAACTCATAGGTGAGCTAATGAATGGACTTAAAGACCTGAAACCATGCCACCTAAAATAGTGGTTTGTATGGAATACTCCAGTAATATAAATGAAAGAACAACTCAGTTGGATGGGTTGGATCAGATAAAGTTCAAAGAAGAGGTAGCATTTAGTTTGATTACTAACTGTAAAATAGGAGCTCTTGGGGTACATTTATTAGGAGAGGTCATTCTAGGCAGGAGAAGAAGCAAAAATATGTGAGCGTGAACATGCTGAAGGTTAAGTAATTCAGTGTAACCGTAACAAAGGATGCCTTCCAGAATGTGGCTGGAGATTAAGAGGGATAAAGGGTGGAACAAGACCAAGCTGAAAAGGTCTTGTGTGCTGTGTGAAAAGGTTAGCACCTATTACATGGACAAGGGAAATCCATCGGAAATTTGAAGAAGGGAATTGAGCATAATGAAACTTGTTTTGGAAAAATATGTTATTGTTAACGTGGAGGTGAGCAAGAAGGAGAAGAGTCAGTAGCAATGAGGAGTCAATAATTTAATACTGTCTACGTGGAAGACAGTGATGAGAGCCATGGAAGTCAGAATGAAAAATGATAAATGTGAAAATATTTTATAGAAGAAATGAATAGGATTTAACAATTAATTGAACTAACAGAATTTGTAGATGAATTTGACTCAGGATCTCAAGCAGAGTGAGAATCAATGACTGATGGCGCGGTGGCTCACGCCTGTAATCCCAGCACTTTGGGAGGCCAGGCGGGCAGATCACGAGGTCAGGAGATCAAGACCATCCTGGCTCACACGGTGAAACCCCGTCTCCACTAAAAAATACAAAAAGATTAGCCGGGTGAGGTGGCGGGAGCCTGTAGTCCCACTTACTCCACAGGCTGAGGCAGGAGAATGGCGTGAATCCAGGAGGCGGAGCTTGCAGTGAGCTGAGATCGCGCCACTGCATTCCAGTCTGGGCGACAGAGCGAGACTCCATCTCAAAAAAAAAAAAAAAAAAAAAAAATTAGTTTGGACAATTTGGCCATGCTAATACAAAAAGTGGAAGAGCTTGTTGAAATTCAGTAAAAAAACTGAACTTACTTTTGCAATTGTAAAGTTGAGGTTCCAGGCACACACTGGAGTGAACAGAGTAAGTAGTTTTATTAGGCTGGCTTGGTGACCTTGGACATCTTTCTTAAAGTATGTGAGCTCAGTTTCTGCTTCTATAAAATGGGGTTCACAGTATATCTTTTATGGAGTTAATATAATTAAACATCTTGAACAATGCTTTATACATGGTATCTGTTCAACAAATTTATATATGATGTACATACATATGCATACCTATACACACATATGTATGCACAATTGTGCTAAAAAGAGCTATGCTGGAGATTACAATTTTCATCATCAAGAAATCAGTTGTAATTCATCTTTGAGTGTGAATGGAAGATTTGAGAGCAGATGTAGACAGTGGCAAGAGATGACTGAGGAGAGAACCTGGTTGTATCAACTAAAAAAGAGGAACCTATGAGATAAGCTGAGGGCAGAGCTGTCAAGAATATTGGAGAAGAACTGAAAGAGACATCTTAGTAGATGCCAAGCGAGGATGGAGTTTTCTAAACAGGAGTAGCTAACAGCAGATGCTACAGATGGACTAATACAACTCGGACTAAAGGAATCCCTGGCTTTTGTTAATGAGGAGGGCTTTGGTGGACTTGCCAGAAGAATTTCAGCAAAGCAGTGGGAGAGGGGCCAGTCTCAGTGGCTCATGCTTGTAATCCCAGCACTTTGGGAGGCAGGAGGATCACTGGAGCCCAGAAGTTTGAAACCAGCCTGGGCAACATAGTGAGACCCCATCTCTACAAAAAATAAAAAATGATTTTAGGCAGATGTGGTGGTGCACTCCTGTAGTCCTAAATCCTCCAGAGGCTGAGGTGGGAGGATCACTTGAGAGCGCAGACATGGAGACTGCAGTGAGCCGTGATTGTGCTGCTGCACTCCAACCTGGACAACAGAGGGAGACCTTGTCTCAATTATTATATTAAGAAATGATGACAGGAGCCATGTGACAGTGAATTCAAGATTGGAAATGAGAGAAAGGAGGCAGCAAGTTCAGATGACCTTTATTTTTTTTAACAAAATTGGACAAAGAGTGGTAGTTTCTGAGAAGCCTGACTGATATATTCAATCATCTATTGACTTCTACTGACATTTCCATTGGATGAGTGATAGCTATCACAGATTGTCCAGTCTAGTCCAGACTGGACTAGACTGCTCGCCTTTCCTTTTCCTTTTCCTTTTCTTTTTCCTTTTCCTTTCCTTTCCTTTCCTTTCCTTTCCTCTTTTCTTTTCTTTTCCTTTTTTCTTCCCCTTCTCTCCCTCTCTCCCACCCTCCCTTCCTCCCTCCCTCCCTCCCTTTCCCCCTTCCCCGCTTCCCCTTCCCTTTTCTTTCTTTCTGACAGAGTCCCACTTGTCACCCTGGCTGGAGTGCAGTTACATAATGTCAGCTCACCGCAACCTCCGCCTCTCAGGTTCAAGCAATTCTCCCACCTCAGCCTCCCGAGTAGCTGGGACTACAGGAACACGCCACCATTTTAATATTTTTTACAGGCGAATTTTTGTATTTTTAGCAGAGGTAGGGTTTCACTATGTGGGCCAGGCTGATCTTGGACTCCTGACCTCAAGTGATCCACCTCCCTAGGCCTCCCAAAGTGCTGGGATTACAGGCATGAGCCACCATGCCAAGCCCAGTCTTTCTTTAAATGTCACTTTCTCAGTGACACCCATTCTGACAACCCCGTTTAAAATTACTGCCCTGCATTCTGGTTCCTCCATTCTGGCTTTCTGTTCCCCAAACTCCCAGCCCTATGACATCTCTTCTAAAATACCATTTAATTCATCTAATTTACTTATTGATTTTATTTCATACTTTTAGTGAGAAAAATGGAAACTATTTGAGGGCGGGGGTTTGGTTAGCTGTATTCTTTAACATATCATCAGTATTTAAACCAGTACTTGACATTTCCCCCCCGCTATTGTTAGAGGGCAATAGGAAAGCAGTATGAGAATGCAACAGTCTAGAGCATGCAATTGAGGGGGCTCTAGAGGAGAAGGAGAGATAGAAGGTAATGCAGAAATATGAGATAAAATCCCATAAGAGGCAGACATCGGTGTTGTCAAGATCATAGATAAATGAAGAAGCTTTTGGCAGAGTAGAGAACTCTCTTTCTTTGACACCCGACGGAAGGAATTAAGGATGGCTGACGATGACATTGGAGGTGGAGGAGAAATAAATATGTTTGTTAATGCCTATCATATTCTGTTTTCTTGGTTGGTAGTCAGGTTTATCTGTTGAACTTTATCTGGAATACTTCTGGCTAGAGGAAGTGTTTGAAGGACGAGTTGGGTGACAGAGCACAGATATTGAGAGAGAGAGCCAGGGAGATGTGACCTATCTGTCATTCAGGAAGTTTGGCCCTGAAAGTTCCTAAAGACTTGCCGGCTTTCCCTGAGGTCCCAGCCTGGTAAAGAAATAGAAAGGATATATGGGTATGCTTGGTTGTGCTTGGCCTTCTCTCTGTGCCGTTCAGTATATGGGAAAGCCACATCCCGAAACCTGTTTGACTGCCCTGAAGGTATAGGTATTTTCCTCACAATATATTTCCTGGTTTGTCGTTTCAGAAACTTTTCAACTCAATTTCTATGATTTCTTGTGTTGACTTTGCTTGACTCATAGGGCTATCTTACTTTCCCTGTCTCTGTCCTGTGCAGAATTCTAGTCATTACTTTGTGAACCCCAAGGGATGCTCTAAATTCATTCTTTTTCTGCCTCCTCATCCCCTAGAATGTGATGCCTCTCTCGGCGGGATTATTCAAGAGTGAGCACAAGAACCCCGTGCCGCAGTGCCCCCCGCGCCTCCACGTGCAGTTCCTGTCACACGTGCTGTGGAGCAGAATGCCCAACCAGTTTTTGAAGGTAGATGTGTCTCGAATAAGTGAACGCCAAGGCTGGTTGGTGCAGTGTTTGGATCCTCTGCAGTTCATGTCTCTTCATATCCCTGAGGAAAACAGGTCAGCCCCATGAATCCGTGACATTCTGATTGGGACACTTGGGATTAGCCTGTGGCCCGGGGCTTCTGGTAGTGGTGCAGGGCGGGGGTGGTTCTAAAGAAGCAAAATGAAATTTACGAAGGTCTCAAGTCTTTTGGCAATGGAGTCATTATTCTGCGTATTCCAAGTTTACGTTTATTTCTCAACCACTTTGTTACTGAAAAAAATTATTCTGCAGTTGAAGGTGCCACGTGATGGTTTCTTCATTCACTCTTGTGTTACTTACCAGACAACAGCAAATACAAATTCAGACAAGTGCAACTGTAATCCAACTTATGACTTAGTAGAGTACTGTAGTAGAGAATTGTGAGATATTAGAGATGGAATCATAGGAATCCCTTATGATTCCTATGTTCAACCCTTCATTTTATAGATGTAAAAGACTGATCCCAAGAGATATTAATGAAAGAAAATTGGGGAAATACTGTGAGTGCCTTGGAAACAAGTTTATATGCATTCTAGTATATGCAGTAATAATAGTAACATGAAGTATAATAAATACTCAAAGATAGCTTTGTTTATGATTTTCTGTTTTTCCATGTGATAGCCAATTAAATTGCAGAGATTTCATTTAAGAAGTACTTCTTATCAATAAGGAGCTAAGTTTCTAAGTTTTGGGCCAAGATTTCCCTCCCAAAATACCATTGAAATGTTCAGTCACAAACTGAGTAAAAACATGTTATGAAAGTAATGCACAATCGTATTTGTAAGTTTTAAGTCCTTAATCTGAAAATAATTATTGAAGCCAGGTCCATTTTTATATCTTTAGATGTTCTTGGCATTTTTGATTTTAATATCTTTAAAATTTAACCTATGCTTTGGAAAACAGTTTGTCAGTTCCTCAAAAAATAAAATTATAGCATTACCATGTGATCTAGCATTTCTGCTACTCATATATATCCAAGAGAAATTAAAATATGTCCACACAAAAACTTGTACATGAATATTCATAGAAGCATTATGAATAATAGTAAAAAAAAAAGGAACCCCAAATGTACACCAACTTATGAATCAATAAACAAAATGTGATATATCTATATAATATTATTTGGCAGTAAAAATGATTGAAGTGCTGATACATGCTACAAAATGCAAGAACTTTGAAGACATTATGTTAAGTGAAAGAAACCAGTCACGAAAGCATATTAAGTGAAAGAATCCTACTAGTGTGGATTTTATTTAATTGGAAAGTCCATGATAGACAAATCTTTAGAAACAGAAAGTAGATTAGTGGTTACCTAGGGCTAGGAGCAGAAAAGGACTGCTAATGGGTACTAAATTCCTTTTGGGGTGATAAAAATGTTCTAAACTCAATTAACGATAATTATAGTTATCGTTATACAACTCCATGAATATACAAAAACTATTAAATTATGTATTTTGAGTCAGTAAACTGTATAGCATGTAAATTACAGCTCATCAAAGGTGTTTTAAAACAAAAGAAAAACAAAAAAATTAATCTGACTAGTTAATTATTTTTATGTATTAAATATGTATTTACATATTTAATGTAATTAGATATCTTTCATAACGTACTCTTGAGATGGTTCCGTTTGATTTTAATTTTATTCTTTTTTGTGAGAAGAGTTTTATCATAATTTTTCAACTGATGATGTTTTTTAAGAAAATATTGAACAACCAAAACAAACATAACATTTGGGAAGGAATTCTTGTTTGTGAAGGAAAATGTTGTGTCTCTACTGAGCATGGAACTTTAACATTATAATTTAACATTTTGGCATGCTATCATTGAAAACCAACATAACACCTTGTTTCAGTAGTTTATAATTTATATTAATTGCCTATGATAGATGTATATGTATGTGAATGGATAATTTAAACTCCCACTAAAGTTCATAAAGGACTTAAGGGAGTTTTCCAAATCATATGCAACAGGAATGTATAAAAATGTGTCACTGGCATCAGGCCGTAGAAAAGATATGGATAGGAAAATAAAACTGAGGCTAAGAGCGACACACAGTCATTTATACCACACCGGTTGGTAGAGTCGAGGCCCACATTAATTTCATTCTTTCTAGCAGCCGCAGAAAAATATGGTGAGTTTCAAAATCCAAATTCCAAAAAAGGAAGTCTGAACTAGCGTGGGTGAGAAGAATCTGATGCCCCAATAACATGACAAATCATTAATATGTTAAAGTTTGCTATGGCGGTAGATGTATGTCAGTGTGTACTTTGTTTCTCCTTAACACATGTCACAGTTGATCATTTAATTTGCTCCATTTTGGTCAGCGGGGGTGGTTTACTCCCTCAATTGGATATAAGCTCCCTGGGGACAGGAATCATGTCCGTATTATTCACCATTGTATCATCAGTGCACAGTGCTAATACATAATAGGCACTCAGTGATATTTGATGAACAATTGAATGACGGTGACATATGAAAGCAATTTCTCCACTAGAGACTTTTTGTTGTTTGTTTATTTATTTATTGTTTTGAGGTGGAGTCTCGCCCTGTTGCCCAGGCTGGAATGCAGTGGCGCAATCTCGGCTCACAGCAACAGATCCTTGATACAATGGAGGAGGAAGGAGGTGCTAGAAAAGTGTCAAATTCTATGTAGAAGAAAATCTGTAAAACATCTAGAAATGATTAAAAGTACTATGCAGCCGTTAAACATGTCATAGAAAATTAAAAGAAGACATAGGTTGGGTGTCCCGAATCCCAAAATCTGAAATTTGAAATGCTCCAAAATCTGAAACATTTTGAGCACCAACATAATGCTCAAAGGAAATGGAGTATTTCACATTTCAGACTTTCAGATTCAGGATGCTCAACCGGTAAGTATAATGCAAACATTCCAAAGTCTGAATCAAATCCCAAATCCAAACACTTCTGGTCCCAAGCATTTCACATTAGGGATGTTCAGCCTGCACTGTCTATTCCCATAACTGTTTGCCTTCACATTTACAATGTATACTGATTTCTCCTCTGAGTCAGATTTTCAAAAATCATTCATTTCAAATCTTACTACCACTCTCCTCCCTTCTACAGATCTGTTGACATCTTGGAGTTGACAGAGCAGGAGGAGTTGCTGAAATTTCACTATCACACTCTGCGGCTCTACTCAGCTGTCTGTGCTCTTGGGAACCATCGGGTGGCCCACGCCCTGTGCAGCCACGTGGATGAACCTCAGCTCCTCTACGCCATTGAGAACAAGTACATGCCTGGCTTGCTGCGTGCTGGCTACTATGACCTGCTGATCGACATCCACCTGAGCTCCTATGCCACTGCCAGGCTCATGATGAACAACGAGTACATTGTCCCCATGACGGAGGAGACGAAGAGCATCACCCTGTTCCCTGATGAGAACAAAAAGCATGGCCTTCCAGGGATCGGCCTCAGCACCTCCCTCAGGCCACGGATGCAGTTTTCCTCCCCCAGTTTTGTAAGTGTTAGTAATGAATGTTACCAGTACAGTCCAGAGTTCCCACTGGATATCCTCAAGGCCAAGACCATACAGATGCTGACGGAAGCTGTTAAAGAGGGCAGTCTTCATGCGCGGGACCCAGTTGGAGGGACTACTGAATTCCTCTTTGTGCCTCTCATCAAGCTTTTCTATACCCTGCTAATCATGGGCATCTTCCACAACGAGGACTTGAAGCACATCTTGCAGCTGATCGAGCCCAGTGTGTTTAAAGAAGCGGCCACTCCAGAGGAGGAGAGTGATACGCTGGAGAAAGAGCTCAGTGTGGATGACGCAAAGCTGCAAGGAGCTGGTGAGGAAGAAGCCAAGGGTGGCAAGCGGCCCAAGGAAGGCCTGCTCCAAATGAAACTGCCAGAGCCAGTTAAATTGCAGGTAATCAGAACAAGAGATTTGGGTGAATTTCAGAATGACTAAGCATTAAGGTATTGGAACATGCCTTTGTTTCTTTCTGTGTAGGTGTGTTTATTTCTTTGCATTCCTGTGTAATGGTAGTTCTTCATAAAATTAACTTCCTGTTCTCCGCCTTATTCATTAGCCATCTCCTCTTGTTTCATACATGTTTTACCTTCATTACATTGGAATACCTGAAATACAAGCCATCAAATACCCCTTTCTACCCCTATTTCCACTCTTACCAACCTTAGAATGCTCGTTTACCAGTAGATGCACCCATGGTCACATAGCAAGGTTTTACTTTCCCCTCGTATGCTTTTGTTTTGGTGTTTTGATACAGGGTCTCAGTCACCCAGGCTGGAGTACAGTGGTGGTGGTGCAGTCATAGCTAACTGCAGCCTAGATCTCCTGGGCTCGAGCCATCCTCTCACCTCAGCTTCTGCGGCAGCTGGGACTGTAGGCATGCCACCATGCCCAGTTAATTTTTTTTTATTTTTAGTCAAAATGAGTTCTCGTTATGTTGCCCAGGCTGGTGTCAAGTGATCCTCCCTCCTCATCCTCCCAAAGTGCTAGGATTACAAGTGTAAGCCGCTGCACCCAGCCACCTTAGTATGTGTTTAAGGAATCAGACACATTGGCTGTCTTGATGCTCATCAAGATGTCCAAAGGGTCCTTTATTAATGTCTCCTCTGTTTATTAAAGTCAATTTGATGTTTGCATCGCTGACCTACTTTTTTGCTCCTCGTTCCTTTAGTCAGCATTGACTGAAGCCTTACTCTGGGTATGCACTTAGGGGAAACACAAGTGAACCCTGCCTTTCAGAAGCTCACAGCCTCTAAGGAAATATACACTCATTTATGCATTAAAAAATCTTGTTCCTAATTGCATTAAATACTTCGAAGGCAAAGAATGGATTACTAAAAGAAAGAACATTTAGACTGGATTATTGTTAGAAAGATAAGGGGGAAGACCCCTCAGAGATTGTGACTTTTAAGCTGAGTTCAGATTTAAGAGTTGTGCTCAGCAGTTACTAGGAAAAGGAACGGGGCAGGGTGTTCTAGGTGCTTTCCATGCAAAACAAATAGCCCAGCAAAGGTCCTGAGGCAGGAAAAGGCCAGTGTGGCTACTGGAGGGAGGAAAGAGAGTGTGATCTAGTATCTGGTTAGTCAGAAGGCTTTCACGCTGGTCCAAACTCTAGGAGACGATGCTCAGAGGAGGGTGGGGCAAAGGAGATGGAGAAAAGGGGATGGACACTGTGACTACTTCAGAGACAGCATTGAGAGAAATGGTTATATTGCAGATGGTGACACAGAGGGTTTTAAGGTCCTCTTTGACACTGTCATGTATTTATATCACAATTAGTATTGAGTGTATAGATTCTTTAAAAATTTGCCAGAGCGTTCTCTTTTAGAAGTGTTTCTACCAACATACTCAGTTATGAATCCTTTTGGTTTTCAGTAGGAGAACGACCCAGCTAACCACTGAATAAATGAGCATTCACCACTTAATTGTCTTAAGTTTAGATTTCTGGAATTGGTACGGCAGCTCAATGATGTCATCCGTAACCCAGATCTTAACATCTTTCTGCTCTGTGATCCTCAGCCTGTGGTTTTCTTCCTAAAATGTTCACCTTATTCTTTCTGCAGTAATCATGTCATCACCCAGTTACACTCATTTTGAAAGAAGGGAATTCTAGTCTCTTATCACTGATGGAATATCTTTCCCAGAAGACCCTTAGCAAAGTTTCCCTTATATATTTCATTGGCCACTGCACCTGTGGCTGAAAGGGAGGTTGGGAGGGTAAGTGTATTAGTCCGGTCTCACACTGTTAATAAAGATATACCTGAGACTGAGTAATTTATAAAGGGAAAAGGTTTAGTTGAATCCCAGTTCCACATGGCTGGGGAGGCCTCACAGTCATGGCAAAAGGCAAATGAGGAGCAAAGTCACATCTTACATGGCGGCAGGCAAGAGAGCATGTGCAGGGGAACTCCCATTTATAAAACCATCAGATCTTATTCACTACCACAAGAACAGCATGGGGGAAGACACCCTCATGATTCAGTTATATCCACCCAGCCCCACCCTTGACATGTGGGGGTTATTACAACTCAAGGTGAGATTTTGGTGGGGAAATAACCAGACCATATCAATTAGCGTCCACTAAAGGGACATTTATTTGCCATTTTTGCTTAGGGACATTTATTTGCCATTTTTGCTTAGATAAATTATGTTTCATCTCCTGGGACCAAGCACATTGCTGCCTATATGAAATCAGGATTCTGTTTCTAAGAGAGAAGAGTAAGCAACTAAGGATGTTTACCACAGATCATGATTTGATGCACATTATTAAAGGATTTAGAAATTAAATTTGACGTCTTTTTGATGGTCTTCTTAGATGTGCCTACTGCTTCAATACCTCTGTGACTGCCAGGTCCGGCACCGGATAGAAGCCATTGTAGCCTTTTCAGACGATTTTGTAGCTAAGCTCCAAGACAATCAACGTTTCCGGTACAACGAAGTTATGCAAGCCTTAAACATGTCAGCTGCACTCACAGCCAGGAAAACAAAGGAATTTAGATCACCACCTCAAGAGCAGGTATAGACATTAACTGAAACTTCCTTGTATTTATTTTGGCTTTTAGTCATTCAGGATCTGTGCCTTGCAAAATTGTATCATAAGTCACACGTCTTGTTTTCCGTGTTCTGTTTAAACTCATCAAGTTGATTTAGTTAGTATTCTTAGTTTCACCAAAAAAAAATTTCTTTGGTTAGTTTAAACAAAAGAGGGACTTATTAGAAGATATCAGGTATATCACGGACTCTTTGAGAAGGCCAAGATATGCCAGAGTCTGAAGTTCTTCAAATAGGAGCAAATTTCAGCCACAAATGGGTCTTCATCATCTTCCACTCATAGGAATTTTTGATTCCTAGGACTCGATGCTAGAGGCTTTCCATAGAAGAAACACATGTCTCTTCCACCTTGCTTGCCGGAAGACTGATGACCTGTCTGTGGTTCTTCCTCTCATTGCTTACCCCCAAAGTCAGGCCTCCTGAGGGTACAACAGAACCAAGGGCACCTGCCTGAATCAGAAAATTGGGCTAGTTTGGGGATGTGAATTTTCTGGAATCTGCCTCAGAGTGTGGGAAGTTACCAAGGTGTAGGGATGGTGGTTAAACAATGTAATTCACAGATGTCTTTTTTGATTTCTTACCCTTAACATTTTCTTCTCTATCCAAGGTAGCTCAGAATGAAAGTGTTTTTAGGGACTAATTACAGAATTTTTTTTTCTCACCAGAATGTAATTTCTTTGAGGAAAGGGCTGTGGAATTTTCTTAATTGTTATAAACAGCATTTATTGGGCAGAGAACAGGTTCAGCCTCTTCCAGATTAACTCTGTTAAACTATTGTTGGGAAACTTCTGCTTCTGGAAAGATGGAGTCCATGTGCTTTTCCCGATTCTTCCTTTTAAGTACAACTAAAACCTTGGACATTACAAAGAAGACAGCATAAGAAGACTCTGAAAGATAGATGAAGGAAGGTTGACTACAGAACTCAGGACCCAAGGAACAACATGGTGGTGAGTTCCCTGGGTTTTCTTTTTGCCTCATCTATCCCAGATTTGAAGCTAAAGAAGCCGGCAACCAGGAAACACCAACGGGCATAGACAAGAAAAGTTGCAACAAAAGCCTCCTCTCTCTAGACAAAGGATCAGGAAAGGGGCAGCTTAGCAAGACAGAAATGTGTTAGATAATAACTGCACTACCGCAGCCAAAAACCATAGAGAAAACTGTTCCCCACCCACACTGGGCACAGGCCGAGTGGGGAACCTTGACTTCCACTCTCACCAGGCTGTAACAAGGTGTCCCAATGGAGGACAGAGCTGGGACTTTATCCCCGCTGAGTAGTAACAAGGCCCATTTCTTCCAAAGTATCAGTAGAGGTTATGGAAGGAGAAGTAACAAGACACTCTTACCCTTTCTAGCAAAGGTCACATCAGTACAGGTCTAGTGAGGAAGCAAAACTTTTTACCCCTGCCCACCAGTAACAGGCTCCCTTCCCTCCTCCAGATGTCCAAGGAGGCTGTGGGAAAATGGACTTTCCCTCCTACCTGGCAGCAATAAGGTACCCTAAGCCCTTCTCCTGCTGGATGGGGTCAGAGCAAGTCAGGTAAAACAGAGTTATAAATAAGACCCAGAGCTCCTAGCATAATCCTCAAAATGTTGAGATTTCAATTAAAAATCATGTGTGTGAAGATCCAAGAAAAACTTGAGTGAAAAAAACCAATCAATAAACACCAACACTGAGACAACAAAGATGTTAAAATTATCTGATGAAGTTTTGAAAGCAATCACCCTGTAATTCCTTCAAAATGGAAAAAAAAAAAAAAAATAGAAAGCCTCAGCAGCAGAGAAACAAAATATATAACAAAGAACCAAATGGAAATTTTAAACCTGAAAAATGTAATCACTGAAATTTTAAAAGTCAATGAATGGGCTTAAAAGCAGAATGAAGGGAGAAGAAGAAGCAATCAGTGAACTGAAGAGAGGGTGATATCAACTATTCCATCTGAAGAAAAGATGAATATAACAAAAGATCTAACATTTGTGATGTTGGAGTCTCAGAGGATAGGAGAAAGAGGGTGAACTGAAAAAAAATGAAGAAAATAATGGCTGAAAACTTTTCAAGTTCAGTAAAAGATATGAAGTGAGAGATTCAAGAAGATGAGTAAATTCCATATAGGATAAACATAAATCTATACCGAGACACATCCTAGTCAAATTTCTGAAAAAATTAAAGACAGAGTCTTTAAAGAAATGACACTACCTACAGAGGGAAAAAGAATTTGAGTGACAGCAGATTTCTCATTGAAAGTATGGAGGGCAGAAGGAAGTGGCACAACAATTTTCAAATGCTGAAAGAAGAGACTATCACCTCAGAGTTCTGTGTACCTAGAAAATATTCTTAAGGAACGAAGGGGAAATCAAGACATTCTCAAATGACAGGAAGTTGTAAGAATTTGACTACAGCAGACCTACACTAAAAGAATGCTAAATGAATTTTTTAAATATAAGGAAAATGAAAAATGAAGGCAATTTGGAAAATTCAGAAAGGAAGAAAGAACACTGGGAAATGTTATAATATGGTAAATACAGTGCATTTTCTTCTCCTCTGGAGTTTTCTAATTTATGTTTGATGGTTGAAGCAAAAATCGTAAAACTGATGTGTTTCTAAATACATGTATAAGGAATATTTAAAAATTATAAACAGAGGAGAATAAAGGAACATAAAGGGAGATAAGGTTTCTATCCTTCACTCAAACTGAAGTCTACTGGTGTCAACATTGTACCATCTGGTACACCGTCAATATCAGTAGACTGTATGTTAGGTATGTATATAAAGTAATACACAGAGCAAGCACTAGAAAAGCTGTACAAAGGGATACCCTGAGAAGTACTAGAGATAAATCAAAATAGGATGCTAAATATTGTTCAGGTAATGCATAGCAAGTCAGTAAAAATCAATCAGAGAGAACAAACAAAACCACAGGTGAAATGACAGACTGAAGTAATAGCATATCAATAATTACACAAATACAAATAATCTAAATATACCAATTAAAAGAAATTGGCAGAGTGAATTTAAAAAACTCAATCCAATTATATACTTGCTATGAGAAACTCTCTTCAAATGTAATAATGTATACAGATTAAAAGGGAAAAGTTAAAGGAATATGTATTATTAAAATATTAATCAAAATAAAGCAGGAGTAGCTATGTCACATAAAGTAGACTTTAGAGCCCAGAAAATTACCAAGAGACAAGGATAATACACAATGGTCAATCCACCAAGAAGATAAATATATATGAATTAAACAATAGAGCAAAATATGTGAAGGCAAAACTGATAGAACTGTAAGAAGAAATAGACAAATCCAAAGTTATCATTGCAGACTTCAAGACTCCTCTCTCAGTTGATAGAACAGCTAAACAGAAAAATCAGCGATGATACGGGAAAACTCCACACTATTATCAAATAATAGATCTATCAAGATTTGTAGACTACTCCACCCAACAACAAAGTACACACTCTTTTCAAGTGTCCATAAAACATTTGCTAAGATGGAACATATCCTGGGCCATAAAATAACCTCAAGAAATTTTTAAATGTTGAAATCATACACATTTTTTTAATCACATTGTAATCAAATTAGAAATCAGTGACAGAAAGGTAACTGGAAAATCTCCAAAGTCTTAGAGATACTAAACGACCCACTTCTAAATAATCTGTGGTTTGAGGAGGAAGTCTGGGGAGAAATTTAAAGATTCATTAAACTGAAAGAAATTGGACACATCACATTTGAAAATTTGTGCCACAGCTAAAGCAAGGCCAAGAGGGAAATTTATAGCACTCAGTGCTTACATTTAAAAAGTGGAAACCACTCAGATCAGTAATCTAACCTGCCACTTCAAGAATTTTGAAAACAAAGAGTAAAATAAACCTAAAGCAAGCAGACAGAAGTCACTAATGTAGATAATAACAGAAAGTAATGAAGCTGAAAACAGGACAATAGAAAAAATGGATCCAAAAGCTGGTTATTTAAAAAATAACAATAAAATTGACAAACCTCTAAAAAAACTGACAAAGAAAAAAAGAGAAGCTACAAATTACTCGTACCAGGAATGAAACCACTTACCACGGCACACCCTGCTGACATTAAGTGATCATATGGGATTTTTTTCTTCCCACCTTTGAAATAACGATAAGTAGATGAGGTGATGAATATGTTAATTATCTTGAATTAGTCTTTCTACAATGTATACATGTATCGAAGCATCACATGGTACCCCATAAATACATAAAATTAATATTTGCCAATTAAATACATATATTTTAAAGGATCATGTGGGAATACACACATACACACTATATGATTCTATTTATGTAACATTCTTGCAATGACAAAACCAAAGAGATGGAAAACAAATTTGTGGTTGCCACGACTTAAGGATGAGGGGCAGACAGAGGGATGTGGGTGTGGTCATGAAAGGGTAACAGGAGGGGTCTTTGAGATAAAGGAATTATCCTCTATTTTGACTGCGCTAAAGTTGCTATCCTGGTTATGATATTGTACTACAGTTTTGCAGAGTGTTACCATTGGGGAAACTGCATAAAGGGTACTTGAAGTCTCTCTGTATTATTTCTTACAATAGCATATAAATCTGTAATTATATCAAAATAAACGTTTAGGGAAAAAAATCACATAAATGCCACAAAGAAAATCTAAAATAGTTTCTTAAAGGAAGATTATGGGAAAGCATCTTTTTTTTTCAAATTTATAAATTTAATATTATTGTTCAAACATAAATGGAAGAAAGTTTCCCACAGTTTAACTGAACCATTAATGTTAGCAGCAGCGTAGTTATCCCTTATAAAGATTAACCATGCCTAATATGAAAATTCAAAACCCAGAATACTGCAAAATCCAAAACATTTGGAGCACTGACATGATACCACAAGTGGAAAATTCCACATGTAAATACTTAGTACAAAGTTTATTTCATGCACAAAGTTATTTAAAGTATTTTATAAAATTTCCTTCAGGCTCTGTGTGTAAGGTGTGTATGAAACATAGGTGAATTTCATTTTTAGACTTGGGTTCTATCCTCAAAATATCACATTTGTATGCAAATGGAGGTGGTCCTCTCTATCTGTGGGTTCTGCATCTATGGATTCAACCAATTGTATATTGAAAATATTTAAAAAAATTCCACAAAGTTCCAAAACACAAAACTTGAATTTGCTGTACACCCAGTACTATGTCTAATCCACTGAAATGAAGTGATGTGTCAGTACTTATTAGGTATTATAAGTAATTTAGAGATGACTTAAAATATGTGAGAGGTTATATGCAGTTTCGGTTGCATTTCATATAAGAGACTTCATCATCTGTGGCTTTTTGTCTCTATGGAGGGTCCTGGAACCAATTCTCTGTGGATTCTAAAGGATGATTGTATTCCAAACTCTGAAAAAAAAAAATCCTATATCTGAAACACTTCTGGGCCCAAGCATTTCAGATAAGGGATACTCAAACCAATGTTACTTTTCAATTATATTTTTCCTTCTTTGTGTCTGTGTTCTTCTCAAAAAGAATTCCTTTAAATATTCAATAAATGTTCTATAAAGTAGAGATGTTAGCTAGAAAATAACGGAAATTTAGGATAAGCATAATACAACACTTTTTAAAAATGGCCTTTAGATCTCTTAGTTAAGAATTCTTAAAGTATACAAGAGTCTAACATATTGTGGAATTGAGAAAGAGGAAGAAAGATTATATAACTGTTTTGCAGCTTGTTAAGCTATGAATGATTTGATTTATTCTGCAGTACTGGTTGGATTGTGTGATGGACACCTGTGGAGGAATAATTTATGAACAATCAGAGCATTTTTGCTTTTTTGGTAGTTGCTGTGCCATTCTTTTTTTTTTTTTTTGAGACAAAGTCTCACTCTGTCGCCCAGGCTGGAGTGTAGTGGCATGATCTTGGCTCACTGCAACCTCCGCTTCCCAGGTTCAAGCAATTCTCCTGCCTCAGCCTCCTAAGTAGCTGGGACTACAGGGGTGCACCACCACACCCAACTAATTTTTGTATTTTTAGTAGAGATGGTTTTTCACCATGTTGGCCAGGCTGGTCTCGAACTCCTGACCTCGTAATCTGCCCGCCTCAGCCTCCCAAAGTGCTGGGATTACTGGCGTGAGCCACTCCGCCTAGCCCTGCTGTGCCATTCTTGAATTCACCTTTCTTTTCTTTCTCCTTCTTCCTCTTTCTTGTTTTTCAAACTTTCAGATCAATATGCTTCTCAATTTTAAGGATGACAAAAGTGAATGTCCGTGTCCAGAAGAAATTCGTGACCAACTATTGGATTTCCATGAAGATTTGATGACGCATTGTGGTAAGGTCTTTGTAATTAAAAGCTCTTATTATGTGTTTTTAATCCATATATCCTGAGACAAAATTAAGCGTACATGCGAATATGTTCACGAATACACACAATACCTGTTAGAAGGTTATATAAAAACATTTATTATGGCAAAATGGCAAAATAACTGTCCCTGTGTGGGGAGTCCTGAGGGATAGAGAAATCAGAGAGGCAGTTAAACTGAACAGAAGGTGACCAAAATTCTTTCTCTCTTTTTCCTCTTTCCATCAGTGGCAGGAAATGGGAAGGGGGACATGTGGCCAGGCGCCTGCGGCAGGGACGTTAAGGTTGGTTTAGTCAATGGGTACAAAGTTTCAGTTATACAAGATGAATGAATTCTGAAGATCCACGGCACAACAGGGTGATTCCAGTTCACAATACTGTATTGTGCACTTAAAATTCTGTTACGAGGGTAGATGTCATGTTAAGTATTCTTAAAACAGCAACAAACAAACAAACTCCCCACCCCAAAAGAAAAACAAAGAAGCACTAAGAAACTTAGAGGTGATGGATTTATGTCTGTTCCTGATGGTGATGGTTTCATAGATGGATGCGTATGTCCAAGCTCATGCGTATGTCCAAGCTCATGCATATGTCCAAGCCCATGCATATGTCCAAGCTCATGCATATGTCCAAGCTCATGCATATGTCCAAGCCCATGCGTATGTCCAAGCTCATGCGTATGTCCAAGCCCATGCATATGTCCAAGCCCATGCATATGTCCAAGCCCATGCATATGTCCAAGCTCATGTTGCATAGATAAAACATGTACAGTTTTGTTTATAGTAACCTCAATGAAACTGCTTTTTTTTTTCTTTTTTAAGAAATTTGATCACAAACAGTTGTATTTAAAGCAGTTGAGGGAGTACTTTCTGGAAAATTTAGACTATATCTTTTGAAATTAGTGAATGCCTATGGAAACCCTACACTGAGTTGTGTGTCAGTAATCCAGATCTGTTAAGGGAAATCTCCCCTCCTTTTATTCTAAAAACTTTAAAAATGGAATCGATTAGGTATTCTGGATGTGTGTGTGTGTTTTTATTCCTTTATGCAGTGGTGTAGATGAGGTCTGATGATTCAATAAAAGAAAATGAACCAGCTGTTTTTAAAGTTACAGATAAAAATAATACCACTGGTTTAACCTTTGGTTATCTTTTTTTAATGAAGATAATAAAAACACCACTTTGCATATTAATTTGGTTTATGAATGAAGTACCACTAAATGACTCCCAGAAAATTATACTACGTGTGTGTATATGTATGTGTGTGTGTATGTGTGTGTGTGTGTATATATATTTCTACAAGTATCCCTTATAGAAATGTGTGTATGTGTGTGTATATATATATATATATTTTTTTTTCCACAAGTATCCCTGTATTTCTGGTATCCCTAGAAATACAGGGATACTTTAAAACTTTAGAATTATTGCTTCAGATATAAAGCATTCCCTGGTTTAGGGTACCTAATTATGCCTGTTCTCTCTGTTTCTCAACTAACCAAAATATTGCTAAAATTTTTGGAGGCAAGAGAGAAGAATTAAAGTCCCGGGGGAGTGGTTTAGGCAGGGCTGGACTGTAAGTCTAGGCAGACAGTATCTGAAGTCCGAGATGACCGGAGTCAGCCAAAATAGCAGGATTCAGCTTTGCCCCTAAGAGAGTCTTTTTGGTGTCTGCTCAGTGTTATATTTTGTTCTGGGTGGTAGCCCTGAGCCCACAGGAATAGAACAAAAAGAGAGAGGAAGAAAAGAGGCTGACAAGTGAATGTTATTTATGAGGGCTGGTAAGCAAGATTGCTTAACTTAATATCAGACATTTTTTGACATTGCTCTAAGTTATGCATGAAAGAAATTGCAAGGCCTCAGAATTATTTGCCCAAGTGTATTATTTAAATATTTTTTTCTGACTCTCTGTTTTTTTATACTAGGAATTGAGCTGGATGAAGATGGGTCTCTGGATGGAAACAGTGATTTAACAATTAGAGGGCGTCTGCTATCCCTGGTAGAAAAGGTGACATACCTGAAGAAGAAGCAAGCAGAAAAACCAGTTGAGAGTGACTCCAAAAAGTCCTGTAAGCAGTCTAAGAGGGCACGGGCAAAATGACCCAACGGCTAACACTTAACTCATCCTTTAAACGAATGTTCTACTAGATGAGCCAGTGAGATAATTGAGTTTGCAACTTCCAAGAATCAGACTCTTAAGTAGATGCCTGTAGCTCCCAGAGATAGACAGCAGCATCAGTCTATGTGTCTAGCAACAGACTGAGAGGTAGCAGCATGATAAGGATGGATAGTCTCCATAGAGAACTAGAAATTTAGGTATTTTATCAGAGATTATGAAGAGAAAGTTAAAAGGAAGTATGGTAATTTAGCCTTCATATCTAAATATGAGGTTGATTTTCAGATATTATTGCATCAAATTAAACTTTTTTGTTAAAATTTAAACAGATATTGTCTTTATATCTTGGTTCTGAAATATTTCCTAAACTGTTAGACACTTGTGGTTGATCCATATCCTATTTAAGGATAATGGCTGCTACTCCTTACAACCAAGCAAGCACCCGTAGGCTCTGAGTCCCTCGGGCACCACACTCTGAGTAGGTCTGAGGGATCTAGCCAGCCTACTTTTTACTTCTCTTCTAAGACTGCATTGATTTTAAGATGCAGCAGTGGTTTCTTAATAGCTTTCCCTGAAATAAAAACAAAATAAACTTATGAAAACTTTTACAGCACTTTTTTTTTCTTACTAACTTACAACAGAAAACCTTTATTCATACGGTTACTTCTAAATTTATTTTTCAGTGTCACAGTCACAAATTTGAGTCAAGTTTTCTTTAAAATCAGAGTTCCATACAGTCTCGCTCCATCACCCAGGCTGGAGTGCAGTGGCGCCTTCTCGGCTTACTGCAACCTCCGCCTGCCTGTCTCAGTCTCCTAAGTAGCTGGAATTATAGGCATGCACCAAGACACCTAATTTTTATATTTTTAGTAGAGACTGAGTTTTACCATGTTGGCCAGGCTGGTGTTGAACTCCTGGTCTCAAGCAGTCCACCCACCTTGGCTTCCCAAAGCGCTGGGATTACAGGCGTGAGCCACTGTGCATGGCAGAGTTCAACGTTTCTTATGAATCACTTTCTATTAATTATTATCAAGTTTATGATCTTGAGTGATTAAAATGACAGTGTGGTTTTGAGATATAGGGGATTATATTGGCATTTTATTTGCATTTTGTATTTGGTTAAAAATGGTAGTTTTTGTTTTTGCTTAAGTAATTTCTAGATGAAAGTAAAACAGCCTAATTTGAAAACCAGCCAGCATATTAATGCTAGGATTAAGTGCCTCATTGTGCACGAATTGGTCACGCCACTTAATTTTGGTAATTTTGCTGTTCATTTGAAAAGATTTGGATATTTCTATTGCTTTTAAATTTACTATGTTTCATGTTACATTGCAAAGTAATTTTCTATGTATATAGTAACTTTTCACTTTAATATAAATTCACAATCAAATCCTTTTGAAGACATTTAAAATGACAAATATGGATACAACTTTAGGTGAAAACATAATTATATGTAGTCACTAGTGCAGGTGACTCAACTGAGGAGACAATTGGATAAACAGATACTTTCTGAATATCCATGACTGAACTTCATAGGGATAAATGATGTCAGGCCTTCTGGGAAGAAAATAATAGAACAAAACAAATAAAAGTAGTAGGACACCTTATATTAATTACCATACCTTCAATTACATATGAATTGCCAATAGTAATTGAAAAAGTGATATAACTATAGCTTATTTAATTATAAGAATGATTTTTAAAGAAAGGTTTGTATATTGTTTTATCCTTGCATGACTGTAACTGATCTGTATTGAAATATGTATCATCCAATGAAGGTTATTTTCTTCAAAGAATATCTAGAGCCTTTTCAAGTCTGGTACAAATAGAAATGCCAATTTGGGGGTACAGGATATGGACTTGAAATGTCCAACTGATTTGTCTTCTCTTATTTTTCTTTTAAAAAATACCCATAATGACTTGGCAGCCACTCTGCAGCAGCTGATCTCTGAGACCATGGTCCGATGGGCTCAGGAGTCTGTCATTGAAGACCCCGAGCTGGTGAGGGCCATGTTTGTGTTGCTCCATCGGCAGTATGATGGCATTGGGGGTCTTGTTCGGGCCCTGCCAAAGACCTACACGATAAATGGTGTGTCCGTGGAGGATACCATCAACCTGCTGGCGTCCCTTGGTCAGATTCGGTCCCTGCTGAGTGTGAGAATGGGCAAAGAAGAAGAGAAGCTTATGATTCGTGGATTAGGGTAAATTATTTAATGACTACAACTGTTTGTCTTATAAATGTTTTCTTTCTAATTTTTATCCCTATAGTAATACAGTAGCGACATTGATAAAAATATATTGTCTGGATTATATGATTATTATACTAAATTGTTTTTCTAGAGTTAGAAACAAAAGCAAAGTTAGAAAATTGCTCAGTGATGAAACAAGACTAATTTCACAGTGTGGCACACAGCCAATATCTTTCAGTGTTTTTTTTAAGTCTCATAGTAACGTACAATAATATATAAAAACATAGGACAATAAAAACACATTGATCCATAGTTCTATGTGGCATTTAACACATTGAAAAAAGAAATAAAAAAACACATTGAAATCCAAGGTGGGTAGTGGGAAGTATGAGCAGGAAATGATAAGGAAGCTTGTCTTTATCTACTGGGCCTTGGAAAAAGAAGGGGTAGGAGGAACAACTTTTCTGAGAATTCAGCATCATGAGCCTGCATTTCATGTGGATTTGGGGGTTAAGGTTAATATCCCATATTCAAGAGTGAGGATAAAACAAAGATATTTCAGAATATTTACTTACAGACCCTCATTGGAAGACCATATACATTAAGGAGAAGAAAACGGAATTCAGAGAAAAAGAATGGGATGCAATAAGTTGTATTGAGTAAACTACTGATTTATACATGTATAAATCGAAGCAATCATTAATAATAAGCTTGTATAGTTTGGGGATTTGAAAATAAGATGGAAAAATTACCTATTGATTAGTGTTCACTACTCAGGTAATGGTACAACCGAAGCCCAGGCTTTTTTTTTGTATTGCACTAAAAACCCAGGCTCCTCCATGAAACAATATATGCATTTAAGAAATCTGCATTTGCACCCCCTAAATATCTAAAATATTTTTTAAAATAATTAAAAATAAAGAAAAAATAAGATGGAATCAAAATCATAACAAAGATAAAAATTATGTAAAGCTCTATGATGTTCATTAGGAACAATATCTAAACATAAAAATGTAGAACTCTGGAAGATAGGATGTTAAACAGTGATGAGAAAACAAATATTTAGCAGGAAAAAAAGCTGATATAGTTACATATATATCAGGCTAAAGAGGAGATAATAAAGGTAACTGCTACATGAATAAAATAGACCAAAAGAAACAATAAAATTGATCAAAGAAACTTAGAGTTAATTCTTTGAAAAAAATGAATAAAATAGAATATAAGGTTTTTTTTTTTTTTGACGGAACTGAAATATAATCCTGAGGGAAGAAAACAAGTGTATAATGATACAGATTGTTTCATAGCATTTCTATACATTTAACTCAGAAAATAATATTGCGTATTGCTCATGGACCTATTAAGTATTTCAAATTATAAAAATGGACTGAAAGGTTCTATTAAAAATTCATGGTAATTGTTGCACACTAAAAATAAATGTACTAATGGGACAGAAAGGGAAAGCAAAAAAGCCAATTGAGAAAAGCAAATATTATAGTCTTTATAACTGTATGAGCATTGATAGGTCTTATTTGAGTACTAATATTTAAATCTAACCTGAGGAAGCCTCTCATAAGAAGTTATCTTAATTAACCAAGTGAAAAAGAAACCTTCCAGGAAATAGAGATCACATTCCTTCTTAACACACAACAGTAATATGTGCCATTAAAAAGTAAATCATTCAGTAGTGATAAAACTCAAAATGATGTTAAAAAGCAAAATGCTTCTTTTCATGGTATTCAAAATATTTAACACAAGAGAGATTCTTAGTAAATGACAGCCTGACTGCTATTTAATTTACCTAAAACTAAAAGCAAATGAGATTTTAAAATCAAGTTACTTCATTCAAAGATTTGAATGAATGAGACAATAAAAAGGAAAAAGCTGCCTTCGTTTACCTTAGTTTGTTCTGGCATGAAATAAATCAGACCCATATTAGACTCGGGCACCAAGTAGCTTTTCTGACCTATGCCATCTAAAAGCCCTCTTCATTAAAAATAATATATACGGTCGGGCGCGGTGGCTCACGCCTATAATCCCAGCACTTTGGGAGGCCGAAACGGGCGGATCACGAGGTCAGGAGATCAAGACCATCCTGGCTAACACGATGAAACCCCGTCTCTGCTAAAAATACAAAAAAATTAGCTGGACATAGTGGTGGGCACCTATAGTCCCAGCTACTTGGGAGGCTGAGGTAGGAGAATGGCGTGAACCCAGGAGGCGGAGCTTGCAGTGAGCGGAGATGGCGCCACTCACTCCAGCCTGGGCGACTGAGCGAGACTCCATTTCGGAAAAAAATAAATAAATAAATAAATATATATATATATATATATACACACACACACACACACACACATATACACACACACAAAAAATCATACTATCCCACTTTCTTGATATAGCCAGAGTAACTAAAGTTTTGCATATGACTAAATGAATAAGTGAGTAATTCAACTAAAGGGAACTAATTTGAAGAGAAGTTTCAGTTTTCTTGTAGGCTGTATGTTATATTCTTGCTGTAGATCTGACAAGAAAATGTTTTATAGAGAAGACTCTTGGCATTGATTTGATCTATGTTAAAATAGAAATCAACAGAGCTCTTTATTTGCAGTGAATGATACTTTCTCCTGAACATTATGACCCTTAGGAATACCTGGACACACATATTACAAGAATATGTAATGCAGTAATGATAATATGAGGCATTTTAGGTATCACCTAATACTGTTTCTTGAAACTGGATGTCCATTTTAATGAGTTAGATTACTTATACCTGGACTTCATGTATACTCAGTTTCTCTTGGAGAATTTAAATCCTTTTAAGTATTTGTCAGAATGATAATATGAACTTAAAAAGAAATAACACTATTGTAATTATATATACAAATACTGAATGTAGTACTAACAATAGCATATATATGAAAAGCAGAGATACTTATATATGAAGAATTTTTATGTAAACATAGTATAACACTAATTCATATTTTTATATAAAAGAAGGTTGGACACATACATGGTTGGATATCCATAAAATTAGAAATGATGTGTCCAAAATATATTTCATTTCAACTGTTTACATATTTACTATGTTTATTATGATTAAAAAGAATAGACACTTGTCAACCAGTTTTGGTAAATTATCAGTATTTTTTAGCAAAACTCAATTACATTCATTAACTTTTGTGGCTTATTAAATATTGTGATTGCTTTTACTTTTCAACTTGCATAAATTATTTCTACAAGATTTATGAGAAACTTGGTTAACTATTTAAATGTTGCTCTGAGCTTTCCCCCATACGTCCGTTGTCATTTCTAGGGATATTATGAATAACAAGGTGTTTTACCAGCACCCTAATCTCATGAGGGCACTGGGGATGCATGAGACTGTGATGGAGGTCATGGTGAACGTCCTTGGAGGTGGAGAGTCCAAGGTAAAGTCTTTGATTCCTGAGATGCTATCTAGTGCTATTTAGTGTCATCTCCTGGAGTATATAGATAGCAGATTCTTTTTTTATTTTTTATTTTTGAGACAGAGCCCAGGCTAGAGTGCAGTGGCCCGATCTAGGCTCACTGCAGCTCACTGCAAGCTCTGCCTCCCAGGTTCATGCCATTCTCCTGCCTCAGCCTCCCGAGTAGCTGGAATTACAGGCGCCCGCCACCATGCCCAGCTAATTTTTTGTATTTTTAGTAGAGACAGGGTTTCACTGTGTTAGCCAGGATGGTCTCAATCTCCTGACCTCATGATCTGCCCGCCTTGGCCTCCCATAGTGCTGGGATTACAGGCGTGAGCCACCACACCTGGCCCAGATTGCAGGTTCTTAATGAGAATTTCTTAAATCCTCTTAGGGTGACTGTTTTTAAAGAAAACTTTTTGAAAAAAAGACACACAAACCTTAGAGAGTTGAACGTACTATTGGTTTGTTTTTTTTTTTTTTTACTTGATTTTGATAAAAAATTTCCTGTCTTATGCTGTGTAATTTTTGGCCTTCTAAATTATTCTCCTTTAGGGGATATTTAGAAACTGAAGTATCTCATTTAGGGGTATTTAGAAACTTAGAAACATAAAAATTACTCTATGTATTAATTTATTTTAAAATTTTGAATTATAAGTCAGTTCCCATCATGCTACCAGTCCATGGCACAAGCATGTTCTTCAGACTCAGCCATTCTCCATGATACCAACATTGGTTGGTTTAACTTAATTTCCAATCCAGATTGAGATTTGATGATAATACTCTTGGATGTATTTGTTGTAGAATTCTAAAGTGAACTTTTTTTTTCTTTTTTCCTTTTTTTTTTTTTTTTTTGAGATGGAATCTTGCTCTGTCGCCTAGGCTGGAGTGCAGTGGTGCGATCTCGGCTCACTGCAACCTCCGCCCGTGGAAGCACAGCTGATAGTGGTAGTGAGGCATCACAAAGGAATCTGCCTTTCACCTTTGAGAATAGGGTAATAAATCAATTTCTGATCTAACCCATTGATGTTAATGAAGTTTCTGAATTAGTGCCAGGCTTGATTTTCATTGACTCAGGGATGAGGCGAGTCATAGTCTGTTGCACATTTGAAGATCTTCAGTATCTGAAGTTTGGCCCACATATGGACACATGGGGATTGACGATGTGATTGAGACCTCAACATCTGAACTCAATTTTATAAAGATCATTTGCTTTCAGGAGCTAATGACATGCTTTTTCTGTAGGAAATCACCTTTCCCAAGATGGTGGCCAACTGTTGCCGTTTTCTCTGTTACTTCTGTCGTATAAGTAGGCAGAATCAAAAAGCTATGTTTGATCATCTCAGTTATTTACTGGAAAACAGCAGTGTTGGTCTTGGTAAGTAAATGACTTTTATTTCATCTTTAAGGTCAAAAAATAATATACATATTACATTTAAAAAGCAAAAACGTTTGGTTAAAAAATGGGCAATGGACCTGAATAGACATTTCACCAAAGAGGTCATACAGTTTGCCAATAGGTATGTGAAAAAATGCTCACTATCACTCATCATCAGCAAAGTGCAAATTGAAACCACCGTGAGCTATCACCTCACACCTGTTAGAATGTCTGTTATTGAAAAGACAGAACATAATAAGTGTTGGCGAGGGTGTGGAGAAAAGGGAACCCTTATACATGTTGGTGGGAATGTAAAATTACTACAACCATTTTAGAAAACATTAAGGAGATTCCTCAAAAAATTAAAAATAGAACTACCATATGATCAAACAGTTTTACTTCTGGGTATATATATCCAAAAGCTGTGAACAATCAGTATGTCAAAGAGATACGTGTACTTCCATGGTCATTGCAGCATTATTCACAATAGCTGAGATATGGAATCAACCTAAGTGTTTATCAGTGGATGAATGGATAGGAAAAATGTGGTATTTATTCACAATGGAATGCTATTTGGCCTTAAAAACAAGAGGGGAATACTGTCATTTTCCACAACATGGATGAACCTGGAGGATATTACATTACAAAAAATAAGCTACGTGTAGAAATACAAATACTGCACGATCTTACTTTCATGTGGGCTCTAAAATCAAAGTCGAACTCGTAGAAACAGAGAGTAGAATGAGGTTACCAGGTTTGGGGAAGAGTGGTTGGGGAGATGTTCAAGGATACAAAATTTCAGTTAGATAGAAGGAATAAGTTCAAAAACTCTATTATACAGCCTGGTGACTGTAGTTAATGTATAATATTCTTGAAAATCGCTGCCAGAGTAGATTTTGAGTGTTTTCACTGCAAAAAACAAAAGAGTATGTGAGGTAATACATATGTTAACTAGCTCAGCTGAGTCATTCCATAAAGTGTACATATATTTCAAAACATGTACACAATATATACAATTTTTATTTGTCAATTAAAAATACTTAAAAATTAAACTTTAAATCATTATAGATTAATACACTGTGGATGGTGTTTAGAAATTAAATTTTAAGAGGTAGGGTATTTTTATATGGACTTTATAGATACAGCACAATCCAGGTTATATTTCATCTTCATTTGAATTAACAGCCTCCCCAGCTATGAGAGGTTCAACACCACTGGATGTGGCTGCAGCTTCGGTGATGGATAATAATGAACTAGCATTAGCTCTGCGTGAGCCGGATCTAGAAAAGGTCAGCAATGTTCCTGCCCTGTGTGTTTGTCTGAATTATGCTTTTTCATAGTTCTTTCTCAATATTTTAAATATAACTAAGGTTGGTGCAGAAGTCATTGTGGTTTTGCAGTGTGACAGTATGACCAAAATCACAATTAATTTTGCACCAACACAATATGTTCTAGTGATATTAGAATTAAAGTATATTATAATTTACATTGCACACTATATAATGTTATATATTCCATTGTATATAATTCTACTATACATTATATTGTAGTTAGAAGTTATGAAGAACAATACATTTGAAAAAATGAGTTTTCTCTGATCACAAACATTTTTCTATGGAACAAGAAGCAACGTTCTGTATCTGTATTCTTACGTGTTGTTGTCTTTTCATGATATCTGCTTCCATTTTTGACTTAATCATACACTTCAGTTTTTAAAAAGGCTATTTTGACATCTCATATGTACATTTTATATCACATATACTTTATTCCAGCACAAAGCATCAGCAATATAGTAAAGCCATGCACTCTAAGGATATTAAGCCACATGTGTGTATACCAGCATTTAGAGAAACTTTCCCTGTATTGTAGTTGCAATAGCATTCCAAGTAGTCACCTGATTTTTTTTCCTTGCTCCCCTGGAATCTGTTCTTTCCTTATCAGCCAAAGTGACCCTCTTAAAAAGATCATGCCAATCCTCCATCCAGTACTCCCCAAAGGCTTTCTATCTCACTCCAGTAAAAACCAAAGATGATGCAATAGCTCCTACATCATCTGATCCTACATACCAGCCTGATTTCATCTCCTACAGCTCTCCTGCACTCTCTCTTCTTTGCTTCAGGCACACTTGTCCCCTTGCTGTAGCTGGAACACGCCAGCTGTGCTCAGCCTCAGGGTCTTTGCCACCTGCTGGTCCAACCATCTGCAGCATCCTTACCCAAGATACCATCACGGCTCTTTGTAGGCATTCTTTCAGTCAATGCTCTAAAGTCAACCACCTCTTTATCAGCTCTTCCATATCCATGCTATGTAAAATTGAAACCTTTTCTCCACTTCCTTAAACTCTTCCTGTTTCCTTTACTGCTTTGTTTTCAACTATTGGAGATGTAAATAGTTGTATATTATATACACAAATATATACTTTTGTTTTATTTATATTTATATACAAATGTATACTTTTGTTTATATTTATATAAACTTATTTTTTAAATTATTAATATATTTAATCAAATTCTATGTAGTTATGCATTTTTAAAAATTCATCCCCTACTCTAATGTCAAGCAGGGAGGTGAGAGTGGTTTTTCCTCTGCTGTTAACTGCTTTGTCCCCACTTTAGAGAACAGCGTCAGCACTGGGTAGACACTTAGTGCATGGCTGTTGAAGACATGAAAGAGTGAAACTCTTCCCCAAATCCTCCTGACATACCGGTCCAGGATCATGAAGTCTCTGAGACACCTCAGGACATGTTTCCCCCATATCGTACTTAAAATCTTTTAATCTACATACTCATTAAAATGGCTAACGCTAATGAGGTTGATAATACCAAATGCTGAGAAGGACAAGGAGCAGCTAGAACTCTCTTCTACTTCTGTCATGATGAGTAATGGTACAGCCAGTGTGGAAAGCAGTTTGGCAGTTCCTTAACAAATTAAACAGAAACCTACCATAAACTATACGCCTAGGCTTTCCACTGCTAAGAATTTACCCAGTAGAAAGGAAAATGTATGTTCACACAAAGACTTGGGCGTGAATGTTTATAACAGTTTTATTCATCATAGCCAAAAACTGCAAACAACTTGAATACCAATCATCAATGTATTAGTTGATAAACCCATATATGGTGAAATGTCATCCCATATATGGTGAAATGTCATCCCACAATAAAAAAGAATGAAGAACTGGCATGTGCTACAATGTGAATGAATCCCAAAATCATATGCTGAGTGAAAGAAGCCAGGCACAGAAAGATACATGCTGCATTGTTATGTGTACACGTGTTCTGGAAAATGCAAGATAAATTGTAATGAGAGAAAGCAGATTGTCTGGGACTAGGTGTGTGGGGAGAAAGGGACTGCAAAGGGCCCAGGGAGCTCTGAGGAGTGACGGCAATGTTCTGCATCTTGATTATAGTGTGTTTTCACAGATGACAACATCTTTCAAAGCTCATTGAATTTATACTTCAAATAGATGATTTTATTGTACATTGGTTCTCTTGCTTCGCTATAGTTGATATAAAACATTTTTAGCTATACTACCTATTTGTTTTTGAAACTGATTTAACATGAGCTGGCTATAACTCAATTTGCTTGATAAGTTGCTCCTCTAACAGTCTTACTTCCATTGATAATGACTTCTCTAGGGATTTGTTTTAAAATTGAATTTCTTATGAAATATTGTAGAGGACCAACATTCATATAAAACAAAAATATTTTAAGAGGAAAGGCCAGGCAAAAATATTTTATGTGCTCATTGCATCAATACTGAAAAGTGTTGTCTTATCAAAAATTTCCTGGACACTGAAACCTCGGCTAAAAATGTAAAAGTACCTTGCTCAAAAGGAGGTGTTTGGTAAATGCTGCGCATCTGATTTGAACCAAGGATATTTGACTGTAATCTTAGGTTTTGCTGTCTTTATGTATTTTCTCACACCTGCTTCCCCATTAAATTGATATATATTTTGGAAACAATTTATCTCTTTAAAATACCTTTGCGTCTCAGATAGATCTTTTAATATTGTGAGTGGATTCAATTTTTACATTGCACGAGAGGTCATTAGACATGTTTGCAATTTATGACTTTGATAGGTAAGGGTCTCAAAGTAAATGCTATAAAATTCAGAAATATTTTTCTCTCATAGTTTTACACATAATCCTGCAGCTCTTACCCCACCCAGACAGACTTGGTTGCCCTGAGACAGTAATTGCGGGTGGATGTATACAGCAGGCACTGCAGGTAATTGCGGGTGGATGTATACAGCAGGCACTGTGGGTAATTGTGGGCGGATGAAAACAGTAGGCACCGTGGGGTGAGGCTGCTGCTTTATTGTCTCCAATGTGTTTACGCAAATGGTGCAAATAAAACAGCAACTGGAGCCAATCCGTGAGTTGTGAGCCCCGGGCAGATGCATTTGTGGCATTCATTAAAATGAATGTCTGCTTAGAGAAAGCTTAAAAAAACCAAAGCTTATGGCAGGATCATAAATATGTTTATTATGACGCCACTTTATGACGATATTTAAATATTTCTGAAGTCTAAGGTTTTACTAAAGGGAGTTCAAGTGGATTATCATGAGAGCAAAAAGAACTTGCAAAAATGCATTTATTTAAAAGCATCCTTTGAGGATGTCATTTATTGCATCCAATGGAAGCATCTAATGACTTTTCCTCCAAGGGATAACTCTTCATTAATCATGTTGTTTGCAGGTAGTTCGTTACTTGGCTGGTTGTGGACTGCAGAGTTGCCAGTTGCTGGTGTCTAAGGGTTATCCAGACATTGGGTGGAATCCAGTTGAAGGAGAGAGATATCTTGACTTTCTCAGATTTGCTGTCTTCTGTAATGGTAGGACCCGTTTCCTTGAGGTCTTTTGGGTTATTATTAAAACTGCATAGAGACATGTATATATGATAAGGATTCATCTCAACACTTTCATGAAGTATTAGTAAAGAAATCACATATTTTATAATCGATAGGGTTTTTTCACAGTAACCACTTATAATACAATATTTGTTTATATACTTCTTTCCTTATTTAAGTTAAAATTTTAAGCACATAAGTTCTCATAAATTTTTTATTTTGAATTCCAATAATAGTTTGGATTGTGATGTCATTCTATAATAATAACAAGGTAGTGAGAATCAATAGTTTATGCCTCCATAAGGTTTTACTCTGAAAATTTGTAATGCAAGAAAAGAAATTTACTGTGTCTTGTATACCCAAGGCTAGTAATTTGGGTTACATTTTGGCTTTATCAGTATATTGTTGGATTTTAGTTATTCTTATGCATAGGAAATGATTAGTATAACATTTTTTTCTTCAGAACTTCCATATAATCATATTTGTTTACTTATCTTCCCCATTCTACTTTAGGGGAGAGTGTGGAGGAGAATGCAAATGTCGTGGTGAGACTGCTTATTCGGAGGCCTGAGTGTTTTGGTCCTGCTTTGAGAGGAGAAGGTGGGAATGGGCTTCTTGCAGCAATGGAAGAAGCCATCAAAATCGCCGAGGATCCTTCTCGAGATGGTCCCTCACCAAATAGCGGATCCAGTAAAACACTGTAGGTCTAATAAACACACCCTCATGAGTGATCCATACTACTTGATGTGAAATTTTACAAAATATATTCTGCATCCTATGAATTGTAACATAACTTGTGGTGCTGAAGATTTCTCGCTTTGAAAACATAATGTCTTAGATTTGGAAGAATGGATGGAATTTGGTGCCGGAATAGGTCAAATGAACAAAGAGAGCTGAAGAAGATGGTGTAGATTTAGCTGAGGGAAATCTAGGTTGTAGGAGATGCGTCTTATGAATTTTCCCAGGGGAGCTAGGGCAAGGTGGGTTGTTCTAAATGATACGAGGTGAACCTTTGGGGTTGGACTAGAGTTTAGTGGGAAGGTAGTTAGAAAGAGATTTTATGATTAGAAAGAGACCTTTTGCAAATAAAAGGGGAACTTGACTAAACTGATATGGTGGTAAAATCGAGAAAAGGTGTCATTCTGAGGAGTGTAATGCTTGGTTGAGGTATAGGAGACAGATACGGGAAGCAGTCACTCTCTTACATTTATCTGTAGCTATACATTGTTGATACTAGATTCCAGTAATCGACATAAGTAAATCCAGGTGTGATGCTTATTTATGTAGGTGAATGTCCTCCAGCGGGGGGTCATGCATCCACACTGCTAGTGCCTCTGGTAAAGACATAACATAGGGCTTTATTGAGGCATATCGAGTATCCCCACCTGTCATGCAGGAGACCGGGGTTCGATTCCCCGATGGGGAGGCCAATATTGAGGCATATTTCTAAACAACGAAGCGATAGAGTGAACGCAATCCTGCAAACCCTTTGTCTTTTACATATAAACTGGGCATCGATGTTCCATGTTCACCATAGCCAGATTTGCAGACTGGGAGCACTCCTAGAGCAAGAATGAGCACTCCCCACCACACACACACACACCATGCTACATGCTTATCAGTTGGCCGTGAAGGAACCAGGGAGCTCTTAGGTTCTCTCGGTAGTAGAAAATGTATCCTGACACCTCTGGCCCAGGACCACACTAGCAAGGGTACACCTGAGGGCCTCATGGACAGCCTTGCATGCCCAGGAATGAGGCTGTCATTTGAGGCCTCACTGTCACTCTGCAGACTGCTGTATTCAGTGGGGACAGCTGTCTGCTGAGTTACCAAGGAGGAAGGATGTGAGCCTCCAGGGCCATCCAGATTTGGCTCTCATCAGCAAGAGAACATGTAATTATATTTTCCCTACAGAGATGGGGAGGGAGATATGTTGGATTCTTTGGCAGGGGTTGCGGGAGGTTGAGTAGCTGGTACAGAGGTAGTTGAGCAAGTGCAATAACATTTATAAAGTACTCTGGGCAAAGCACTGTACTGGATGCCTTACAAGTGACCTTATATGACATCTTTGTCACCCTTTCTCTACATGTGTGCCATTTATAGAAATAGCCTAAGCTCACACATCCTTCTATCAGTTATTTTCTTTGTTAATACACTACCACCAGAAAGGAAAAGAACCTATCAAATGAGCAATTCCTCCTTTTCCCTTCAAAGGAATCTTAATACTAAAATTTCCACAGATGTGTTCTTGGTGTTAGAATCTCAAGCTTGATCTTTAACCAGTCGTTATTCTCCCTTAAAAACATCAAGCTCTACATTTATACCATATATGAAATGTATCAGAAGAATAATGTGTTACCTAGTAGTCCCTTTCCTCAGAAAGATATGTAATAAACATGAAATGTCAGTTATCCCATTTGCTTTCTCTTTCTTTTGAAACATTCATGGAAGTGATACAGAGGAGGAGGAAGATGACACTATCCACATGGGGAACGCGATCATGACCTTCTATGCAGCTTTGATTGACCTCTTGGGACGCTGTGCGCCTGAGATGCATGTGAGTTCCTGGGGGTTCAGGAGCAGCAATCCTGATTTCTCTATATTAAGACATCTATAGCTGGCAAAGAGCATAATAGCATCCAAAACCCATAATCTTCATGCTCCATTAAAAATAATAGCTGCAGTCTAATTGCTGAACAAGTGTTTGTTTAGTTGGAAATGTCTTGTTGGTTGTAAAAATTAGTAATGGGATTTCAGTGCAAGTCATTAATAGAGTACTTAAGTTACTCATATATCTCTGAAACTCATATAGCCTCCCACATTTTAAAAAGAAAAGAACATATTTTCTCTATACAATTTCCTCTTCTGTTATAGTGCATGCAGAAAGCAACTGCTCCTACCAAAAGTAATTTTCTTTTGTGTATTTAGCTCTATGTGTTTGCCATTGTTTTAGGGGAAAGTGAGGGGGAAAGTGTAGGGGGTGGATATTAAGAGCTATTTAGACCATATAAATTAGTATTTTCTTTCTTTCTCTCTTTCTTTCTTGCTTTCCTTTTTTTTTTTTTTTTTTTTTCCATATTGAGACAAGGTCTTGCTCTGTCTCCCAGGCTGGAGTGCAGTGGCATGGTCTCAGCTTACTGCAATCTCCGCCTCCCAAGTTCAAGTGGTTTTCCTGCCTCAGCCTCCTGAGTATCTGGGACTACAGGCACCCGCCACCATACCCAACTAATTTTTGTATTTTTAGTAGAGATGGGGTTTTACCATCTTGGCCAGGCTGGCCTAGAACTCCTAACCTCAAGTGATCCAACCGCCTCGGCCTCCCAAAGTGCTGGGCTAACAGGTGTGAGCCAATGTACCCAGCCTAGATTAGTGTTTTCTGAAACTTTTTGACCCAAATGAAATTAAAGTTTCATGGAATAATACTTTTACTCTGTAATACATTCTGATATTTTGTTCTTTATTTTATTGTAGTTGATTCTATATTATTCTACTAGAGTCATAAAAAAAAAAAAAATCCTGGCCCAGGGCCCAAAACGTTCATTTCCAGATCTTCTAATGGGAAATAAACGCAGAGTGTGAGAGTTTGAAACACATTGATTGGTGCTGGGGTAGTTAAGAACTGTAAGGATATTTCTAAAGCGGGATGAGCAAGAAGCCAGCGCTTTCTTACAAAGCGCCTTTCTCTCTACCCTTATTAACTATCTTTCTTTTGGTTTTGGTTGGGTTTTTTTGTGTGATTTAGGTTTTTCATACCCAGAGGTTAAAACTTCCGTGATGTACTCTTTTCTTGTGAACAGAGAGGAATCACAGGATAGAGGAATGTTAGAACGTTAGAAAACTGGAGTCTGATTTTTAGAAAAATTTAAACTTTGCCGCTAGTAAGATTTTTTCATCTTAGTAAATGGAAACAGAGACTATTAAAAATTTCTATGCTGGAGGTGATTACTGACAACAACAAAAACAACAAAAAAACTTGCTCACAATATTTGTTCTTTTTCCCATCTCAGAAAAACACATCAGCGAAACAAAGAGAAAGTATACTAATAAATAGAAGTGTTCATTCTATTCTATTAATGGGGGAAAAAGTAAGTGAAGTAGTAAGGGACCAACCTTGACATTTCTGAAATTTATGCATCTTCACAACTATTATTTGAGGCCTCCTATGTGCCAGAAATTGTGCTTGCGTTTCACACCCTGTAATGAGGTAAACAGATGCCCATCCCGGCTCTGCAAGCCGAGTCTGTCCTGAAGACTTGCTGAGATTCTTGACTGGATCGTCATCCACAGTCATCCTGGGTACTTCATGTCAGTCTAAAAGAACTGTTAGGATTTATGTTCATCATTTCCTCCACATTATAAATCCAGCCTTGGGAGAAATCAGGGTCGAAGACCGATGGATATGCAATTCATTTCTTAGCACAAAGCAAGAAAGAAGCTAATTCGATCATAAATATTAGTATATGCTCAGAGTCTAATGATAATTTTGTTTGTATTATTGCTCGTGTTATTGATACGTATTTACATGTAATTTTGGAAAGTAAACTTTCATAAACACGTCAGATTCTCAATATATCTTAACAGTCCCCAAAAGGATAAAAACTGTTGTTCTAATGGGTGAACCAACTGGCCTAGACCATAGTATAAATAATTTGGTGTATGCTGAAGTCAGTGAAAACTGTGTGAGCAAGTAAATATCCACAGGTAAGCCAGAGACTATGTCTGAGAGAGGCATAACTTTATACGTATACTGATCAGAAAATTATTTTGGACTTGGATTTCCATACTTCAGATTTCCTAGACAGAACTGTAACATTGATATCACAAAGTTGTTCTAATGTTTTCTTTTTTGTTTTTCCTCCTGTATAGTTGATTCATGCTGGTAAGGGAGAAGCCATCAGAATTAGGTCTATTTTGAGATCCCTAATTCCCTTGGGAGATTTGGTGGGCGTTATCAGCATCGCTTTTCAGATGCCAACAATAGCCAAAGGTAAGGCCAACTTCAGTATGTCCTAATTCAGTAGGATGTTGGATGACATCATGTTCTAAATGTTTTCCGTACTCAACATCCCAACCTCTCCGCTTCCTAAATTATGTCTCTACTACTTAAATTTCTTTTTTAAAAAAAGCTATAAAGTATATATTTTATAATTTTTTTCCTTTTTTTTTTTTTTTTCTGAGACGGAGTCTCGCTCTGTAGCCCAGGCTGGAGTGCAGTGGTGCGATCTCGACTCACTGCAAGCTCCGCCTCCTGGGTTCAAGCAATTCTCCTGCCTCAGCCTCTTCAGTAGCTGGAACTACAGGCGCCTGCCACCAAGCCTGGCTAATTTTTTGTATTTTTAGTAGAGATGGGGTTTCACCATGTTAGCCAAGATGGTCTCGATCTCCTGACCTTGTGATCCACCCGCCTCGGCCTCCCAAAGTGCTGAGATTACAGGCGGGAGCCACCACACCCGGCCTTTTCTCCATTATTTTTAAAGCTGTGTTTGCTTTGAGATTTTAATTCTCTTTTATATGACATTTCAGACAGCTTCCAGAAAAGCGGAAATATGCACCACCACCCTCCACTGTCTCATGTCATGCATGCTATCATTGGTCGCATGCTCTTCTTTCTTGACCTCAGTTCCTTAGTTCATGCGTTTTCATAGTTTTCATTGTCACTTTCTTGTAATGCTTTTCTATTAAAAGCAATGATGATAGCTTTTGACTTAGAGATTTTAAAATCCCCTGTTAAAAAGAGAGTTTTGTTTGTTTGTTTGTTTTTGTTTTTGTTTTTTATTTTTTAGACGGAGTCTCACTCTGTCGCCGAGGCTGGAGTGCAGTGGCGCGATCTCCGCTCACTGCAATCTCCGCCTTCCAGGTTCAAGCGATTCTCCTGTCTCAGCATCCCAAGTGGCGGGGACTAGAGGTGCCCACCACCACACTGGGCTAATTTTTTGTGTTTTTAGTAGAGACTGGATTTCACCATGTTAGCTAGGATGGTCTCAATCTCCTGACCTCGCAATCCACCCACCTTGGCCTCCCAAAGTGCTGGGTTTACAGGCGTGAGCCACCGCTTCTGGCCAAAAAGAAGTGTTCTTTTCATGAGTAAGGATAAAAGTTTTTTTAAGATTAAAGAAATTATTGAAGACAACTAAAATAAATGTTAAATCCCAAATATACTTTGTTTTCACTTTCTCAAATGGAAGGTTTTTTTTTTTTTCAGTTTTCAATACTTTATTGGATATTTATACATAAATCATTTAACATGAAAGACTTCTAATTGTAGAACAAAACATAATTAGGGGCCGGGCGTGGTGGCTCAAGCCTGTAATCCCAGCACTTTGGGAGGCCAAGGTAGGTGGATCACTTGAAGTCAGGAGTTCGAGACCAGCCTGGACAACATGGCAAAACCCTGTCTCTACTAAAAATGCAAAAGTTAGCCAGGCATGGTGGTGGGTGCCTGTAATCCCAGCTACTCAGGAGGCTGAGGCCGGAGAATCGCTTGAACCCGGGATGGTGGGGAGGTTGCAGTGAGCTGAGATTGCACTACTTCATTCCAGCCTGGGCTATAGAGCGAAACTCTGTCTCAAACAAACAAACAAAAAACATAATCAGGTAGGAGGTGCATGCTATATATAATCATTTTCTTTCATTAATTATGCCCTCAGAGAAGGCAGGCTATAATAGCTCAAGTCTAGAATGAAAGGGGTCACCATATATCTGAAGGTAGCTCATCCTGTTTGCCAGGCATGATTATGAGAAAGTAAAGTCTTGTGTATGCTAACCGTAAACCCAAATCTACAAGGTGACAAAACTACCGTAATAATCGAACGCTCATTATAGCTTTAGGCAAAGCTAGAAATTAAAAATTTTCCCCACCTTTGGCTTCCCTACTTGAGCCAGTTTCTTTTCCTTGTGCATCTGTAGCTCATCTTCATCTGCTGTCTCTGTACCTCTCTTCTAACTCATGTTCATTTGCTTAAGGAAAATATATTTTCCTTATTCTATATTTTGAACCACAAAATAGACACTATCAGGACAAAGATAATAATAGTACCAGTGACATACAGATTAGGAAATAGGGAAGCATTAAATTTTGTAGTAATATGAGTAATAACAAAGAACCAAGAACATAGATTGTAAGAGAGCCCAGGTGTCCTTTTCAGAACGGGCCCAAAAGTTTCCAGGTACCTCCTCATTTCCTCCAGTCATCTGCCTTTAGCAGCCTTCAAGAGTTTTCACGTTGCTTTCTTTCCTTTACTAGTTAGTTGTGCTCTAATATGTTATTTTTCTTCACATATTTGCAGTATATTGTCTCCATCGGGAGTCACAGTGGTTTGTGTGTGTGTGTTTGTGAATTTTGTATCACAGTCACAATGAAAGTTAACTTTTAACACAATCCATTGGTATTTGTTAAATCTCTTCTTTTTTTAGCCAGGTGTGGTGGTGCACACCTGTAGTCACACCTACTCAGGAGGCTGAGGCAGGAGAATCGCTTGAACCTGGGAGATGGAGGTTGCAGTGAGCTCCGGTCATGCCACTGTGCTCCAGCCTGGGCAGCAGAGCGAGACTCCATCTCAAACTTTTTTTTTTTTTGCTGCTTTCCTTTTGTGGAGAATGTAGACAGAAACCTGTCGGTTTTTATGTCACCATAGTTGTGCATTTAACTTTATGTGGCTATGCATTCACTGCAAAGCTTAAAACACCTATATTTCTTTCTCCTTTTCAATGACAACTCAATTGGTCTATAAGCATCACCAAGTAGCAGTAATAATGGTTATCATACATTCTATATTTAGTATGTGAAATTTGTCTCTAAAGAATGATATTTTCCCTTCTCAGGATTAGCTAAGGTCTTCCTCAGACATTTTTATCATATTTATTTCCAAGCTAGAGTATGCCCGAGAATAATAATCAAAGAAGAAGGGGTTCAGAAAACTTGAGGAATAAGCATGTAATCCTGCAGCTCTTGGCCCGGGCTGATTTGGCCGCCCTGTCTGAGGCAGTAATTGCAGGTGGATGAATACAGCAGGAACTGCTGGTAATTGTGGATGGATGTATACAGCAGGCACCGCAGGGTGAAACTGCTGCTTTATTGTCTCCAGTGTGTTTGAGGAGATAGTGCAAATAAAACAGCAACTTGAGCCAATCCGTGAGTCTTGAGCCAGATGCATTTGTGGCATTCATTAAAACAAATGTCTGCTTGGATAAGAGTTTAAAAAGCAAAACATATAGAGCAGGATCAGTGGGTTGCTCCCCTTTTCCCTAGGCACAGCTACACTTTAAGATCATAGAATACTGTACGTTTAAATTCCTTTTTAATGTGATATTTAGGAGAACTGAAATTGAATTTTATATAGATTTTTAATTGAAAATCATAGCATACTGATTTAACACTAAGGTTAAGTCAGCTTTGGCTGGATTTTAAATCCAGTTTTAGTTGGTTTAAATACAACTCTGTCAATTACTAGGTGTATGACCTTGGACTAGTTACTTAACTTCTCTAAAGGCTAGGTTTGTGATCCGTTGAATGAGAGTCATAATAGCAGCCTCACAGATGGGTTGTGGGAATTGTGTAAGATCATGTCAGGAACGTTCCTAGTGCAGTGCCTGACAACAGCACAACACATCAGAACTATTCTTCTTACATGTAAGGAAAGGAATGTATTAGTTATATTAGGTGTCGTTATAATACTACCAGGCATTATCCTTTCATCTAGCTTCCTTTAGAACATTATTTGTTTATTTTCATAATTCACTTACAAAATTTGTTCATTGACTATAAGTGAAAACAGAAAAGTTGTCATTTTATTCTTTCAGTTTATTCAGGATGATTGTGGTCGTGTGTCATCTTTCTCTGAGTTCTTGTTTCTTTGATGTTGTATCCATATGAAAAGTTCTGTGATATTATTTGTAGAATCGTGGTGTGGGATCAGCACCAGATTGGCATAATTATATGGTCAAACAGGAAGTAAATCAATTCTTCAGTATTTGAAATTGGCACATAATCCCATGATTTCTCTTATCAGTAGTCCCCCGTTAGGGAACTTATGGAGTTACTGTAAAGAATTCACGAATCTGTATAGGCATAAAGCTTAGAGTATTGATAGAGAAAACAATATGACCCTTAAATGTGTGTTAAATGCTATTATGATTAATGAAACATATTTCATATGAAAACCATACTGGTTTTATAGTGTTATTTCATCATTTTGTTATTGTTCTAAGGCATAAAAAGATAAATATACCGAGATTATCACATAAGGGTAGATGAGCTTTATTCATGTTTAAAACAGGCTCGCTTAGAAAAGAGTGAAAATGCCCACTTTACCTTTTAACTTTTCACGGATTTCACTTGGAGTTTTAGAAAGTAGATTTTGGATGCCTGTTTGTTTCTCCTAAGTATCTAACAATGCCACGTCTTGTATCCCGTTTGCAGTTAACAAGTGGATGCCTATATAACACTTAAATGACCTTGGCTTTAAATTGCACTGCCTTATTTCCTCAGCAAACTCCCATAATAGCTTGAGGGTAGTCGAAGAACAGAAAACCATTTCATTGAAAAGTGTATTTAAAATGTAAGAAGTCTAGAAAGCAGCCGTTTGTAATCTACCCATATATGGCACAGCCATTGACACCAAAATTCACTTCTCTCTTTTAGATGGGAATGTGGTGGAACCTGACATGTCTGCGGGGTTTTGCCCAGATCACAAGGCAGCCATGGTTTTATTCCTTGACAGGGTCTATGGAATTGAGGTTCAAGACTTCCTCCTCCATCTTCTTGAGGTTGGCTTTCTGCCAGATCTCCGGGCGGCTGCTTCTTTAGATACGGTGAGATTGGAACAATGGACTTCCTCCTCGCTTGACTCTTCATTCTGTGCCTTATGATATTCTTTTATATATATATATATATATATATCCATTGATTAATTTATTGACAATGAATGTTTATTGAGTACCTGTTATATTTTCAGGTAAGCCATGGGTAAACAGAAAATAAAACTAGGCTATGTTCTCAAGGAATTCACTGAATAAACTGACAACCTCAGGAAACTTCCCACTGACCAAAAAGAATATGATCAGAATTCTGATAAGGTGCTGTGGGATTCAATAAGAGGTTCACATAACTCTAATTTGGGAGGTCACAGTGACTCCTGTTAACCTCTGTTCGGTGTCAACCTCCAAATTGGCCTAAACACTTATGCTTCTCAATAAAAGCAATTAAAGAATTACGATGATTTCATGGATATTGTTGAGTCATGATCATCTTGGTGTCTTCGTTTGTTAAGGTACAAATGGATTGAAATCTGTTCTGTATATTGGGTGACCCACACGGAGAATCTGCCATTATCAGCTTAAATGTTCTTCTCTTTGAAACACTGTGGAATAAGCTGAAGTTCTAAATGTTGTTATAGTAGTTATACTACTATACACATTTAATACCTACTTTCAAGTACTCATTAATTTTATCAGTTCAGTGTGCTTTTTTGATTTCAAAGTACATCAGGACTTGAGCTGACAGTAGCCCCTTCATGAAATATACGAGAACAGAATCACAAAACTGAAATGAAAACTTCTTTTTTTCTTTGTTTTGCATATTCAGATGAAATTCTGGACCTGAATAGTATGGATGATAACACAGTAATACAGTTATTCTTTGATTATTGGTGCTGATAGACATGAGAAGAATAAATATGAATCATAAAGAGAATTCAGAAAGAGTTTTTGCTTATGAGATCTACTGTGAGAATAAGCTCCTCTCTTTGCCTAGCAAAGGAAAATACTCACATCTGTGATATTATCGTCTTCTTACATTGATCCTACCATTGATATTTAATGATAGAATCTGAACCTATTAAGCTTTTTGAGGAGATAGGTGTCATTTCATTCATTTTTATCTGTTTATGAACAATTGATAGTTGATTGTTTTTGGTGGTAAAAATCATATGAACCCTACACTTAAAGATATAACTGAAGAATACATTTACATGTCTCATAGCACTATCATCTTCTAGATAGTGAAATTATATGTTCCCATGTTGATCCCTTTGAAAGTTATCTACTGCCAAACACAAATGGCCTTCTACTCTGATTCTTTTTCAGGCGGCTTTGAGTGCTACAGACATGGCCTTGGCCCTCAATCGGTACCTTTGCACGGCCGTCTTGCCGTTGCTAACGAGATGTGCTCCTCTCTTTGCTGGCACAGAGCACCATGCTTCTCTCATTGACTCATTGCTTCATACTGTGTATAGACTTTCTAAGGGCTGTTCACTTACCAAAGCTCAGCGGGATTCTATAGAAGTTTGTTTGCTCTCTATTTGTGGGTGAGTGGATAACAAATTCTACGCCAGCTTCTTTTTTAAAAAACAGAATTTACAGTGTGGCTTTTGACAAATTATTTGGAATTTTGGAACCATTTTCCATACCACAGATTTCATTCATTTTAGGTAATCCCATATACTGAGGTATGAGTCTTCTCTGAGCGCCCTTGCTCCCAGTCGAGTTCTGAGTGTTCCTCCAGGCCTCCCTAGGGTATCCAGCTGTTGGATATAGCTTTTGACCAGTTACAGAATACTATTCTGGATGTTGGGAGTGGGGAGAAATTGTGTCAGGAGTCCTTGGCCACTTTAGGTGAGATGAATAGATCTCGCCTTTTGACTGTGTTTGATGATTTAACTCCTCTTCTAGAAGAGAAAAGAAAAAAGGGACTTCTTAAATATAAAATGTGACACAGCATAATATTAAAACCATATTTATGTGGGGCAATGATGAAGGCTGAATATTTCCTCCAACCTGGAAAACCATTTCCTATCAGTAGAAGTGCTAGAATGTGTTACTATGAAAACCAGAAACGTATCTCCCCCTGATGAAGTTTTGCCTGTGAAAGTGAGAATTTCTCAAGCCCCTAGAAAGATCATGGCTCCTTTGTAACTGCTCCAGGAACTCTTGCCTGGCAGTCCCTGGGGGAAGGGCAAGTTTTCACCCATGGTAGAGTGTCTGGATTGAGAGCCAGATGGCACTGAAGGGGGTGGAAGATCAGAAGAGTAGTTCTTTAACTTCCCTAATCTAAGATTCTGTAAAATTGAACCAAAATGCCTCCCTCACAGAGATTTTCTAAGTGTTAAACGAGGTAAAACACTTGCTGTTGCCTGACGCAGTAGATGTTCACTATGTATTCATTTTTGCTCCCTTTCTTCTCTGGCAAATTTGCTGTCTCAGCCATTTTTTCCTCCTTTCTGTTCCAATATTCCCTCTTCTTTTTGCTTCTTCCCATCCATTGGAATGAGGGAAGGGACATTTACTAAAATTAATGGAGGAAAGTCTTAGGAAACAGTGGGGTCTGCATTTGTGAGTGGTTTGGAAAGGAAGGAGCAGAACAGAAACATCTTCTGTAGCAAAGAAGGGGTGGTCTTCAGATCTGGGGGATAGAGATGAGTTGGGAAATCTAACCTTATATAAAATTAACTAAGTAGCTGATCTTTGGACAAAGAACATCTAATGAATACCATCTGAAGAGAAGTATAGATTCAGGTCCTTGGCTTACATAATTTATTCTAATGAATTATCTACTTAGTTTAGACACATTTCTCAGCATTATTAACATTAACTTTGTTCCAACAGACAACTGAGACCTTCTATGATGCAGCACTTACTCAGAAGATTAGTATTTGATGTTCCATTATTAAATGAACATGCAAAGATGCCTCTTAAAGTAAGTATAGGAAATGTGTGTAGATATTTGATGACTGGTTTCTCTGACTTTATTTTCTATGACAACATATACATTTCTTGGATACATCATGTTTGATGCTGGAAAATGTCTCCCAATTATTGAAATGGGCATTTAGAAGTTATAGGAATGTATACATCAACTTTAAATAAATAAGTTCTATAAGATTATAGAAATCTTAACAATGATTTCAATATAAACAATGGAAATAGAAATCAATGGGAAAAAGAAAAAGGACCACAGGGAAAATAAAAGCCAAGATATTCTTAAGTTGGAAAACATGGTAATAGGGCTGGCCTAAAATATTATTAGAAACCTTGAGGAATAAAGACCAGGCTTTAAAGACAACATTTTCTAAGTTAATAATCACATGACAGGCTCCAAATGTCACTTCATAGGGTTCAATGATAACCTCTCTGTATATGCAATTATAGTTTGTCACACAGTATAGAAAAATCACTGGTATTTTCTCTAAATTTATTGTTCTGTTCAGGATCAAGTCTCATTCTATCTTACTGAGTTGGGAATGTTTTCTTGTCCTTTAATATCATAATCTAGACTCAGAATATAGAATACAGTGTTTGCATCAAAGTTATATAGTAATGCGATGGATTTTTTAATAGATGGCCACTCTGCAGTGCCATCCAGTAGCATTATTTTTCCCCCAATGGCTACCCAGTAGTAGTGCTGAAGAAGTATGAGATACGAAGAGTCTATATGCAGCTGTTACAGTAAACATCCTGGATATTTAGCAAAAGTAATCTTTCTCTGTGAAAACTGACTTTGTTTTAATCAATCTAGATACATTAGTGAATTAGGTAAAATAAATTATATCCTTGCTAAAAATTCTGCTTTTATGTTTTTTGTCATCTAGAATGGTCCTTGTCTTGCAAAATTTTTTGATACAAATGAGCTGGAAAATTCATGAAAAAAGATACAGTCTCATGCTGTTACCCTTATGCAATAAAACTCTCTTACATTAGAGATATGTCAGTGTGAAGCCAAGCATATTAGATCTCAATATTTCATCATTTGTGACTCCTAAATTGTGTGGATGTGTGGATGTGTTCATTTTTTTGTAACTGCAAGGACAAGTAAATGAGTTGTAATATTTTAACAATAAGACATGCAGCCCACATTAGTAACAGTCATTCTTACGATTTATTTTCTTCCTTAGATATAGGAAAGAGTCCAAATATGTATAGTCATATAGATCAGTTTATTAATTTGACAAATATAGATCAAAAATAAATTATCTAAAGAACTACCAAATAATTGAAAGATTCTCTGCTTGTCCTTGACATTCCAGTTTAGTTCTAAACAAGCAACATGCATAGGTGAAAATGCAAGGAGCAGTGTAGACAATCAGTAAAGTAATAAATTGCATCCGTAACCCCCAAAGAAATGTAGACAAAGAAGTGATCCAAGTAGAGCGGTTTTGGAAATTTACTTGGAGAATTAAGTATTGAGGCAAGCCATAGGGAGGCAGAGATGGAGCAAAAAGAATCACAGAGGTATAGTTCGTTTATTGTGCTTCTGGGCCGTCCTGACATCAGTCCCTTCGTTTTACACGTGGATTGCAAGGTATTAATAACAATACATAAATTTATAAGTAAATGATTAATGTAGAACTCAGGGATACGTAGAATCCAAACAACCTCATAAAGAATGCTGTACAAGATATAGTTATTTGTAAAAGTGGGTGTTTGGTCCTCATATTGCAATCAGTGTTAAATTTGAAAGAGACATAGTGTATCAGTCGGGGTTCTCTAAAGGGGCAGAACTAATGGAATAGATGTATATATGAAGGGGAGTTTATTAAGGAGTGCTGGCTCACACAGTCACCAGATGAAGTCCCACAATAGACCATCTGCAAGTCGAGGGGCCGGGAAGCCAGTCCAGGTTCCAAAACCTTACACGTAGGGAAGCCAGCAGTGCAGCCTTCAGTCTGTGGCCAAAGAACCAAGAGCCCCCGGTAAATCACTGGCATAGGTCCAAAAGTCTAAAAGCTGAAGAACTTGGGAGTCTGATGTTCCAGGGCAGGAAGCACCCAGCACAGGAGAAAGATGAAGGCCAGAAGACTCAGCAAGTCCAGTCCTTCAACATTCTTCTGCCTGCTTTTATCCTAGCCCTGTTGGCAGCTGATTAGATGGTGCCCACCTAGATTGAGGGTGGGTCTGTCTCTCCCTGTCCACCCACTGACTCAAATGTTAACCTCCTTTGTCAACACCCTCACAGACACACCCAGGATCAATACTCTGCATCCTTCAATCCAATCAAGTTGACACTCAATATTAACTATCACACGTAGTATACACGGTGATAGTATTCTCCAAGAGAGTTTACGTGGGATTGAGCAATTGCACTTCAGTTGACCTTATAATGTAGCACTACAGTGTCTTATGAGGAGAAATGAAAAAAAAAAATCCAAAAGGTTTTGATAGCTCATTGCTTTTATAACTGTTTTCCCACATAGCTGCTGACAAATCATTATGAAAGATGCTGGAAATATTACTGCCTGCCTGGAGGGTGGGGAAACTTTGGTGCTGCCTCAGAAGAAGAACTTCATTTATCAAGAAAGTTGTTCTGGGGCATTTTTGATGCCCTGTCTCAAAAGGTAATTTAAGATTTTGTGGGTTTGTTTGTATCAGTACAATGGCACAAAGCAACACATTCTTAGTAAGATAGTATTCCTAGTTGAATACTGTCTTTGCTAACCAAGACACATATGGCTTTATTTTTTCTCTTTTCTCAACTTCATAATAAATGTTGAAAATGCAATTTATATTTATTTTTCTTAATCATTATGGTAGCATTTTCCTTGTGATCACAACACTGTTTCTGAATGTCAAATGGCTAAGCAGTTCAGGAAATTACGCACAGGGTTGATAAGTTTCTGGTGCATTTGGACTCAGACTCTCCCTAGTCCCATCTCCAATCTTATAAAGGCCAAAGAAATTATATCTAATACAAAAATATAAAACATGAAATCTTATGTAATTGTAATATCCCAGTCCCCTGCTAAAGTCTCCAGCTTTGCTGCTATGGAGCTTTAGATACCTTCACTCAATGTTGCATTGCATATATGGCATTCCCTTATAGTTGCAAAATTTATAATGAATAGTTCATATGTTTTCAGATGGCTGGCAGGTGTTGATCTTAGAGAAAAGGCAGAACAACAAGTCTTGTATGTTCACGCTTAAATTAATCAAAATTAGTTTGAATTCCCAGATTGACATTATTAGATGATTGGAGTAGTATTACCACAAATTTGCTACATAGTAGAGGAATATTTGTCTGCAATTACATTTGGTAGCAACACTTTAATGCGTTTTCTTACTGAATTTCCTTTGGTAAACTTGAGTCCTTTTAAAATAATGTGTAAGTATTTTTTAGAATCATTTATGTTTGTTTAACAATGAACATTTAAAGTGAAATAATTTAAATTATTACTTTTTTATTTTTTAGAAAATCTATAAATATAAATTTAACTTAATACTCAAATGCCTCTTCCTATAAATTTTTATCATGCATACTTTCTATGGAATTTCTTTTCCTGCTCAGAATTTTATTTTTCAAACCTTTATAATGCAACATGGATCGGTTAAAATTTCTCACTCTCTAGAATGTTATGCTTTCTGTATTTTTCATGTATACTCATTATAATGTACAGGAATTACCTATAACTAACTATAAGTAATGTAGTCCCTATTGACTGAAATTATGTTTATCTTGTAACGATATTTTACACGTTGACGATATTAAAGTTTACTTCATTTCCAATGTGTTGGAGAGTCAAAGATTTTATTCTCCTTAAACTGAAACTGCTGCAGCTTCTTTTATGTTTGTAAATCTAGCTGGAGCTTCTTTTATGTTTGATGGGGTTTTAGGCTCTGTTTCATTTTCTAGAAAAAGAATTATCAGAGAGTTCAGTTAGCCCAGGGTAATTCAGATTTTCTTCTGCAACCTTCTGTAGCCCTGATGATCATGCTGACAACTTTTGCTATATAGTAATTTCTTTTTTGGTCCTCCATTTTTCCCAGAAATATGAACAAGAGCTTTTCAAACTGGCACTGCCTTGCCTGAGTGCAGTTGCGGGAGCTTTGCCTCCAGACTACATGGAGTCAAATTATGTCAGTATGATGGAAAAACAGTCATCAATGGATTCTGAAGGGAACTTTAACCCACAACCTGTTGATACCTCAAAGTATGGACTCTTTCTATTGCAGCAGATTTTTATTGTAAATGATGTGTGAAGTCTGAAATTGAATAAGGTACTAAAGTGAACTTTCTCTAATACATGCCCCCTTTGAATTGGTATCCTTTTAATAGGGGTCCTTTTAATTTATAAAATGATAGTAATAATAATGATTATACTAATATCAGAAATAGATAAGATGTACCTTCGAGGATATTCTTAACACAATCAAGACTCTGTATATGTAATATCTATAATAGAATTAAGAAAGTCTGTCAGTTATATTTTTAGTTGAAAAATTACCCTAAATGTTTAATAGTAACTACGAATCAACCTCTATATAACATCTTTTACTTAAGATATTCCCAGCATGCACTGCAAAGCTGTTTCTGTGAGTGGCAAGGGAATCCCTTCACCCATCACTACATCTCAGCAAGGTCCAGGGTTCACAGCTGATGTTCAACTTGATAAAACACAGCACAAGATGGAAGGGAATATCGAATGAGAATTTTTCTGGAAAATTCAGCATGCAGTTAGAATGCAGTTTAACAACCAAAACCAAAGATGAAACAACATTCTTTAACATTATGAAACTTGTTACATGTACTTAGTTGCAACAATTGTTCTACAGATAGGATGTTTGGGAACTTCAGGTGTTTGAAGTCTGAGCATTTTGTTGTTGTTGTTACTGTTTTTAAGTAGGATCATGGTTCTCCATGTGCAAGGAAAGCTGCCTCTTCATGCCACATTCTCTTACTGATTCCATGGTGCTCAGCAAGATCAGTTTTAGCAAGGTAGACACTTGGTAGTTCTTATCCACGGCTTCTGAATTTGCTTGGGAGTTCAACTTTGAGGCTTCTGAGTGGCCCCCAGCTGATTTAGCTTCCATAACCAGATCAGAATTTCAACCTGAGTGGTATGCCATTAGTTTGATAATGCCTTAAATTTGCATGTTTGGTCTTTGATGACAGTCCTGTGAGAAAAGACCCTTTCCCCCATCCCCCAGTATTTGGCTTATGTGATTGATCTTTTGTATCTCCTCCGAAGTAAGTAAACCAATATATCACATGTTCACATTCCTACATGGGTAAGTTTGTGGTTTGCTAACATATGATCTAACCTGAGATTTTTAAATATCAGAACAATGTCATGGTTTTGGTGTTGGTTCATTAAATCCAATTAATTAATAAGTGTGGGCATGGATATTAATTTACCTAGGCTTGCCCCTTGGGGGACTTCTTAACAGATACAGGTTTACGCGGTGATATCAATGATTTCTAAATGATTACAATTTTTTATATATTGCTTCTTAGGTATGTGTATGTCTTATAGTTCAATTACTGTTAACTGCTGGAAAACAACAATAAACCATCTTATACTAGATTTTATGTAGAATTGTGTTCTCAAAGTTAATACTTTAATAAGATATATTCATTAATGAATAGAATTTTATATATATATTTGATTTTCCATTCATAGATACCTTTTAAACCTTAGATTTACCATCAGACTTGGTCATCATTTGCATGTCCTCAACATCAAGGAACTAAATATTCATTTAAACACAAAAGGAGTCAAGAGTAAACATTAACAAAAAGCAGAAGTTAATTATTTTCCCTATAGTTAATTCTAGTAACATTTACAGTGTTATTTGTGGACCGTGAATATTTAAAAATTTTAACACATCACTACTAAATTTAGTGCTTGTTTTTTCTTTGTTGTGTAATATATTGTCCTAATTTTTGAATGTATTTAATTATTTCAATTTATGTATTTAATAATAATTGTTATTATAGTTTTATGATATTTAATTTGTTATGTTAGCACATAAACTATGAATCAATATAAGATGAGCAGATAGAACATTATCTGCTTGACTTTTCTTATATTGTTCTGAAAATAGAAAAATTTAATTCTTTGTTAACAGTAGTGTTTAACAGTTAAAATTGAATGAGATATAAGCATTCATTAGCTGTGAGTAAATTATTAATATGATTCCTGTAAATTCTGTGAAAATCAAGCTCTTTTGTCTTTACTTCTCTCATAGTATTACAATTCCTGAGAAGTTGGAATACTTCATTAACAAATATGCAGAACACTCGCATGACAAATGGTCAATGGACAAGGTAAAAAGAGAATTACATTCTTATTCAGTAGTCGTTATTAATGACTGGTCACTGTTCAATACTTCTGACCATGACAGTGTTCTGTTTTAAAATGAGAACTTGATCTAAATTAGGAAAAAATACTTAATTACAATTAGCTTATATAATAATATAATATTTAGCTAGCTCTATCATTAACACAAATATAATGCACTTATGAATAAGCACTATTTTAAGCTTTCAAAAGATCTATTAATTACATTATAAATATAGTTGCTATAACATATATTGTTTATCGGAGTAAAAAGCAATAATCACCAAGGGCTTCAGGAGGAAATGGTGACCCCCGTTCAGAATTCACCTTTGAAGGAAACTTTGGTTTTATATGTAGGTTTTTTGGGTTTATTTTTTGAGTCCTGCTCTGCCGCCCAGGCTGGAGTGCAGTGGTGTGATCATACTTCACTGCATCCTGGAACTACTGGGGTCAAGCGATCCTCCTGCCTCAACCTCCTGAATAGTTGGGACTACAGGTGCACACCACCATACCTGGCTAATTGTTAATATTTTTTATAGAGATGAGATCTTGCTATGTTGCCCAGGCTGGCCTCCAACTGTTGGCCTCAAGCAGTTGTTCAACCAGCCTCAGCCTTCCAAACTGCTGAGATTACAGGCATGAGCCACCATGCTTGGCCAGGTTTTAGGTATGGTTCTATATCAGATAAAATCTTGAAAATTCTTAATCAGGATTTAACAATTATTTACCTTTTCTATTCTTCTGTTGTATTTCTTACTACCAACTAGATCTGCAGTTTACTAAAAATAGATTACATTGGCCGGGTGACTTTTTTGTGTGTTTTCAAGAAAAACAACACAAATGAGAAAACTAAAGTAGCTGCATCTATGAGATAATTTCTACATATTATGAGATTTTCTAAAGGAAATCTTATGCCTGAATATTCACATTTAAGTTGAGCTCAGTCTAAACTTGACAGAGGATAAAGTAGGTTCATCAGAGGAGTTGAGTTGAGATGGTTCAAGAACCTAAAATACTCATATATTGATTTGGTAAAATGAAAATCAGACACCAAAGGTTGCTTCCAGAGGATGTGTATGCTTCGTAACAAATCAAGATCATCATGCTAGAGATGTCATATTGAGTTTCAAACATTGCCCTGGCCGGTCAGTCTTTCAGTCCCTCTAAGAAACCCTTTTTTTGCTGGTTTTGATAAGTATCTGGTTCTTCATTCAGTAACCGATTTACTACGTAAGTCAGTAAGGATCTATCTTACATAAAAACTCCACTAAGTACTGAGTGGGTGGAGTTGGTGATGGAGAGGAATATACAGGAAGGTATTCCAGTCTAATTACTCAGACTCTGTAGGCAGACCAGAAATGATATAGGGAAATGGTGATATGTACAAATGGGCAAAATAATATGGAATGAATGTGTTGAGAGAAAATTTGATGAAAGAATGGATAAAACAGGTGGCATTATTCAGAGAAGACTCTGAGATGCATACTCTAGTTTTCCTATTTAAAATGCATGTTTTTTATTTACACTTCACAGGTGGGGTCCCAAGATGGGTCAGAATAGATATCCTTGGGACCATGCATCCCTGTAGCCTCCTCCTGTGGGAATGCTTATCGGCACAATTACAAGACCTTGGTCTGTTTAAGGAAGATTGGGTGCTTCTAGTCTCTGGATAAAAAGACTTGTTCCAGATGATTACTGAAAATACATCATGCAATATATCCATGCAACAAAATACATTTACTCCCTGAATCTGAAATTTAAAATAAAAGAAAATAACATTGATTAGGATGGATATCTTTATAGTGACTTATGCTGGATAAAATTTCAATCTTAACCCTTACTTTAGTTCACTTTAGGTTTATTTTATCAAACATGCACTTAAACACCTGTATATGTACACCCTCTAAAATTAACACATGTAAAACAATTTTTAATGTTTGCCTTTTTTTTTAGTTGGCAAATGGATGGATTTATGGAGAAATATATTCAGACTCTTCTAAGGTTCAACCATTAATGAAGCCATATAAGCTATTGTCTGAAAAGGTGAGGATTTTTGGTTTGTTTTAGTTTGTAAAGTTTTTATTCTTTTGGAAAATATTTTTCTTTGTTACGTATTTTTATATTAAAATGACTTCTTTATTTTAAAGTTGGTATTTTTTCTTCCAAAGGCCCCATTTTAAAAAAACTTATTATATTTTGTCTTTTCTTCTCCATTCTTATTTTCTGTCAGCATTTCTGTGTTTATTCTCTTCTCTCCTTAACATTTTTCTTTTCCTTTTTGGTTTTGATTCCTCTTCCATATTTTTAAGTACTTTAAAAAATCTTCTTATCATGCTTAAAAGTTTCTTGATGAGTGATGACAAAGTAATAATGTGCTTATTATGTATAGGTTTTCATATATTTGACTTCTTTGGGAAAAAATGAATATCTTGACAAATGAAGTGAAAAGGATTTCACTTCATTGTGAGTCACATGTATATTACATAAGCTGTCCTTTTGTTCTGTGTCTCTCCTTTGTAGTTTCTGTGTTAGGTCCTAGGAACCAGGTCCGCTAAAGGAAATTGACTTTGATGCTATATAATGAACAAAGTGAGGATCCCTCTTAGTAACATTAGTAAAACTAGATCTCTGCTCACACTCCACTTTTAGAATTTTACTTTCCTTTTTTATTTTTAAATAAGCTATGGGCATCAAATTTTTAAAAAGTGAAGGCAGTCTATTCAAGAGCAAAGCGTTACTTAACGTTTTAATTTACATTCATAATATATCTGTTGTTTTTTGGTTTTTCTTCTCTAGGAAAAAGAAATTTATCGCTGGCCAATCAAAGAATCTTTAAAAACTATGCTGGCTTGGGGCTGGAGAATTGAAAGAACTCGGGAGGGAGACAGCATGGCCCTTTATAACCGGACTCGTCGTATTTCTCAGACAAGCCAGGTAAGAATTCATCATGGTGATGAATCAACTGTTTATGTTATGGACTAAATAATTTTGTTAAATTTAATTATTGGGTTTTTCTTAAAAAATAATTTGAAAATTCTGAAGAGTCACAAAATTTAGAAGGGAGAGAAAAAAGCTATATTACCTTTTCTTTAGTTTCAAGGGAGGTTAAATGATGATTAAGTTACTGAACTTTATGTACAAGCCTTCCGTTTTCTGGCTAGTATAGAAGAAGTAACCAGCTGTAGGACATGGGTGAAGCTGGAAACCATCATTCTCAGCAAACTAACACAGGAACAGAAAACCAAACACCACATGTTCTCGCTCATAAATGGGAGTTGAACAATGAGATCACATGGACACAGGGAGAGGAACATCACACACCAGGACCTGTCGTGGGGTGGGGAGCTAGGGGAGGGAGAGCATTAAGAGAAATACCTAATGTAGGTGACGGGTTGATGGGTGCAGCAAACCACCATGGCACGTGTATACCTATGTTACAAACCTGCACGTTCTGCACAAGTACCCCAGAACTTAAAGTATAATAAAACATTTAAAAAAGAAGAAGAACTACTCAGTTGTAAGGTCCTGAAGTTTTCCTAATGGAAACAGCACATCATGTTCATTCGCTACAGTTAGTTTGTCTATGAAGCTTTCTTCTCATTTCTAGTGGGATCTGAGGGTTGGTTCTTAGGAAAGAGTAGGATGTTCAGACAGTCATGATCCAGATCTAGAACGCACAGGGGTGCTCCTGTCTGCAGAGGGCAGGTATACAGTCACACAGGCAGAGCAAGAATTCACAGAAGATGTTGCTACTGGACCATGTCAAGGGAGTTCAACCAACAAGCAAGACTCTACTCTCATAGGTCTTAGGTGCTCAAGGTGGCAAGAGTAAGGCACAGCCTTGATGTGGAAAAGCTGGGGTTCAGGGTGGACACCAAATGCCACCCATTAACATTTAGTCACAAGGTCATGTGAGCTGCTTACCTTTGACCCTCTCATTTCTCCTGGGAGCTAAACCTGTCATTATTCTTTTCTTGACCCCTCAACTCACTATATATGTGGTTTACACCAAATGTTGTTTATTATTGCTATTTACACTGATATCCTTTTTTTGAAAAAAAAAAATGAGGGTCTAACAGCATGTGCTTCACATGCTCCATAGTTGAAATAGACTTTTTTTTGTATCATTTCAAATTTTTTTTTATACCTTAAGTTCTAGGGTACATGTGTACAACATGCAGGTTTGTTACATATGTATACATGTGCCATGTTGGTGTGCTGCACCCATTAACTCGTCATTTACATTAGGTATATCTCCTAATGCTATCCCTCCCCACCTCCCTCCCCACAATAGGACCCGGTGTGTGATGATCCCCTTCCTGTGTCCAAGTGATCTCATTGTTCGATTGATTCCCACCTATGAGTGAGAACATGCAGTATTTGGTTTTCTGTTCTTGCGGTAGTTTGCTGAAAATGATGGTTTCCAGCTGCATCCATGTCCCTACAAAGGACACGAACTAATCCTTTTCTATGGCTGCATAGTATTCCATGGTGTATATGTGCCACATTTTCTTAATCCAGTCTGTCACTGATGGACATTTGGGTTGATTCCAAGTCTTTGCTATTGTGAATAGTGCCACAATAAACATACGTGTGCATGTGTCTTTATAGCAGCATGACTTATAATCCTTTTGGTATATCCCCTGTAATGGGATGGCTGGGTCAAATGGTATTTCTAGTTCTAGATCCTTGAAGAATCGCCACACTGTTTTCCACAGTGGTTGAATTAGTTTATAGTCCCACCAACAGTGTAAAAGTGTTCCCATTTCTTTACATCCTCTCCAGCACCTGTTGTTTCCTGATTTTTTAATGATTGCCATTCTAACTGGTGTGAGATGGTATCTTATTGTGGTTTTGATTTGCATTTCTCTGATGGCCAGTGATGATGAGCATTTTTTCATGTGTCTGTTGGCTGTATGAATGTCTTCTTTTGAGAAATGTCTGTTCATATCCTTTGCCCACTTTTTGATGGGGTTGTTTGTTTTTTTCTTGTAAATTTGTTTGAGTTCTTTATAGGTTCTGGATATTAGCCCTTTGTCAGATGAGTAGATTGCAAAAATTTTCTCCCATTCTGTAGGTTGCCTGTTCACTGTGATGGTAGTTTCTTTTGCTGTGCAGAAGCTCTTCAGTTTAATTAGATCCCGTTTGTCAATTTTGGCTTTTGTTGCCGTTGCTTTTGGTGTTTTAGACATGAAGTCCTTGTCCATGCCTATGTCCTGAATGGTATTACCTAGGTTTTCTTCTAGGGTTTTTGTGGTTTTAGGTCTAACATTTAAGTCTCTAATCCATGTTGAATTAATTTTCGTATAAGGAGTAAGGAAAGGATCTAGTTTCAGCTTTCTACTTATGGCTAGCCAATTTTCCCAGCACCATTTATTAAACAGGGAATCTTTTCCCCATTTCTTGTTTTGTCAGGTTTGTCAAAGATCAGATGGCTGTAGATGTGTGGTATTATTTCTGACGGCTCTGTTCTGTTCCATTGGTCTATATCTCTGTTTTAGTACCAGTACCATGCTGTTTTGGTTACCGTAGCCTTGTAGTATAGTTTGAAGTCAGGTAACGTGATGCCTCCAGCTTTGTTCTTTTGGCTTAGGATTGTCTTGGCAACGCGGGGTCTTTTTTGGTTCCATGTAAACTTTAAAGCGGTTTTTTCCAATTTTGTGAAGAAAGTCATTGGTAGCTTAATGGGGATGGCATTGAATCTATAAATTACCTTGGGCAGTATGGCCATTTTCACAATATTGATTCTTCCTATCCATGGGCATGGTATGTTCTTCCATTTGTTTGTGTCCTCTTTTATTTTCGGTATTGATGGAACGTATCTCAAAATAATAAGAGCTATTTATGACAAACCCACAGCCAATATCATACTGAATGGGCAAAAACTGGAAGCATTCCCTTTGAAAACTGGCACAAGACAAGGATGCCCTCTCTCACCACTCCTATTCAACATAGTATTGGAAGTTCTGGTTAGGGCAATCAGGCAAGAGAAATAAATAAAGGGTATTCAGTTAGGAAAAGAAGTCAAATTGTCCCTGTTTGCAGATGACATGATTGTATATTTAGAAAACCCCATTGTCTCAGCCCAAAATCTCCTTAAGCTGATAAGCAACTTCAGCAAAGTCTCAGGATACAAAATCAATGTGCAAAAATCACAAGCATTCTTATACACCAGTAACAGACAAACAGAGAGTCAAATCATGAATGAACTCCCATTCACAATAGCTTCAAAGAGAATAAGATACCTAGGAATCCAACTTACAAGGGATGAAATATACTTTTAAATAAATTGAGTTCTGATTTGGGCATATTTTACATTAAATTGTCTTTGGGATGTATCATATATGGATGGAAACTATAAAAGTGTGTTTTATCTATTTTTTGTTTCTTTACGCTTTTCTAAGTAAAATAGCTTTTATTTTAATCTGTTTCAACAAATGCTGAGCACAAAATGCGTACTAGGCAATGAGAATACAAAGACAGCAAGACAATTGTAATCCTAAAAATCATAAAATAGTGTTAGATAAGGTCAAGTTAAATCTACTACAACATGGTACAGAAAGGGTGAGACTAGTGGTATGTACAAGGCACTACACAGTGTAGAGAAAGGGATGATTTTTAAAAATTATTCTGTAAGGCAGATAAGAAATAAGAAATTACTGCAAATGCAGATGACTTTAAGCTTCATGAAAAATAAGGGAGATTCTTCCACTGTTCTTAATAGCAAAAATTATGTACTCTAATTTAAAATCATGTATATTTTATATCACCCCTCTTTCCCTTTCTCCTTTTTGTTCTAATAGTAAGCCCTTAATAGATCCTATTAACCCGTGGAACCATCTCTCGTGTCTTAGTGATTTTTACAGTGACATGTGATTTTTGAAATTTATTCTTAAATCTCAAATGTGATTTCAAAATATTAGGTGATGCTTGTGCCAGAGGCACAGTTTGTAAGGTAAGAGGAAGGGCTATGGAATTTCACCACTTGGGCTTAAATCCTAGTAGTGCTGCTTTCTAAAAATGTACATTTGGGTATTTGATCTCTGTTTGCCTCATTAAATGTGAACTCTTATTGTTACTATTGTTATGTCAGTATTTCTGTTGAGAGCATTTATTGAGGGCATTTCATTAGTGGTAAATGAAAAAGTATATTTGTGTTTGTAGCACTTTGGCCTGTAGGTAAGAAAGAAAGAATAGTTCTGTCAGCCTCAGAAATGGGGAGCAATATACACTGAAGGCCACAAATCTATATATAACTCTTGCCATTATTTTCGCCCAAAGGTTCTTTAAGCATAAACCCATATTATTTCAAATATTAACATAGATTGTCATTTCTTCATTACTTGCCTTATAGCTTTTTGTTTTTCAACTATCATCTTGTTAAACTTCTTTGTCTTTTTTCTGTTACTGATTTCTTATGTGATTATAAAGCAATTTTCTATCATGTATAAACTCTTCTGACTAAAGGAACACTTTATAGCATCATTTTATATAAGGAATGTAAATGGATGAGTGAAGATCATGTGTAGATGTGATTCCGACCCTGAATGCACCAGCCCTTTTTTTTTTTTTTTTTTAACTGGGGCTCAGCACTCCCTCAGGGACGTACAGGTGGCCCATGGTTAATGGCAGTATCTGGCACAGCCAGCCTGGGTTGACATTCTGGTCTCACCCCTGAGTACCTGGCTAGTTATGTGAGCTTGGGTAAACTGGTTAACCTCTGTATGCAGCAGTTTTCTCATCTTTAAAATGAAGCTGGGTGTGAGTCTCTGCTTTGAAAGAATGTTGTGAGTGTTCTCGTTATGATGCTTATTAATCACTTAATAACTGGCATATATTTCAATATAGGTGAGCCATAATTTTTGTCCTTATTATCTTTGTGTGGATCAATAACCTGATGAATGTCCTTTGTTTGCCATGAATACCAGAGGAAGACACGAATCCTGATTTCAGGAAATTTACCGCCCACTTAGGGCTTTAGAATTTGCACATGTAAGACAAACATAAGGGTATGAATAACACCAGTATCAACTCGATGGAATATACAATAGAGTATATAAGGGCTGATAAAAGTTACAAGAAGTTGATTGGAGAGGGGTTAACTGGGTGGATTTTGACCCCCTCCTTAGTAGGGATACTAAAGTCAACAGCAAAGAACATTTCTGACAATCTCAGGCATATCCCACAGGTTTTCAACAATTACTTGTTTACTCCCAAATTCCAATGCCTTACCTCATATCCATTTTTCAGTACTACAAATGTAGGATAAAAACTATTTAAAACAAATGAAAAAATAAGCTTATACCCTGGAAGGGGAAGGGAGATTAGAATGAAACTTTTGGAATGTGTTACTTATCTAGAACTAAAATACAGGATAGGATAGAGGGATGATACATTCATTCCTTCAGCAGATATTTATTGAGCACCCATTATGTATGCTGCATTGTCCTAAGCTTCTCAGATAGATCAGTGACAAAATGGACAAAAATCTCTGCTGTCCAGGAGCTTACATTCTAATGGAGGAAATAAACAACGGATAGAAAGGCCAGGCATGGTGGCTCATGCCTGCAATCCCAGCACTATGGGAGGCTAAGGCAGGGGGATTGCTTGAGCCCAGGAGTTTGAAAGCAGCCTGAGTAATATGGCGAAACAACATCTCTACAAAAAATAGAAAAACTAGTCAGGTGTGGTTTCACGGCACACACCTGTAATCCCAACTACTCAGGAGGCTGAGGTGGGAGGATTGAATAAAGCCAGGAGGTTGAGGCTGCAGTGAACTGTGTTTGTGCCACTTCACTTCAGCCTAAGTAACAGTGTAAGAGAGACTCTGTCTTCAGAAAAACAAGTTCTAGCTATGCTATGATAGAGTATGACAAATATCATGAAAAAGAAAACAGCATAGAAAGGCAAATTGGGAGTGCAACAGGGAGATTTGGAAGGTGTTTGGAGGTGAGTTGCAATTTTAATATGGAGCTTTCAGGTAGATTTCATCAGAAGGTGAATTGAATAAAAACCTGAAAGAGTTGAGGGAGTTACACAGATTTGGAGGAAGAATGTCCCAAACATTGCACATGTGCTAAGGTGGGAGTATGTGGGAGATAAGGAAGTGAGCGAGGCTGGAATCCAGTGAGTAACATGAGGGTACAGTGGTCTCAGGGGCCAGGTCCTATAGGACACGGGGGACCATCTTAAGGACCTGGATAAGTGCTTTGGTGTTAGAATCACTTTCAAAATTTGATGCTGCTGTTTGCTATCTACATAATACAGTTTATGACTTTTAAAATTATTTAATTTCTCTTGAGCCTCTTTTCTCTCATTTTAAAATGATAAAAAGTAATACCTACTGTTTAGAGTTGTTCTGAAGATAAAATGAGATAATCTGTGTGTCCCGATGACCACACACCTGGTAGTTGCTACTGCTGCTGTTAATGCTAATAAGATTAGTATGAATGTTAAACCCCCTGGCTCCAAGACGGTGCATAGTCCAGGGAACCTGAAATTGTGCAAGACTTGGCCAGTCTTCTGATTTCTGTGTATCTGAAGAAGAAAAACAGGCAATTAAAAGCATAAAAAGAATCTGTCCCTAAATAAGCAAATATTTACCTACATTATTAAAACTGGCCTCAAGAACTTAAAGTGAAAAACTTGTAAATTTCAGTTATATAAGGAAAGTGGTTTAAGGGGAGATTAAATAGTGGGAAATCTATTTTAGGAACAAATAGAGTTATAGAGTTATTGCTATCAATAAAATTTGCAGAAAGTCTAATATAATTTGTCACCAGTTTTAAGACATACACTTGCCCTGTTTTAATATCTGTGAGATTGGGAATCATTTTATAATCTTAACATTAATGAGAGATGGTATGTGTCAGATGCTGGAAATATTAATAAAGCCCAGCCCGTGCCCACATATTTTTGCTGTACAGTGGAGAAGACATTGCTTAGGGAAGAACAAAATAAATAGTTTGGAAATGTAATTCTGACAACAAAATGGAGAATGAGTTAGAGAAGGATGAGACTGAAGGCAGAAAGATAGACTCCTTAGGGGGATGTTGTAGACATCCCAGAAAAACAACAAAAACCAAAAAATGTTGTGTCTGAATTAGAGCAGAGACAGTGGAAACAGAACACCATGGTATGTCCCAGGGATATTTTTGAGGTAGACAGAATTTTGTGGCTGATACATGATAATAGACGAAGGGGAGTATATTAGTCTGTGTTTACGCTGCTAATAAGGACACACCTGAAACTGGGCAATTTACAAAGGAGGAGGTTTAATTGACTCACAGTTCCACGTGGTTGGAGAGGCCACACAATCATGGAGGGAGGTGAAAGGCACATCTCACATCTCACAGGTGAAAGGCAGCAGACAAGAGAAGAATGAGGAGCCAAGCGAAAGGGGTCTCCCCTTATAAAACCACCAGATCTTGTGAGACTTATTCCCTACCAAGAGAACAGTATGGGGGAAAGCACCCCCATGATTCAGTTATCTCCCACTGGGTACCCCCCACACATGATGGAATTATGGGGGCTACAATTCAAGATGAGATTTGGATGGGGACATTGACATGATGATGAAGGGGAATAATCTGAGATGATTGCCATGGACTCTAGCTTGTGTCCCCAAGTTGATAGCCGTGTTAGGTGAAGTAAAGACCATAGGAGTGCTGGGGACAGCAAGCAGAGAATAATGACTTTGATTTTGTATGTTGTGGTAGGCAAAATGATGACTCCCAAATATGTTCACCCACTCCTCACTACAACTGTATGGGAACTATGGTGTTGATGGTAGTTATGTTAGTAGTGGTGATAATGATAGTATACTAGCAGTGAGAATAGCCATTTACTAAAATCCCTGATCCATTCCTTTGTGTCAGGCACTTTGCTACGGGTTTTAAATCCATTACCTCATTTCATACCAGCCTTTGAGGCAGGTGGTCTATTTAGCATATTAAAAGAAAAAGTTCCACTTTGGGAGGCCGAGACGGGCGGATCACAAGGTCAGGAGATCGAGACCATCCTGGCTAACACAGTGAAACCCCGTCTCTACTAAAAAAATACAAAAAACTAGCCAGGCGAGGTGGCGGGCGCCTGTAGTCCCAGCTACTCAGGAGGCTGAGGCAGGAGAATGGCGGGAACCCGGGAGGCGGAGCTTGCAGTGAGCCGAGATTGCGCCACTGCACTCTAGCCTGGGCCACAGAGCGAGACTCCGTCTCAAAAAAAAAAAAAAAAGAAAGAAAAAGAAAAAGTTCAGACAAATTAAATGTAACAGAGTTTAACTGAGCAAAGAACCAGTGGCAGTCCCTGGCCGGATAACATTTATAGACAAAAAGGGAAGTGGTGCTCAGAAAGCAGAAGTGAGGTACAGAAGAAGCTGGATTTATTCCAGCATGGTGTTTGCCTCCTTTAAACAAGGTTTGAACAGTGTCCTCGTGGTGAAAGCACAGAAGCCAGGGTGCCGTTAAAACTGACCCGAAAGTTAAGTATCACTCATGAGCCTGTTATTAATTATAGCATATGTTACACTCACTTTTATTTTACAAGCATGATAATGAGCTATATTTTCATTTTGGTTTTAGTTTGTTTTTTGTTTATGCATTTTTAATAAGAGAATATACACAATTATGAAATATATCACGGTATAGTTTTAGATTTATAAGCAGGAACCAGAGCTCATTTCTGTGGTACACTTTCACATAATATGCCATTGGGTGGAAGGAGGTAAGTGCCCAGGATGGTAGTGAAACTTCCTTAAAATTGATGAAGAGATATATTTCATTTTTCAAAAGCTTTAATTCAGAAATTAAAGAAGTCTCTTCCTCGAGGATTTCCAAGTGCATTATTGAATACCATATGATATACTATTATAATTTAAAAGTTAGTTATACTTTATTCTGACATTTGACTCATGAAGACATTTGTAAATATTGACATCTTTGATTAACTCTCGCTTGCTTGAGGAAGAGTAAATTTCATTGCAGCCATTTTGGATTTGTAAGAAACTCAAAAATGTAATGGTCCCCTGCATAAGTTAATGTTTCAACATTTTGGATTCATGGCACAATATGTTAAATTCTGATAGTTAATTTTCAGGATTGTCAATCATAAATCGTTTTCAGACACCCAAATATAATGTTAATGTGCGAGATGTGTTTACAACATCATTTTGTAAAGAAACTTGCCAGTTTTATCTGAGGAAACACTATGTTTGGAAGTTTGTGTTATATTTTTAAAGTATAATTTAAATCTCTCCTCACAAGGTGTTTAATGAGGCACTATTTTTTCACACAAATGATCTAGGTTTCTGTAGACGCTGCCCATGGTTACAGTCCCCGGGCCATTGACATGAGCAATGTTACGCTATCTAGAGACCTGCATGTAAGTACTATCAACTTTTAAAACTAGTCTCAAAACTTAATTTTTAAGAAGCATAACATAATACTTTCCTGCATATATTTCATAGCATGGTTTATTTGAATGTGGTGATCCTATAATGGATCCATGGAATTTATAGATTATATACTCTAATTTTTTAGTACTATCAAAATTGATAGCTGGGTGTGGTGGCGCACACCTATAGTCCCAGCTACTTGGGAGGCTGAGGCAGGAGAATCACTTGGACCTGGGAAGCGGAGGTTGCAGTGAGCCGAGATTGCACCACTGCACTCCAGCCTGAGTGATAGAGTGAGACTCCCTCCCAAAGGAAAGAAAAAAAAAAAAAAAAAAAGTTGATACAACTTTTCTAGGGTGTTTCAGCCACATAACATGTTTTCCTTAAAGATAATAGCCATTTAAAAATCTCAATGTTAAATATTTGTGTGTGAGAAGAGAGTAAATGGTTAATAATGCTCTGCGCAAGGGGCACTTTCTTTAAAGTTTTTCCTGAGAAATTGATTGCATTTGCAATCCTTATTGCTCCATACACAGTCTCATCTGTTCTTTTTTGTTACCAAGGAACCTACTTTGAAATAGCAGATTTGAAAGTAAGATAAAATTTATTGCCTTGAGACATAAAGTTAATAGGTCAATTTGGTGTTCAAATAACATATTAGCATTGCTGGTAACTGTCTTGTTCCAAGAGAAATAAGGACGAAAATATAAAATTTACAGATTGTTAAATTGTTTTGTTTGCCATTTGTTATTGCTCCCATATGAACGTCTTAAAATGACACAGTAAACTTGAAAATCAGATGTAAAAAGAATCTTAGAGGTAATCTTGATCAAAACCCAAAAGGTCACAGAAAGATTAACTTGGCTAGTCTAAGATCTCTCACCTAGTTTGGACAGAGATTGATTTAGAAATCAGATCTTTGATTGTCCATCTAACATTCTCCACATTCAAGTTGAATAAGGTTTAGGTCATTTTTAAGACTTTGGAAGTTAAAACAAGAACTTGTAAATAAAAATTTTTTTCTGAAGTCCATAGCTATTTTGGTTTCATTATTGAATCAATGTCTTCAAACATTATGAATAACAATGACCATTCTCATCTGCTGTTTAGTTACTGTGTCATATTGCAAATCCTTACAGTTCGCTGGGATTCAGATTCTAAAGAAGAGTGTGTGATTATCTTTTAAATGTATCGTAGCACTAATACTGTATTAGTTATTCCTTTAAGGCATCTAATATTATGTATTAGAAAGCAATGTTACCCTTTTTTACTTATTGAAGTAATAAATATTTTTGTTTTAAGGCTATGGCAGAAATGATGGCTGAAAACTACCATAATATATGGGCAAAGAAAAAGAAAATGGAGTTGGAGTCCAAAGGTAATATTTTCTAAAAACGTGTATTAAAAAACAATCAGAGTTCAATCACATGAATATATAGATGAAGTAGTCTTTTTAGCACAAGAGCTTATTATAACTTTTTAAAATTAGAATGGTTTAAATGTGCCTGTAACAGATTGAAGGTAGAAATGCTGTAATTTCCTAGTGGCTAGTGTATATTTTCTTGTGTTTCAGAATTTTGGCAGCTTTCTTTTACCCATTTTAGCTTATAGATTTCTATACTTCTCATCCTGATATCTGATTTGTTCTATGAATGACTTAGACTTCCCTCCCTGACTCTCTTCCCCAACTTAAATATCTCCTATTTCACCCCTTTTTATTTCCTGTCTCAGCCTCTTTCGTCTAGTCCAGCTATGTTACTGTCTCTTATATGCTTTTGCTTGCACTTTTCCCGTTTTTTTTATTCAAATGCTAAATGACCTAATGTTCTCTTAGGTATTTCTCAAGTCTTTTAAAATGTATTTGCATAAATATTTTCTTCAATTTAATGTATGCTACACTGATGATATCTTTCAACGTTATTTATTTGCCATTAGTCTATACACATATTGTTCATAATGTGGGGGGGGGTGTGTGTGTGCGCGCGCATATGTGCTGTCGTTAATGACTTCCTATATGGTTTTCTTTCCCCCAATAGGAATATATTATTTTCAAGGTCAGGGCCACAACATTTATTTCTTTTGTAATCCTTATTGTATAGTTACAGGTGCCAATAAATCTTCTACTTTTTGTTTATTTGACTAGGTAAAAATGTAGAAGGGGAGAAGATTTTGAAAGTGGGGATGTTTCATGGTGAAAAGTAAAACTGTGATATGGAAGGATGGTACCTGGCACCAAGCACTAGGAAACAGAGTAACACAAATTAGGGTTAGTCACAGAGAGGAAAAGAGAGGATTTCACATTTTTAAATTGCCTGTTTCAAAATGCTGCTCAAGGATAATATGCCTGTATTCTAAAACCGCCCCATAAATGTTTGTTAAATGAATGATTAATTCATTGTTTGGCTCATGGGTGCATGGGTGAATGGATGGATGGAAAATGAGTCATAGAGTTTTGTTTTGTGAAATTCTTGACAGGGCATTGCCCACATAACTGATAAACAAAATCACTGCTTGTTACATGAGCGGATTACATGAAAAAGTATCTGTTCCTTTTTTTAAACTATGTTTCAGTCACTGTAGTAGAGTCAAAATTAAAAATAATAAGCAGCTATTTTATTACAAGTTGATTATCCCTTATCCAAAATGTTTGGAACCAAAACTGTTTGAAAGTTGAGATTTTTTCAGATTTTTTAAATATTTGCATTAAATACATGGGTTCAGCATCCCAAATCCAAAACCCAAAATTTTAAATGCTCCAATAAGTGTTTCCTTTGAGCATCATGTAGACACTCAAAAAGTTTCTGATTTTGGAACATTTGGATTTCAGATTTTCAGATTAGATATACGCAACCTATATGCTTTTCTAAATAAGCATGATAGAAAATCATCATTATTTAAATTTCTGAGCCAGATTGATGTTTTCTTTAAGTCATGCCACTAGTAGATGGGACATCCATACTTCTGCATACAACTTGTATTGGCTCAAATGTATAATCTGTAGTTGGGCAACTAACCTAGTTGCAGCAGACTAAGTGGCGAGGTAGGGGAAATGAGTCCTCGCTGTCTTTAATTCTCTTACTGCACATATGGATTTCATTTTAGAAAAGGAACTTGTTTAGAACCAGAATGGCAGACCAGTGGGAAAGGGGTTGAAATATGCAATCCTGGATCCTGGCTTTTAGGTTATGGAGGTTAGCAAACCAGAGAAGTGAGTCTTGGGAATAGGAGATAGGTTACAGACTGTGGCCAGTTTCGGAGCAGAAACTACATGTGTCTTTTTTTCAAAGTTGTTTTCTCACTCGGGGACATTAATAGTGAGGAGGATCCTTATAGCCAACTGTTGTAGGCAGTTGCATCCTGCCAACTCTACTCCCACTGCCGATAAGAGTAGGTGGGAGGAATCTGTCACCACCCGATGTCTTGGTGTCTGGGGGTGTGTGTGTGTGTGTGTGTGTGTGAGAGAGAGAGAGAGAGAGAGAGAGAGAGAGAGAAATAGAAATGAGAAGTCAAAAACACTGAAAGAATCAGGGCCAAAGCTGCCCAGTTTTGCTTTCACCCATTCTCTTCTCTTTTATCATCCCTGCATCTGTGCAGAGAAGATGAATCTGCTTTAGGAAAATCAGGAGAAAAATGCTTCTTTTGCTTGTCTTAGTCATCTGATCTTCCGTGCTCTTTTGGAATCTCGAAAAGTCTGAGGGAAAATCAGATGCCATAAGGAGTTAATAGAAATAAAGGAGTGTAAGTCCAAAAAGTATGAGTGGCGCTCCCAAATTAGTGAAAAAATGTTATTTTCCCACTGGCACTTCAAGTATTTTGTACCATGGTCATCTGTTGTTAAGCCACAGACAGTTCACTGGTGTCAAGTGTTTGTTCACCCTGTAGTATGAATGGGTTCATGAGTCCGTGCTAGTATGTGCGGTAATATCCTCGGAATTATTGCTCATTCATTTGCCTCTCCAAGGAGCTGGTTTCCTTCAGCACAAGATGTCTACACCCATATCATAAATGGAAAAAATGAGGGTGGAAGTGCAAGGTCAATGTCCATGGTCACACTGCTAGTTAGAGGCACAGAGAGGATGTAGATTTCAGTCACCTGTCAGGCTTTCAAATCCCTTCACCTTCTAGTTCAGTGGAGGTCGAATAGGGTGAGAAGAGTTACCGACTTAGTGGGTACTTTGCGTTCTTAGGATTTTTTAATTATAGACCTCTTTCTGCGTCTCTCTCTTTCTCTCCCCACCTCCCCCACAATAACTTATTGGTATGTGGCCCCCCAAATCACTGATTACAAATTAAGTTGCCAAATTAATAGCATTCTCTAGGACTAAATGCAGTAATGGAGTTCGAACTAGGTGATGGTTGATTAAACTAGGGTGATGGAATTCGATGCTTGATTTTAAAAAGATTTTTGCTTTTATTTTTAACCGATGCATAATTGTCTATATGACTTACAGTGTGATATTTGCATAATGTATACAACGTGTAATGTTCAAATCAGGGTAATTAGCATATCCATCACCTCAAACATTTATATTTCTTTGTGTTGGGAGCATTCAAAATCTGCTCTTGTAGCTATTTGAGAATATAGAATAAATTGTTGTTAATTATAGTATCCTTATAAAGTGTCCTGTTAAATTACATCTTTGATTAGGACAAAAGTCAAATTTGGTTTCTACTAAACTTAGTAACAAATTCTATATCCTCTTGCTGTTCACGAGTGTTTGTTGTCGTTGTCTTCTAACAGCTGTATTGTGCTTGATATTGTTAATATGCTGTGAAGTACCTGAATTCCTTAGCGTGGTTAGTATTTGTTAGCTCTGTAGTTCTGGACCACCGCCTTGCATGTATGATAGCACAGTGTCACCTAATGGTATTAAAGTTCAGTGGGCGATTGCATGTCTGCAGATGGCACTCTCAGTCAAAGCCAGCACTGGGGAAGCAGACATTTCTTCCTTTGCTTGCTTATTTATTGTGTAGGGCAAATTCAACATTTGTCATTGTTGCAGTAGCTCCTGGCTAAACTGTATTGGAAACTGATTTCATAGGCTATATGTTGTTATAATTCAAACAATATTTATTCTCAATTATTCTTCCTGGAATTGCCTTAGCAGTTGTATTTCAGGGTAGCTCAGCCTCCCACACAATATCTATTACCATACATATTTTACGAATGTTAAATGTGAGGCATACCATGCTATTCAGTTTGCCGCTGTTTTAATAGCATTCTTTGTACCAAATCTTTACATCTGAAATTAACAGTGCATTTTAAAATATTTTTATAATTTTTGCAAAATTTTAACCAAAATTCTTACATAATTTATAATTTTTAGAAAGGTTTTTCTGTGTATTAGTTTTTTTAATTTACATATTTTCTAGAATTTTTAAATCTGAAAGAAAGACTACTTTAGTAAGTATTATCAGGATAAGTATATTAGAAGTCTAGACTCTTGCTAAAAGGTACTTGCCCCCAGGTCTTAAAGTCAAGTATTAGACACTTAAGAGTGATCCACTTTCAATGTAGCACATCTATATGTGGTTTTGTATATTTATAAATAATGTGACTACGAGGTACTCTCTGATCTGAGAGATATAATAAAAATTCCATATTTAAGACTTTTACTCTTCTCTCTGTGGGGCAGCAAATGAAGCATAACCCCTGAAACATGCTTTATAACTTTTCTAAATCCTGCTAAGTATGATTTAGCATTTATTTCCACTCTCCACATTCAGAATTGCTTTGAACAGAGAAGAGAATACAGCTGCTTCTCTCTCGTTGACGAGTGCAGATATTATTGTCACTCAGTATTACAAATGCATGCATGTTCGTGTTTTAACTGCCTCTTAGAAGGCATATGCACAGCCTTTCTTTGAGTAGTTTTTCTGAATTAATTGAAACATTAAAGGCAATAGAGGCAGAAGAGTCTTATATGCTCTGTGTATTATTAAAGGATATGAAAAGTTTTATAGTGTGGTCCAGTTATATATCTGTGTCTCATCTCAGATTATTTTCAAATTACTATGCTGTGTTCTTGTCCTGACATACTCTTAGGAGGAGGTAACCACCCTCTGCTGGTGCCCTATGATACACTGACAGCCAAAGAGAAAGCCAAGGATAGAGAAAAAGCACAGGACATCCTCAAGTTCTTGCAGATCAATGGATATGCTGTATCCAGGTAAAAGTACACATACCCTAATTGCACACTCTTTTCATGAGGATGAATATTTAAATATCCCCATCATATTTAAAGCTGAAAATGAGTTCAATGATCTGTTTACACCTTTGAGGTACTGTTTAATATGTTCAAAATACACACATCAGAAACATTTACACCCCTAGCTGTGTACCACATAACTGAGTTCCTTTGGCTACATATATTAAATCACTACCCATCATTTCGGCAAAATCCCCAGGCAAAAAATCACACTCTGTTTTTGTAAATGCAACATTTTGTTGCATAATAAGAGAGTTACTCACTGAAGCTTTATATCATATGCAAAATATTCTTTATAGGTTAAATCTTACTTTTTCCTTGACCTACAATAACATTAGATAAACTTCAAAATTTATATGTATATATAAACTTATGTATAAACATGTATGGATAGGTACATACACACACACACACACACACACACACACACACACAATTTTACCTTCTAAGAGGCTTTGTACAAATTGCTTTCCCTATTTCATTTTTGCTGTTCCAGAGGATTTAAGGACCTGGAACTGGACACGCCTTCTATTGAGAAACGATTTGCCTACAGTTTCCTCCAACAACTCATTCGCTATGTGGATGAAGCCCATCAGTATATCCTGGAGTTTGGTAGGTGCCATAGTCCCATTGCTAATAGCCCAATGTTTGTTGTTCTTAATGTTTACAACATCAGGATATAGAACAACACTGGCTGCTGAGCTATTTGTGATGGTGTCAACCCATCTATTCATCCTACTACTAAGTAGAGTTCAACAGTCAGTGGATCAACAAGTTCTTGGGGAGTGGGTAAAGTCTGTGAAGTTTTAAAAATCTAACATCTAAGTTATTCTCCTTATAATGTTTATTGGCATTCATTTTTTTCACTTTGAAAGATACATTGGAAGGACATCAGAATTGTAAGGTAGAGTTAAATCTTACCTATGAAATTAATTGCTCTACTCATAAGAAAAACTTGCAAAACTATGGATTTTCAAATTTTCTGAACACTATAGAGGCCTTGAGTTTAGCCTTTGTGGGGAAATACATTAATACTAGAGTAACTGCAGTGCAGAATACTTTATTATGCTCTTAAGGTGCGGCGAAAGACCTCTTTCCCTCTGGCCCAGTGCTGCCTCAGAATTTTTAAAACCTCATTCATTAAGCCTTAGATTCAGCACAGATGATCAAAGCAGCCTCCGGTCACTTCTGTTGTTTTGTGACCCTCCTCGTTGTTGAATTAAAATTCAACTTGTTAACTGCTTAATGTCAGAGCACCTTCCCGCCACTGCGTAGTAATACGGTGTGAGGAACTCCGGGTTGTTCCCTTTTGAAAACAGTGTGCTCTTCTGGTGGTTATTCATTTATTTTCATTTTTGTTCTCAAGGTTTTCTCTTTATTTTTAACACTCACTCGTTTTGCGTTCAACACCTTTCCTCTAGGGCCATTCATCTTGGATCCCTTAGCTGCTGTTTGTCTTAGGGTGTAAATCTAGTTTCTGCCATAGCACCAGATTTAAGTTTGTAGAAATTAGAACTCTGGTATTTTCTTCTTTCTGGCCTCTTGTATCCTAAATGTGATTGAAGATTTTCCAGTTGAGCATCGTTCTCATAAACAATTGACTTCTCTTTCAACCTGCCTCTACAGTTCAAATACTATATTGTTGCTCTCTTCGAGCACATCTTTTTCATAAAAGTTTACACTACAAGCTAATTTATAATCTGTAATCTCTCTGTGATTCATACAACTAACAATTTTTAAAAGTATGATTCCTGACTTATCCTAATACATAGCCAAATTGATCTGAATTAATGAAATTTAACTGGAGAACAAAAATGAGGTAGGGGTGAATTATTGAAGCTTTTACACAGAAAGCTAAATGTTGCAATTTCTGATCCACATTTGAAAGGATCCGATATGGGTAGCAACTCCAATATCCAGTCTTGTTTTTGGAGATACAAGGGACAGGAGAGAAAGAAAGAGACATCATTTGGAGAAAGGAACAAGAAAGTTGTTTGTTTTTTACCTTCACATTGGAGAACACAAACACCAATTTGAAGGGAAGAAATGTGTTTAGGTATTATTCACACTTTATTCAAATGTCTGAATAAACTACCTACTACAGTTCATGTATGGGGGTGGTGAGAAGCTTGCTCCAGGGTACATTCACCCACTTGACACATTTCATTCTATCCACAGGGTAGAGGGTCTTATAAACAGAGCACGGGAGAGAAAGTAGGCTACAATGACAGAGCCCAACCAAATAACCTTTTTCACAATGCCTGATGTTATAGGTACCGTTTTCGGATGGCTTTGCCAGGGCAAGTTAGGTTCAGGAACTCTGTTAGAGGAGCAGATAGAGCTGTGATTGTCAATACCGTGTTTATTTTAATTTTCATCTTTCATTGTTATCACAAGTGAAATTGCTATATTGCCCTCTCCCTTTATCCTTCACTTTAGTGATTTTGTAGCACAGCTCCAATGTAGCCATTCCTAGACCTAAGTTAATTGTGGTAGTAAAAATATGCATATGCCTTTTTCTCATTTTTATATTATACCATAGATTATATTCTCTCCACATCTTTTTCACATTTTGCACATAAGCGTTTGTTTAAATGTAGTAAAAGACATTTCCTATTTAATTCATTGAAATATGAGCAGATTTGGCTGTGTACAAAATTTTATCTTGAGATAACTTTATATGAGAAAGTCTATTATCTGAATCCAGCCATTTTGCATAATGTGCTTAAGAGAGATTCAAATGCCAAAGTGGCATGCAAATGAAATTTGCAAGTGTTAAAAAACCATAATTTTCTTTTGCTTCTTCATGGGGAGAGCATTCTGATATTGCAAAATAGTAGCCTAAGTTTCCTAAAAATTATCTTATATTTTTGTCTAAAATTTGACAAACTATTATCTCAAGTTATTATTATTATTATTATTATTATTTTGCAAAATAACTTTTTCAAGCAAAAGTCAGCTTGGCTCTTAAATATCTGGAAGCTCTGCTTACAAATTTTACTAAAACCTGATACTCAATTCTGAATTTTTTAGCTCTCCAATATGTTCTGCATGCCATCGTGGTTATTATAGTTTATTATTACCTCGTCTATTAATATATGCATGAACCTTTTCCATATGTATGAAGGAGGTAAGAAAGGCCACCTTCTAAGCTAAATGAATTAGGTTAATCAATTCTTGACCTTGGATCATTTTTTAAACCATAGGGAAAACTTGGGTGTTTTTACTTCGCTTATGAAAATTATCTTTTGACATAGGTCAAAATTTCTTTATTCTTTAGCGGAATGCTAATTTGCCAACCTAATATTAAAATTGCTGTCCTCCTCCTTGTCACAGATCCTGACTTCCTGCAGTGTTTTAGTTTGTATCTTAAATTGAGAAGCTTTAACTTTCGGTCACACCAAGAGGCAATCTGTATTATTAGAGGCCAGGGTTAGTATCTAACCAATTATGTTTATTCAATTTACACCCACTGTCCCCTCCCCAGTGAGCTTCTTTTCTTAAAGGCTACTGAAAATGTAGGATTTTTACTTTATTCTATTCCATTTTCCCCTCCCTATGTCAATAAGATCTCAAAACTACACAAATGTGTTTGTGTTTCTAACCACAACCATGGGCTGTCCTCAATAGCTTTTTAAATTTAGATTTGGGTATTTTAAAAAATCCTTTTATTTTTAATGACACTGCCAAAGCTTGCCTTTGTATTTTTGGTTGGCTTTTTCCATTCAGTGTAGTGGGATAATACATTTAGCCACGCTTTCTAACCTTTACATTATGGATGAATATCTTGCAATGTTTCCAGTGCAGCATTTACCTAAAAACTCTTCACATCTACAGATGGTGGCAGCAGAGGCAAAGGAGAACATTTCCCTTATGAACAAGAAATCAAGTTCTTTGCAAAAGTACAGTATACAATCTATCTTGTTTTTGCTTCAATATGTTTGTTTACATCCTCTATTCATTAGATCGTTGCCCTTTGCAGAACATACTTGTCTACAAATATGTATTTTACTGCACGTAAATATTCTGTGGCATGAAAATAACTGCATGAATCATCTTCCCATCATACTTGGTCAGACTTTAACTCTGCATTCCCTACCATATTCCTTCTTCAAATGACTTCATTCTATCTGAGGTTTAATTCAGTTTGCATTTTTTTTTGTTTTATCGTATGATATAGAATGAAAATATCTGTTTCTTAACATGTGGATATTGTTACGATTTAAAATTTCTAGTTGAGAATTGCTTTTATAAATAGGAAAGTCTTAGTTAATTCATAAATGGGTACATTATAAGAACATTTAGTATAGAATCTTTATTGTGGGACCTTTTCCTACTCATTTTACAGAAGATCAGAGAGGATAGATTGTTTATAAACAAAGGACATCCCACTGTTATTATTTATTTCGTTTCATAAGGATTTATCAGGGATTTGCTCTATCACCGGAAAAATCATCACTTTTTTCAGTCAAAAAGGGATGGACATGAAAAGTTGTAAAGCCTCCAAATGATTTAATTCATTTACTCGGTATTTACTGTGTGTCTAGTCTGGGTCAGGCATTAGGGTATGGCCCAGGGATTGCCATGAATATACAATGCCCCTGGGTAAGCTTTCCTGTTTGGGACACCTTGCTGTGAGCCTGAAGACCTAATACTGCTGTCTGTTTCCTCTCAAAGTACTTGCATTCAGTGATTACAGATAATTTGCTATAAATACAACTTTTGTGGACTCTAAAATAGCATGCTTTTTGATTGATGAATATTGACTTGTAGTATGTTTTCAAAATTGTGTTCTTTACTGTAAAACACATTTCCATTGTCTTTTCTTCCCATTCAATATAGCACTCAGAGTCTGTTCCAATCATTTGAAGATCCAAAGTTTGTCCTGGGGTGCACACAGTTAGCGATTCCTCAATTGATAGATCCATATGTGTATCTCCGGTCTCTGTGAGATTGTAATCTTACTTGATAGCCAATTATCAGAATACTGTATTCACGGCCTCTAATTATTCCTTTAAAATACATTCTTGTGTTGCCCATCTACTCAGCACCCCTAGTGATTCTGTTTACAGATGCTTAATGTGGCTTAATTTCTACTAAGTCTATAATTCATTCATTTACCATATTGAGTGCCTACTATGTGCCAGTCACTAAATTCAGACAATGTCCTGACTGTCAAGGAAGAACAATAAAAACTGGTGATGTCCCTGTTATATATAACTGTGCTCTACCACATGGTAGGAAAAAGAAGTATATTTAGATAGACTTGAGTTTGCATACTGGTAGTGCCAATCTTGTTATTGCCATGGGCCCGTCACAGTCCTTAGCACTAGGGATTCAGTGGCAAACAGAAGAGACCAGTTAATAGTTCTGGACTCAACCCCAGGAAAGGGGTCTAATGGAAAACAAACCCAGAAATGTTTCTTGTTTTTGCATAACTCATAGGCTCCTGGAAAGAGAGACTTTAATCCAAAGTCCCACAAGTACAATGTAAAATTGCAAATGATGTTGTCAGAACTCAGAATGTGGGACTTTATCTAGTTGAGATCAGCTAAGACTTACCTAGCAAAGCACCACTGAGTTGAGATCTACAGGAGGACCAGGGTGAGTAGGATGTGGAGTGCAGAAGAGCATGCCGGACAGAGGGATTGGTGTGTACAAGGCCAGGAGATGCGAGTGGACAGAGTGAGGAGGAGGAATGGGCCCAAGGCCAGCAGGACGAAATGTGCATAGAAATGGAAAGTGCACTTTGAGAAAGGCCAGGTTAAAAGAACATTGTGTAGGCAAGTAAGTAGTAATGTGACCTTCAGTAAGTCACACATTTCTATCTCTCCATTTAATACCCATAATGCAGGGATGATGGCATCTACCCTACAGAACAGTTGCTATCATCAGCTGCAATGTTCACACATAGTAGAGCCTCAACATATGGTAGTTATGGATTATTTTGGGGTCTGTTGGGCACTGAACTATATTATATGAAAACATTGAGAATATTTCATTTTGAGAAAATATTAAGAATAATTCCAAACTGTTGCAGGTTTGCTCTGTTCCCCATAGTCACATCCTGCCACACTCTGCTTTCCCCGCTATGGACTCGAGACGGTAGAGTGAGATTTAAGAGAGGCATACTATGACGTGCCTGGCATGGACATAAGGAGACCTGTTGCATGTGAACAGAACTCTGACTGCTCCAAATCCTCAGCTCTCATTCATCCCCTGAAAGATTCCACTACGTAGATCTGTCTTCTTTTCCTTTCTTTCAGGTCGTTCTTCCTTTAATTGATCAGTATTTCAAAAACCATCGTTTATACTTCTTATCTGCAGCAAGCAGACCTCTCTGCTCTGGAGGACATGCTTCCAACAAAGAGAAAGAAATGGTGACTAGGTAAACAGCTATAAAAATAATCACTGTTGTATGACTTAGGTGTATATGCATTTGCAAAGAGAACCTGAGGACCTTGACCTGGGACTGTATGGAGAGTATCCGCCCATTTCCCTGGTCCATGTCTTCATGGAAGCAAACACTAGATGAAAACAGTTTTTACAAGTTAAGATATGTGTTCTAGATGTTGAGTTTCTTTATATTTTGCTGCTAAGTGTAATGCTGGATAGAAGGATAAAATATCACTCATTTCAGAATCTACATGTAGAGGCTGGACATGCATCACCATATTAGTATTTGTGATAAATGGTGCTTTTGACATTAGTTTCATTAACATTTCCACAAATCTGATATTTTTTCCAGCCTTTATTGTTCAGAAAAAAATCCCAAATATACATATTTAATTTAAAAATAATGACCAATGTTGGAAGAAAAATGAAGTAAAGATACCTACAAAATTTCTGAAGGTTTCCCCTCTTAGCGATGCTTTCTCATTTCTGTTTAAACCAAAGGGTACTTTATGGACTCAGTTGTGATTCTGCTGGGGAGATCAGGTCCTTTCACTCAAACTTCTGCTAGAATTTAATGTACACGAGAGTCAATTACGGAGCAAGTTTACTTCTGTAATATTACATTGCCCAAAAGCCATACCAAGTTTTTAGATTGTATCGGAACAAAATTTCGATAAAAGTGAATACACGGCATGAAGCAGAACACTGGAGAAAATACAGGCTTTCCTCGGACTTGACGTTAATGCTATGCTGAAAGGCAGTACGGTCTCCACCTATTAGACAGAGTGAGATGAGATTGCATACAGCCTTCGTGAGAGGGTGGAGAAGTGAAAAGATTCCTGCACTGCATAACACTGGGGAATGCAGCTGGAGTGGCATTTTCAGTTCATCTCTTTCACTTACTGTCTATTTTACCAAGTAGTAAGTGGCCAGTCATGTGATACGGGATTGCAACAGTATAAAACATGTCCTCAAACTTCTTCAAATGAATTTTCCTATAAAATTGATTATAGTTAAAATAACAGCAGGACTCCATCCCAGCGGCATGCTTTGTTTCCACAAATTGCTGCCACATGGAGAGAGGCAATGCAGTTACTTTCCATGACGTGAATTTCCCCCGCTTCCGACTTGAACGTGGCCTTCCTTCCCACCTTCACTGGGAGGGACAGCAGCTCCTCCCTCGTCATTTCATAAGCACACACATCCACTACTCTGAGCCAGGATCCCCCTGTGGATTGTGAGTGCACGCGAGTAGCTAGAATATCCCAAGGCACCAAGTTACCCTTAAACATCATGAAATTGAGGACACGTTGAAGTCTCCTACTCCTCCCTGGGTCTGTTAGCCTTTTTTAATAGGAACTTTGTTCTCCAAGGGTGTTGTTAATCTAGATATCACTCAGTTATATAAAGATAAAATAAAATAGAGACAAATTCAAATCGATGCAAATTCTGCTATTTTCCTCTTCTCCTGTCTTGTGTTTTATTATCTCCGTTCAGTTTCAGCCTTACCCTTAGAACTATTCACTGAGCCCATGCTATGCATATATAGAAGCATCCAATTGTGTGTTTTCGATATATATGATTTGTATTTGCTAATTATACCTCTATAAAGCTGGAAAAATTTCATGGAACTATACACCAAAAAAGAAAATTGGCCCATTTTCCTTGGGCAATTCTGTATCCCTCATAGAATAAATCAGAGGTACATCGCTATTTTGTGCTAGCCTCAGTTGATGTCCCTTTGGGGCTCTAGACTGACCCTAGACTACCCTTCTCTCTAATGACACTGCACCAGAATGTTTTTAATTACAGTCATGTACCACATAACAACATTTCAATTAATTTTGGACTGCATATATGATAGTGGCCCCGTAAGATTATAATACTATATTTCTACTAATTTTTTTAGATATGTTTAGATACACAAATACCATTTTGTTACAGTTGCCTACAGTATTCAGTACAGTCACATGCTGCACAGGTATGTAACCTTGGAGCAATAGGCTATATACCATTTAGGTTTGTGTGAGTACATTCCATTATGTACTTATGTTATGGGAATAACAATGAATTTGCCTAATGATGTATTTCTCAGACTGAATCCCCATAATTAAACGATGCATGACTGTATTTCATCGTCAGTTTTACTTCTACTAATAGAAAAAGGGTTGGTAAATTTTGCTTATCCCATTGGTATTTCCCAAAAAAAGGAGCATATGCCACTTAAAATTCCAACACATAGAAAATGAGGTGCATAATAAAAGTAACTTATGTTATTACAGTACTTTAGTGCCAAACATAGCTAGAATTTAACTTCAGAGAGAAAGAAAATCATAGAGGAAAATGTAAATAAGGAAGTGATAAATGATGGCTCATGTCTGTACAAAATGCTGTGCAGTCATTAACATGATGGAAATGAGTATCTAACACTTTTGGAAAATGATCATGATAAAGTATAAAATATATGCTCAAATAGTATTAACCCAACTTTTAAAGAGGACTTAATTTGTTTGTATAGAAAAATATTGGTAGGGTATAAACTTAATAGGTAGAAAACTGGCCCTGCCATTATGAATAAATAAGCATATCTTCATTCGCATGATAAACACTATGATAATGGTTTTAAGTGTTTAACAGATGTGAGTAGCAATAGTTGTGTGGGTTTGAGTTAACTTTTCCACAATTAAAACCAATGTTTCATGAGATGTTTAGATACTTCCTGGCACAAGAAATTATTATATACTGAGCACTTGCTGTATGTAAGGTCAGTACTGTCATGTCTGGAGTATAATAGCTAAATACATGAATATGAGTATAGCTCTAGTAAGAGAAAGCCAGGCAGTGCGATGGGATTCAAAGTAAAGCAAGACCACCTTGGATGGATATAGAGGGGTGAGAGATTTATGGAAATCAAGCCAGTCAAAGTTGATCTTGGACCATTTGTAGGTCAGAGATTAAGGAAGGAAAATATTTGCTAAATGTAGATAACTACATAAATAAAATGTAGAAGCTGGTAATTTAGGGGAAAGCTAGGTTATATAGATGGTAACGGATATTAACTGTCAGAATCAGGAATCTTCTTTTTAAAATTATATCACAATTCTTTTAACCTAATTCATTAACACTAAGAAGCTATTAAAGCTTTTTAAGTGAGAGGATGATCAGAGCTTCCCTCTGGGAAATACAATCTGGCAGCAAAAGTATAATTGATGAGAGTGGGAGAGTTGGGAGGCCATGGCAGGCACTTGGAGGCCTAGACAGTAACCCAGGCTATAGTGTTGGAAGTGCTGCCTCAAATAGGTGGTGCTGCCCGCCTATCCATTTAGCAGATGTGTCTTTTTCTTCTTCTTCTTTTTTGAGATAGAATCTCACTCTGTCCCCCAGGCTGGAGTCCAGTGGCACGATCTTGGCTCACTGCAACCTCCGCCTCCCAGGTTCAAGCAATTCTCCTGCCTCAGCCTCCTGAGTAGCTGGGATTACAGGCACCTGCAACCATGCATGGCTTTTTTTTTTTTTTTTTTTTTTTGTATTTTTAGTAAAGATACGGTTTCACCATGTTGGCCAGGCTGGTCGTGAACTCCTGGCCTCAGGTGATCTGCCCACCTCGGCCTCCCAAAGTGCTGGGATTACAAGCATGAGCCACTGCGCCCGGCCTCATTCAGCAGATATCTCTGAATGCCAGCTATGTACGGCATGCTGTCTGAGGCCTGAAGCTATATACACACAATAAGACAGTTCCTAACTTTAATAAATTTAGAAGTACAGCTGAGTAGGCACATACATACAGAGCTAACTCTAGAAGAAGCTGTGATGAGTGTCAGTGGAGACATCTACAGAGTGCTGGGAATATAGAAGGGATGTAAACAGGAGCTGGGGTGAGAAACCGGGAGGAGAGAAAGTCAACATGACTTGGTGATGAGTAATATGGCAAGTAGAAAGAGGTCCAACTTGGTGCTGAAATTTCAACTCTGGGTAGTTGGAATATTGTTAGTATCATGAACAGAAACAACATATTTCAGAAAAAGAACAGTTTCTAAGAAGAGGTTACATTTGGTCAGGTATTTATCAGAGTAGAAGGTACCCGCAGGTCATTCAACTGGAGAAATCCAGCAGATTGGAAATATTAGCATGTGGGGTTAATTGAGAGGTTAGAGCAAGAAATGACATATTTGGGGATTATCCGAACATATATATATATAATGCTTGAAGCTCTGAAAGTAGATAAAACTGAAGGAGAGTAGAGAAAGAGACAAAAGGTTTTGAATACCAATGTTTGGAGAACTATTACATTTACAGGGTTTTCAGAAATAGGTCTTTGAAGAACATCAAGAATGATTAATTAGAAAGCAAAAAAAAAAAAATACTATAAATAAAATCCAAGGAGGGTAAGAGTTTCAAGATTTAAGTAATAAACAATGCCAAGTACTGTTGACAGAACTCCAGAAAACAAAGGGTTACTATCTTTGCTGATTAGGGGCATTGGTGAGCTGCAAAGGAGTGTTTCGGTACAAGACAATGAGTAAATGCTGAAGAAGTGGATGCCTTATAAATTCCAGAGAATGTTGGTAATGAGGGAAGCAGAGAAAGGGGACAACAGTATGATAGAAAATATTTTTTAGAGAAAGTATAGGCCAAAGCTTATAATAATTAATCCTTATAGTTTCTATGAATACCATGCCCTAAAAGTGGATTGTGCAGGAAGGGAAAGAGGTATGATGTGCCCTCTTTGAGGACCTTGCCTTCTATATCTGTATTTCTCTCTGGTGGCACATGTGGTGAGGAATCAGCAGAGATCGTCAAGTCATTTTTCTCTGACAGATGTTCAGGCATTACATATAATTTGATAAATGAAACATAGAGCAGTCTGCCACGATAGCAAAACATCCTAGGTTTGGATTAATTGGGTGAAACCTAATCCTAGCATTATAAATTCTGGATCATGAAGAATATCTCAGAATGTTTCACTCTGGATACTATAGAGGAATAGGTAAAATACATGACTGAAAATAGATCTGAATACAGGGATCCAAAGACTATTCTAAACTGAATTATTCTCTTTAGAAAAAGGCAGACCCTGGCTGAGTTAGCACGCACAGCTGTCAGCCGTAAAGCTCAGTAGAAACGGTCTCTTATGTACCGTTCCAAACTGAATTATTCGCTTTAGCAAAAGACCCTCGCTGAGTTAGCATGCACAGCTGTCAGTCATAAAGCTCAGTAGATAAGGGCACGTGGACAAAGTTTCTCCTGTTTTATTGTCTTAAAATTATAGCACAAAGATAAATCACGCAGGTCAAGGCCCTCAGGTCTAATCTTACGTCTAGTAGCCGCTTGAATAGATCATTGTTTTAAAAATGTTTTGTTCTGATAAGAAATTCCCCAAAACCTCAGATTCACTCAGACATTTGTAGGTGAACATTTTCTTGGAAAAGCTGCAAAATAGCCTACATAATTTTCACCATTACACGAATCCACAGTGCTACAGAAGTGAGGGGTGATGGCCAAAACTTACTGTAAAAGAGGTCAACCTCACAAATGTTACCTTCTCTGCTTCCCTCTCTTCCCATCCTGCCACTGATCAGCCACTTTCATGGTATTCCATGGCTGGTCTCTATCCCTAGTCCTGGAGAGCTGTACATTTGATCACAGCTGTTAATGCCGAGTTTTGCAAGAGAACATGGTCAGTGAGGACTTAGCTGTTCTCATTATTGGGAAAAATCAAGCTGAGTGTGGGTGGTACTCTACAAATGGATCTTCAAGGTTAGATATTTTTGGGTAGGTGCTGGCTGGGTAGAGCCTGTGCAGTCTGAGAGCTGAGAAGAGTGTGAGTAGATGTGAAAATAATGTCACTTGTATTGGTAGAGATTTGCAAATGGCCCCTGAGAGCATCTGGGTATGGACCTCTTGCAGCCTAGGTTGGGAGCCGTACAGGAGGGCTGGATGTCAGAATGCTGACATCCTTATTTTATTGAGTTTATTTAGTTTTATTTAGTTGAATGAGTTTATTCTAAGAATAAACTGAGCTGAGTTTTGAGGGATGAGTAGATAGGAGTAGAGCATGGAAATGAGTGAAGGGTATTTCTCAAAATAAGGACCTGTGAGGATCCCACCCAGCTGAGGCTCGGTGAAAAGAAAGGACAAATAGCAGGGATCTCCCAGGTTCAAGGGTCTGATCTGAGAGTGGATACCAGCGTTGTCAGGCTGAATGCTGAATGTGGGCAGCCATTATTTGGAATGACTCATTGCTAATTGCCATGAAGGACTCAAAGACACAGGAACCTTCTCTGGAGCAGATAAGAAATATACTGAACTTGTTGGTATCCAGAGACTTTAAGTTATCACATCTGTAATGCTTTCCTCTGAGTGATTATCAGTTGCTCAAATTCGGTTCCTACTTTACTGTATTCAAATTCACTGGATGCTTATGTTATGTAAGGAGTGTGATCAAGGTTGGGGAAGAAGGAGATTTCAAATAATGAAACATATTAAAACTTAACATTGTATGCCCAAAGCACCATACTTCTGTTGTAAAATAATGTAAAAAAACTATATATATATAAAATATTTTTTAAATCCAGAGTTTCAGTGGTACATCTGGGCAGATAAAACCAAATTTTTTCCTTGTGGTTTTTCAGTAGTTATATCCTTATGGGGTTCATATAGATTGCTTTTATATTAATTAGCTTTGCTTTCAATTTTTTTTGGTTTCTTATAATATGTGCTTTTTTAACCATGTTTGTTAAAGATATGCACTCAAAGACTCTTTCTTTAATACCTTTACTCCACATTCTGCTCAGAGAATTGATTCTTTCTGCGTGACATCATGTTGCTTTTTTCCGGCTCATATATCAGCTGTTTTTTTTTTTTTTTTTTTTCTTCTTCTTCCTTTTTTTTTTTTTTTTTTTTTTAATTTCCCCCTGTCTACCTTCCCTTCCCCCTTCCCTTTTCTCTTTTGTTTTTCTTTTGTCTTCAGCCTATTCTGCAAACTTGGAGTTCTTGTCAGGCATAGGATTTCACTATTTGGTAAGGAGACCCTTGAAAAAATACAAGCATGGCCATCACTTGGTTTTCTTTGCCGTTTTTGCACTGTGTTGTGTGCTGCTATGTTGCATGGATGCATGTTTGCATGGCTGCATGCATGGTCGTTGCAGGCCAAGATAAGGTCCTCGAGGTTGTTCATGAATAGCATCATGTATGGTGAAATTGAGGACTCTATCTTTTTTACACTAGTCCAAAGCATAACTGAAAATAAAAAGGCTATTATTAAAGAGCAAATGAATGGAAATGGCAGGCTGTGCCATATTTTATCTCAGGGGTAAAAACAAAACAAAGCCAGGCCCTTGGATTTGTGTTTGGTTACCTCTGATAGATTAACTAATGAGCTGTTATAAATCAGAATTTTAAACTGCACTTATGTTTTTTAAAGCTCTTGACTACAGATTTGCATGTCTTCTGCATTCCAAACATTGGAACGTCATAGTCAAGACACTGAAGCCAAGGAGCTTCGGAGCTTCACTTGGCAAGAGTGGCTTTTCTAGCACCACTCACTCCAGAGTCAGTTTCTGTTTGTTTCTGAGAATTCACCTAGCTGGAGTCCATGTTCCAGAGCACCTGCTTCCGGACAGCCATGCAGGGTGGGCACTCACTTTTCGCAGATTTTCCCTGCCGTGGGGCTTTAGAATCTCTAGTGGCTGGTGGAATTTGTGTTTCACACTTTTCTGCATCTGATTTTATAAACTGCCAAAGAAAATGTGAGCCCTTTGCTCTCTAGGTTTTGAGACAGTGTTGGGGTGATTTTAGTAATGAAACATTGAATGTATTGCTAGAGGTATTATAAGTTCAATTCTCTTTTCAGGAAAAGCTAAGGATTAAAAAAATTAAGTCATTTCTACAAAGTCACAGTTGAACTGAGGAATGCGTGTGTATATATATATGTGTGTGTGTGTGTGTGTGTATATACATATATACACATATGCACAAATAAGTTCTTCACATTACATTTTTTGAGAAATAATAGTTTCTGGATATAGTAGGTTATTGCTATATTTGGTTTCTAGTATTATATCCAATATTTGATGCTCTTAAATATAGTAGTGAAAATTTATATTTCATTAAAATTGCCTGAGTTTTTAACATTAATATTTCAGTTATTTAAAAATCAGTGGGGCAGTTATCTTTAGAATAATTTCTAGTTCACTGACTTTTGTTTCACTTCTCTTCAACAGAGAAAAATTTTCATGGGCTTATTCAGGCAGGATTTTCATATACTCTTTAACCTTCTCAGAATAACAATGGATTCAAATATTCTCCATTTGTCTGCAGCAAGTACTAGCTAATTATACATATCAGCTGCCCTTTTGCGGTCTTATTAATGAGCCTAATAATATTTTCTTTGGTGCTATTTCTAACTTCCTGCTTATTGTTTAGTCTTCTTTTCCTGTTATACCTCACTATAATTTCCTTTAAAAATTTTTTTTGAGGTATTCCATACATGAAGTACAAAATCCTAAGAACATCTTGGCGAGGTGTGGTGGCTTATGCTTGTATCCCAGCACTTTGGGATGTTGTGGTGAGAGAATCACTTGAGGACAGGAGTTCAAGACCAGTTGGGGCAACATAGTGAGACCTTGCCTCTACAAAAAGGAAAAAAAAAATTAATTAGCCAGGTGCAGTGGCACACGCCTATAGTCTTGGCTACACAGGACACTGACATGGAAGGATCACTGAGTCCAGGAATTTGAGGCAGCAGTGAGTTATGATCATACCATTGTACTCTATTCTAGGAAACAGAGCAAAACTGTGTCTCTAATACAAGCAAATAAAAAGAACAACTTGATGAAAATGTATATGCATATACAACCGTTTCATCATGGCTCAGGCCAAGACATGGGACATTTCCAACATGCCCAGGAGCCTCCCTTGTGCCATTTTTCAAATTATAACCATCTCCAAAGGAACTCTATGTAGACTCCATTCTATGGATTCGTTTCAGCTGTTCTTGAAATTCCATTTTTGTTAAATATATCATTTAATTTTGATCATTGAAGATAAATGTGTAATACAGTTTGTCATGCTTGTTAGGGGGGAAAAACTAGACCTTAACATTAATTGCTTCCCCATGTGGTCCTAGTATTTCAATTAGACATTGTGGTTTCATCCCTTAGCCTTTTAATACTATTATTTTTATTTTTAAGGGGAAATTATTGGAGAATTGGTATGTGTTTTTTTATATCTCAAAGCGTATTTTTACACATTTTTGTTTTATTAAAGTGTATGTTATTATTTCAAATTTGCTTTGATATTTGCCTATAAAAATATAAATTTCAAGAAGCCTTTATTAATCAGACATACTCTAGTACACACTTGCCAAACTATTAGAATCTTTAGGTCTTTTTTTTGTTTTTTATGAGATGAAGTTTCGCTCTTGTTGCCCACCAAGCTGGAGTGCAGTGGTGTGATCTCAGCTCACTGCAGCCTCTGCCTCTGGGTTCAAGCAATTCTTCTGCCTCAGCCTCCCGAGTAGCTGGGATTACAGGTGCACACCACCACGCATGGCTAATTTTTTGTATTTTTTATAGAAACAGGATTTCACCATGTTGCCTAGGCTGGTCTCAAACTCCTGACCTCAGGTGATCTGCCCACCTCAGCTTCCCAAAGTGCTGGGATTACAGGTGTGAGCCACCATGCCCAGTCAAATCTTTAAGACTTAAGCATTGAAGCTTCACATATTATGGGTATTGGTATAGTATTTAAACTTCACATATTATGGGTTGTAGATGCTAACATGACATCCTAGAGAGAATAACAGGCTTGGAATCAGAAAACCTTGCTGTAAGTCTTATTTTTCTAACTTAACGAGCTGAATGATTTGCACAAGGGACTTAAATTCTTTGAACCTGCATTTTTTCCATTGTTAAAGTGGGCTAAAATACCTAATAAACTTAGAGATCGATTTTATGTGAAATAATTCATGTTGAAGTGCCATGTAAAGTGTAACCTTATAGTTTTCACATATAAGGTGTTTCTAGTATTATTATAATTATTAGATTTTGTTAATTTATCTAAAGCTTATTATACTTTATTGACATGAATTACATACTAAACTAGGAGACTTGGCCATTTAAAATACACACACAGGGCCAGGTGCAGTGGCTCACACCTGGAATTCCAGCACTTTGGGAAGCCAAGGTGGACAGATTGCTTGAGCTCAGGAGTTCAAGACCAGTCTGGGTAACATGGTGAGACCTCATCTCAACTAAGAATACAAAAAATTAGCCATGCGTGGTGGCACACACCTTTGGTCCCAGCTACTCAGGAGGCTGGGGTGGGAGGATCACTTGAGCCTGGGGGGCAGAGGTTGCAGTGAGCCAACATTGCATACCACACACACAAAAATAAACACAGTAAAGCCTTTAAAATCCACCCATTTCCAGAATGAATCCGAAGTGTTATAAGCCAGCTATTTACTTTTTGATTTATCAGCTATGCCAATGTGGATTTTTCCAAACAGAGAGATCCAGTAGCATATATGCAGTACTTGTTTGTATATGGTCATATTCATCTATTTTTTTCACTCTACCTTTATCATTTTCTTGCGTTCTGGCAGGAAATACATTGATTATCAATGGGATTACAAGCGTGAGCCACCACGCCGGCCGAATCTTTAAGTCTTAAGCATTTAAGCTTCACATATTCCCAGTACTATCTCGTATTTCCTGTACTATCTTGATTTAAAGATTTTTTCATGACCTAAACCTAAGAGTAAATTAAGACAGAATTGAAAGTTGAGGTTAGCAAGAAAATACTTGAGTTTTGTGATGATCAGTGAAGGTAAGGATGTAGAAAGATACACGTTAACCTTAAATATGTCAGAAACTGGAGACAAGACAGGAGCATTAAAATAAATGAAGAGACAAAATACTTGTTCTAGTGGTAGTAATTGGGTGAGCAGAGTTTGATGGGTAATGAAATATTTATTCTAGGTTGGCTGCCATGTTGTAATTATATCTCCAAACCTCACCTGTGGTTGAAATATTTTTCTGACATATGAAATGAGGATTCTTAAAACTTGGGCTTTTATATTTTTTGTTTATCTGTTATCTACTTTAAAATATTTCTTCTGCATTGAGGGACACTATTCAGGAATTAAGATAATAGTGTTTTTATGCCTCATCTATTATTTTTGAGGCATTTGAACCATTTTATTTTATGTTTAAAAATTTAAGGTTTTTGAAAAGGAAGACAAGCTGTATTACCCACAGAATTCTGATGAATCAATTAGAATAATTTATGGAATGAAAAAGAAAGAAAATAGCATCTTGTTTAAATATAGACTTCCCTGTTTGAATTCTGAAAAGCTGATATCCTTATCATTGGCCATTTTCAAGGACCCAATGTTGACTAAAGAAATAGTGCTTTTATTCCCAGAGTTTCCCCTGACTTTTGCTACCTAGAAATTCTGATTACTATTTTCAAGGCAGTTAGAGGATACATCAGCCCTTCTATTACAGTCTGTTAGAATCTTTCAATCATTTTTAGAGGAAGCAGCATCTGATAACTAAGAGTCCAACAGTAATAGTGAGGGCGGCACAGGCAGTGCTTATCAGCACTCCTTAACGGCTTTCTTTTTACCTGTGAAAATAAATAGAATGCCTTAATGATATTCATTTTATGCATTCATTCAATAAACATGTATTGTATGTCTGCCATGTGAAAGGCATTCACTCAAGATGTGAGGATAGGAAATGAAGACTTATTTCTCTTTCCACTCCGGAACCCAGACAATATGCAAACATCTTTCACTTGTACTATTGCAGGAGCATACTGACCATTCTCTCTGAGTCCCCTCCTGCCTCTCTCAACCGTGTTCCACGATGATCTTATCGAATCTTCTCAAAACACGCTTCTCTGATCACACTCCTGCATATTCAGTGGCTTCCCATGCCTTTAGGATAGAAAGCACATTTCTTAACCCAGCCACGTTAGTGTTTCACCCTCCATTCCCCATGGGCCACTCCATCCTC